AACCCCCCGGGTATTGTCTAATGCCATAGAATGTATAGCTCTATATATTTAACAAAATAAACTGTCTTTTCGGTTTATTAGAATATGTCACGGGATTTGTAAACTCAAAATTATAGACCATTTTTACAATGATATGACATACCTCTTTATAAATATATTGATTCGTTTAGTGGGGTAATCAGACATTCTTGAGATATAACCGATTTTGTGTTCAAATGTTGACACAGTAATCCAGTAATAAAAATTTCTTTTAATTTTCAGAACAATAATTAAATCGTATAGAGCTTTGTCCAATACTGGTCGTAATAAAACATCACACCAGCCCAATTGCACACTTTATTTTTGACGTAAATCAAAAAGGTTTAGGTCCTTGAATATAATCTGTGTAAAATTCACGTCAGAATAGACGCGAGCTCAACACCTCAGTTAGATCATTATGAGACTAGCACAGATATTTATTTTGGAGGACATAACATAGTTTTTATTGCTGATAGGATGGAACCTGTGCCATTGTTTGACACATGTGTCGTGGGTTTGACACAGCACTGGATTTTGCTTGGTATCTTACTTTTGATAACTTAGAATACACAATAAGGTTCTTAGTATATCTTATAATAATGAGTAAACCCCCCCCCCCCCCCAAAAAAAAAAACCCCCAAAGACAAAACCAAAATCCATGTTTTTATATTAATAATAAACTGGGGAGTTTATTAAAAGCACTTTAGCAGAGAGTAATTCAAAGGGTATACAAAAACGAAATAAAGCAAGGGTGTAAATCCATGCGTAAAGAACCGAGTCAAACTTCAAACCATGACAAGATAGACAATTAATATACAATACACACCAGATCCAAGGAGGCTAGTACTAATGATATTCACTAAAAATAAAAAAAATGTAAATAAAAAAGAATGAATGAATGAAATGGGGTTTAGCGACCTACTTTTCTGCAAAACCGGGCTAACAAAGACGGTAACTAAATAAGAAATGCCACATCAAATCAAAGATCTATACCAATAATAAAAATATCGATTGTTGTAAAACTCTCTAATATAAACTATTTCAATGACAATGAAATAAAAAGTGAAGTAACATGATAGATCAATATTCGGCTGTTATATATAATAGGTTCAACTCCCATATGAAAATAGCGAACCAAATAAAATTCCGAATGTTCTTCTCGGCCAGCACTTAGAGTTGAACGCGCGAGGTTCAGTCAATGTTCGAGTCAAATTCAATAACAACGAACGAGCGTTTTATTATTCAGTCTAGACAAGCTGAGTTTTTGATATATTTGAATGCTGTTCATGTCACGCTTTAGAAAAGTTATTCACTTTTTATACCGGAAATCAACAGGAATAGAAGTGGTAATAAACAAATTAGTCGTATTTAAATTTTTAAATTAAGTTTTCAGTCCTAAATTACAAGTTAACCTGAATTTCAGCTCAAAAACGTTACCTTCAATTAAAACATTCATTATACCTGTCAACAATGAAATTGATTAAGGTCGTTGATATTGACATTTAATATACATTAAAAGCCACATTCGGATAATGTGGGAAGGTATAGGTTATACATTTGTCAATGGTGTATTATTAGTAGGTCAGTAATACATTATAAAAGTAATGAAACATATAAATAAACTCCCCCACACATTGTTTACTCAAAATAGATAGTACTTTACTTGGCGATGGGGGGGGGGGGGATGAATAGCTTATTGGTATTAATGAAGCATGTTTTGAAAGTGGGGTGTGTACATGGTCCGATAAAAGAATTGTATAGAGGGTCGACCTTTAGAACCAAATTCGGACTTTCGTCAATAATTCAGCTCTTTAAGGTCGAATTTTCTTGAAATTTAAAACTTGTTATATGTAATGTAGCATCAAATAGATATTCCGCAAAGTTTTGTATGACAATTATTTTGTAAATCTTGATAGGCCTATTTTTTTCGACGTGCCGTTGGGAGAGGCCACTCCCGCCTCGTTGTATAATATACTATACAGGGCTTCTCTCTACAAAAGCCCCGATAACTGTTTTGATATGTACTGTTTTTAAAAGATACAATTTTCACAATAACATGACAGGAAATTCCTGAATTCTGGATGCTTGAATAAACCACAATGGATTCTGGATGTTTTCATAAACTGCTCTGGATTATAAATGGTTTCATCGAGGCGGCAAGTAAGAAGTGATTTTAATTGTTTTGTCAGGGCGTTTTTTTTATAAAACAAGATTATGATTGTTTCAATAGTGCGGTCTTTATCATAAAGGATTATACTTGTTTTAACGGACCGCATTCATAAACAATATTATTTTTTGAAAACAAAATAGGTTTCTTAGTTTTTTAATGTTTGTCCGGGGTTATGTGAAGAGTACGCAATAACGCACCCCGTCTCAAATGGCAAAAATCAGATGGTTTTAATGCGGTGTTCAACAATATAATCAAACTCATATAATGCAAAACCAGTTTGAAACATATACCCTTTACTACAAATCGATTTTAGCATGTTCCGCACAGCCCCAAATTTCTCGACGGCGGTAGGTTAGACCACAGGCGCCTGTAGCGTGGTAAATATTTCAAAAATAACATCAAACTATATATATAATGACTAAGTATATTATGTGTAAAGTCTGTTACATCCATGTTCGTAAGCGAGATTATCAAATAAGTGGTCTGATTCCAATTTCTAATTCCAATGACTCGTTCAGGGGCAAATGACTCGTCTGAAACTGATTCTCTTTCAGTAGATATAATAATTCCAAGGTAAGAAACCTATTTGAATTTACGGTGGCTGATTTAGGACACGCAAAAAAAAAAAAAAATATATTCTGAACGGTCGAGCCGAGATAATTAAGTCGAGCGCTCGAGATAGTTAAGTCGAGCGCACGAGATACGAAGTCGAGCGCTCTAGATAATGCAACCGAACACGTCTCTACCGATGTTTTAAGCTTTATAATTCTGTGCATTATTTAATGATAAACTTGCAGAATAGAGATATTCATTTGTGCAGCCCATCCAAAGCTGCAGTGAGGGAGCGGATATCTACCCCCCTCCTCGCCCCCAGTTCCTACATAATTATGAAATATACAACCTAAGATCAGACCTGAGCTTCTAGATAAGCGGAAATGTCAGTTTCCCCTAGCAAAGCTCTGTCACCTCAATATATACAATTATTGATTCGTATAATAACTTGCGATATAATACTCCCCACATGGAAGTGGGTAGGTATAACGGGAAATATTTAGTGGTGGTGATGAGCATGGGATGGAGTGTGTGTGGGTGGGTGAGGGTGTGTGTGTGGTGTGTGTGGGGGGGGGGGGTATCCGCTCAGTCACTGCAGCTTTGGATAGGCTGTAAAAACGAACAAATGAATATCTATATTCTGCAAGTTTATCATTAAATAATGTACAAAATCATCAAGCTTAAAACATCGGTAGAGACGTGTTCAGTGGCAATACTCACCAAATTTCGCTAGGTAGAGAATCTACCGACGACTTTTAAAAAGTATCCACATGACCCTCTTTTAAGTCACGAGGAAAATTTTGAAAAGTCATTGAACCACATTTCCTTTCATGCAATGTCATAAGGCTGGGTTTTTTTTAAAGTATTTTTTGGGGATATCCGAGATGCAGGAAGATATTCACGGGTTTCCATTTCTGATTTTATTTAAATCATTTCAAAGAAATTTCAGCCAGTTTTTATTTAATTCATACCATCTAAATAAGAGAATCGTTTCTGACAAATTTCGTCTATTTCCGAAACTCATTTAAACTACTTTTGTTTCTGTACAATGTTATTTGTCATTTGGTCATATTATGACTCACGATTCGAAGAATAAGGTCCGACACTTCACATATGAAAATGAAAAAAGTACAGCAAGAAAGAATAGGCATACCCTGCCTCTTCCACGATATCTCTCATTATCACGGTAACGGGGGCCATAGTATGTACCTGATTTCTAAAGCAGAGGACTACCAAGTTTAAGATAATCTCCGTGTCAAACTTATGACTTATGTGAAATACTAGCGGGTATTCTAGAAACAGTGGGGGTTGGATGGCCGAATAATTAGCTCGTGCGCGTTGTATGTTCTGTCACTGAGTCAACTGGCGTGGTTTCGATTCCCCGGTTGTACGTGACAAGGAGTAGGGTCGCCTTTCCAACCCTGTGGGGTTTCTCCGGGTCAACCGGTTTCCTCCCACTGCGCGCAAGAGAATTCTTGAAATAAAATTGAACCATATGTTAGTCCCGAAATGACCTAGTTTGTGTCAAGTGGACGTTAAATCCCATTTCTCTCTCTCTAAAAGGGGGGTTGGGTGGCTGAATGGTTAGCACGTGCGCGCTGTACCATAAAGTCTGTCATTGAGTCAACTGGCGTGGTTTCGAATCCCCGGTTGTACGTGGCAAGGAGTAGGGTCGCCTGTCCAACCTCGTGGGTTTTCTCCGGGTCCTCCGGTTTCCTCCCACTGCTAAAGACCCCTACGCGCAAGCGAATTATTGAAATAAAATTAAACCATATGTTAGTCCCGAAATGACCTAGTTTGTGTCGAGTGGACGTTAAACCCCATTTCTCTCTCTCTCTCTCTCTCTCTCTCTCTAAAAATAATAAGCATACCCTGACTCATGCACCACACCCGCCTCTAATTATAGCCTAGTCTAAAAGAACAATTTCCTTACTAATAAATCACTGTTGGTGCTATAATAGGATTATTAAGATTTGGCGAATTACCAATCAAAATAAAATACAATTACTCATACTAATGCCCTTTTGCCGAAAGGCAAAAGTATGATCTGTAATCTACCACAACTTAAATGATTATTGGGGTCAAATGATTTAATTCTTATTGTTGTAATCCACTGACTGTGTTCAAATGGCGTAATCATTTATAATGTTGTGTAGATTTAACATAGTTTTCATCCTAAACATGCCAACGGATTAATCAAATAACTCTATATTAGGTATTCTCGAACAGTAGACTCGGATGTGAAGACTTTATTTCGTTTAACGACAATAAAGAGCTGGGCAGTAACCAGTTAAATACGGAAACTAAGTCAGCTTATTTAAATACATACGATTGCTCAGATTGACGTCATTATTCCTCTTTACTTATGTTACTTATAGTGATCGCTGTAGTTTAGTATAACAGACGACTCATCTATTCTATGAAATACAAAGCCTTGTTAAAAGCAGACGAGAAAAGAAAACAAAATGACAGTTACAGATTCCGCTACGAATTTGAAATGTGTTGTGGTAGGAGATGGGGGTATAGGGAAAACTAGCATGTTACTGAAATATGTAAATGGTAGATTCATGGATGAATATATACCAACATGTTTTGATAACTATACCGGTAAGTTTTAAACTATTATCTAAGTTCCATTTGAAATTCAAATTAAACTTTGTAAGCCATGTATCAAATTCCAAAATTTATGTGTGATATCGTGTTACACTAAACAAAATGACAAATGGCTGGACGAGGAAAAAAAATCAACTATACACAAAAGACATTATTTATTATTTTCATTCCTTTCAAAAATTGTCGAAAATTAAAAATGAAGTTTTTATTTTCAGTAAAAAGTAGTTGATGTTTTGGTTGCTACAAATCAACATTTTTGTGATAAATCTTTTTAAAAATTTTACTTAAAGTAAAACATAGATCAAAATGTGTACCTAAAGTACATCGCAATCCATTAACAATGGGCTGTACAGATTCCTTTTAGACAGGCTTGACAAAACATATGTTATATTGTCCACCCATTTTATTAGCACTCCTGTGAAATGACGACGGTAAAATATGTACAGGTTTTTAAATGCGCCAGTTTTACGACATTTTATAACACATTAACTGTTTGTGCTGAAGGTAAATTGCGACGGAAAAAATGCATGTCTATGAGTTTTTAATTATTTAAAAAATCTAGAAAGTGAGGGGAAATATCAGTTATGATAACCTTGGGCCCTATATACTAGTATAGGGTTCATCCATTCGATAACCACTTCAGCAGGTCTTTAATATAACATCCATTCAGATGCGCATCATTGCAGGATAGCCTACTGAATCAGCTCCAATCTGGAAACTCCACATACTGTCAATGACGTAATAAATGTCGAGTCTATGGTTATTGGTATGAAGCATACTAAGTTTTATTATAACCCCGATTGTTTCAAACTGAGTAAGACATAATTAGGTATTACTCGACCTGTTTTTTAATATTAAGGTGTAACACATTTAGATATCACGATAAAGTAACTAGAGCTCAGCTACAGGGACATTTATTCTTTAATCAAGGAGCAATTTATGATTACAAATTTGGTTCACGCCCAACTGAAATTCTTAACCTGTTGAAGTAAAAGTCCAAATTGGTTAGTATATCAAAACATCGTTAAGAGTATATTTAATAGAAAATTGATATAGGGCGGGATATAGGCTATCCGTTACCATAAAATAGAGATAAATGGGGTTTAACACCCACTTGACACAACCTAGGTCACTTCGGAACTAACATATGGTTCAATTTTATTTCAATAATTCGTTTGCGCGTAGGGGTCGTAAGCAGTGGGAGGAAACCGGAGGACCCGGAGAAAACCCATGATATTGGACAGGCAACCCTATTCCATGTCACGTACAAACGGGGAATCGAAACTACGCCACCTGACTCAATGGCAGACCCTATTATCCAACGCCCACGCGTTAACCATTTCCCCCATCCTCCACCTACCCTACCCTACCCTACCCTACCCCACCCTTCGCTCTACTATAAATATACATCGTGTAGTACTTATAATGTGTTCTTAAATAAAAACCAGAACAAAACACCAGAACTTATTTGACATAATCCATATAATAATAGCACTAAAATCAATGTAATATTATCCAATCAAATTACTAAAATTTGGATTTTATCTTAGTTAAAATTTCGTGAAACAGGCCCGGATAGAAAAGAAGCCCCGAAATATATCTTTGATTTGATGTTGTATTTCTTATTTATTTGTACAGTTTTGCCCTTTTTACGTATTATTACTAAGTCTACACTTATAGATCTGTTGAGATTTATATTGCATATTTTTTATGCCTTCCAATTTTACTTACAAAATCGTCATAGCTAAGATATAACTATAACGAGAACGTAACGCGAGCCTAACTGGGTACTGATTCATACAGCGACACTGGGCTTTATACCCCATATTACGGTCGTATTGTTTGGGATAATTGTATCATTAAATTAACTACCGTTAGACTGAATTCTAACCAGAAAGAGCAAAGTTCATGTTTTGACGGAAATTATTTATTTAGGTTAGTTGTCCGAGTATAAATCAACGAAAAATGAATGAAATACGGAGTTAACCCAATAAAGTACCGACAATTAATGTTTGGAAATGTGGCCAACTTTTAACATTTTTCAATTTTATATGAAACATTATATACGCAAGAGTGACATCTAATATTCCAAATAAGACATGTTCTGACTATTAATTATAAAATCGTGCTTGGCATATTATAAATTGTTTGAATAGTTGTTTTATGATACGATGTCAAATAATCTGTAAATACAGTATCATATGAGTATCAGTTTATTATATCTATTTTAGATTTCTACTGTTAGAATTAATTACATACGGGTTTGTACAAATGAGATATGTTATAGCATGCTTTGTATAATCCTTTACCCATGAATGTTTATCTAAATTTATGCATGTTAAAACGGTATAATGATGTATGGTCTTCTGTATTTTATGTAAGGCGTGTGCGTTAACTAGAAAACGGTCATTAAAAGGGAAGTGATACGGTGTTAATTATTATCCACCCATTATCAAGTATATTATTGAACATACACCCAAAATCAACAAAGTAGTAAGGTTTCAATTCTAAAAAGAAATTCAAGTACATGTACACCTATTTTCATCATTTTACAGTAATATCAAACAACATCCATATGCTATTATGTCAAAAAAGAAAGTAGGGAGGGGCACATGAAATAGTATTCTGTAGGGAGGCAAAACGAAGGAATGTGGCGAATATGTGGGCACTGAAAACATCTTGGTTATTTCGGACCGATATATACTTAATTTTGTTTCAACATTGACATTGTGCTGCCGCTCTTTTAAAAGGGAAAGAATCCCGTAGTTGGAACCGACCCCACTTTTTGTCATGTAGGGCTTAAATCGTGCTATCAAACCCTGAGCGAGCTTCAGTTAAGTATTAAGCCTAATGGCACTAATTCCAGATATTTTGCCCATATATTCTCCGAAATATATTCTCATTCACTATTCAGCTTGAATGCCTAATAACGCTTTCAAGAATAATTCATATTCAGTTTTATCAAATCGATTCACTTTCTTAGAGCGACATTAACAAATTTTTCCAATGTGATATCACGGAAGAATTAAATGAAAAATTCCGAGTTGTAAATACATGTATAGCATACTCGACAAAAATATCAGTATAAGTATTTGATAGTGTGACAACATTTCCGTAAACACTTTCGATGACAAATCCAGAGAGAAATGCCCAGGGGCGTGTTCAGGAATTTGTGCGTGATGGCTGTGGGATTACCAAAGAATTTTATAAAATACAAACCACTGAGACAATGTTTCTTTTCATTTAAGTGCATACATTTATATTATTAAAGTAGAGGAGGCCAAAACGCCCTGTTGTTTGTTCGACGTAATATCGATGAATGTGGGATAAAAAAAATATGATCCGCGCGAGCGAAGGGGGCGAGTCCTCTAGACATGCACCTCGTGTATACCGTTACTTGATCAAAATATTAAGTGTGGGTCGGTCGGGGCTGTCTATTAGGTGAATGCCTTGATGGAGTTCGAAGATGAGAATTTTCTGCTTAGGGTAAGCAGAGATAAGCAATTTGATTGGTTGATGCTTTGGGACACGATAACTTTAGTTTTAATTAAGTGAGAGTGAGGACACTTGGTGTATAGCTTTATTACATCAATACCTTGACTAAGTACGATAATGAAAATATTCTGCTGAGGGTAAGCAGGGCGATAAGAAATTTGATTGGTCGAGACTTTGGAACACAATAACTCTCCTTCTAATTGAGGTAGAATGTTTAAACTTGGTGTAGGCGTTCATTAGGTGAATGCCTTAATGGAGTTCGATGATGCTTATGGTAAGCAGAGATAAGCAATCTGATAGGCAATCTGATTAAAATACAGATCTATATTTCGTTTCGTTTTTTTATACTTTCGATGGCCTACACTACAAGAAGATCTGACAAGTTATAGCGATAGGTCACGTCAGGAGTGAAAAGACCGAATTATGACCCTATGACGTCAGACATTTGATTAACCAATCAGGATTGATGTTACTAGTGGATTACCCACAGTTCCGTGAAAAACACGCCTAAAGCCCGCCGTAACAGACCGTTTCATTGGCTTATCCCCGACACCATTCAGAACACGAGTTAAATAACAACTCTTCCAGATCCAAGTGTAGTAAAGACAAGTAAAACGAAATTTTGAACTATAAAAACGAAACGAAATAGGATCTGTGTTTTAACCAGTTTGTCTGATAGGTTGATGCTTTGGGGCACGATAACTTTGGTTATAATGAAGTGAGAGCGATGAAACTCGAAATATAAATTCATTATATCATTATCTTGACTAAGTTCGATGGTGAGAATTTTCTACTTCGGTTAAGGAGCGATAAGCAATTTGATTGGTCAAGACTTTGGAACATAACAACTCGCTTTTAATTGAGGTAGAATGGTTAAACTTGATGTAGATCTTCATTAGGTGAATGTCTTGACTGAGTTCAATGATTAACATTTCGAGCTGAAACTAAGCAGAGCTAAGCAATTTCATTGGTCGATGCTTTGGGACAAGATAATCTTGATTCTGTATGGTAGAGAGGGATGGAAGGAAGTGTACAGTTTGATTGCTCGATACTTTTGAAAAAAAAATAAATGTGCGATTAATTAATATGTGTCAACTATTTATTTTGGGATTTCGGCGGGGGACATCAGCCTCACTGTTGGCTTGTTTAATAACCTATGTTTTCAACACGTATTTATTTGAAATGAAATGTAAAATAAAGCTATCTTTAGTTGATACTTGCCGCTTAGGCAAATGCGAGAAACTAAATGTACCACAGTACAGTTAGGTTACAATGATTTACGACTGTGATACACAGAACGTTGTATATCTGTGTTATGGATAATTTCATCCCTACTTTGTCACCTCATTTTAAATAAGTAAACTGTTATTTATTTCCTGACATCACTCACAGCTTAATTTCTGATTACGGTTTCGTAAAGCTAATATGGGATGTGGTAATATGGGAAATTTCATTGTTGGAATTTGTCCGCAGAAATCCACACCAAAGCCAATTTAGGACCTGGGAAATGGCTATTTTGGCTCCATAAAATAGGGTCCGGTAACAGTTATCTGTCACCCAGATATTTTTTTTTTTTTTTTTTTGGGGGGGGGGGGGGGTATGTTTTACAATACTCTTCTTGTATATATTTTCATTTCCAGTCAAGCAGAAATATCAAAAAACATGTTACATGCTGGTCTTCTACTTGTATATGCGCTCCATATTTCACAATACCACCCTTTTATTCACAATTTTATTGCTTTTTCTTTTTTGAAAAGCTACGTCTGTTGCCCAATCTCATTCAGATAGCCCGAATAAAATGTTGTATATAAACAAAAATTTTAAAACTGGGAAAACAAATTTCAAAAGAGGGATATTTATTTAAATTTAAAGAGAAATGAAATGAAATTAAACGGGGTTTAAAGTCTTACTGTTCTCCTCCAACTGGGTTAATGAAGACGGGCGTACGCCATACAGTGTGCTATGAGGGAAATTTTCCCCGGGCAGCGGCAGGGATCTTTTACGTGCACGCTAATGTATACACGGGACGGTTTTTCATCACATCCGAACGACTAGACAGTGGTCCTTGCCAGACCCTCCGTCCTGCACCACTAACAAGGGGAAACCACGTCGGCCAACGCAGGGATCGAACACGCGACCCCAGGCTAGCGAGACAGCGTCTTACCCACTTAGCCACCGTGGTTCCAGATTTAAAGAGAGGTGACTAAACATTTGACTTGGAGATATATAGAGTTTGTGAAGCTATACATCTGAAGCATAATAAAAATGCAATGAGGTTTAACAACCTACTGTTCTACACCGTACGGGCAAACGAAGAGGGGCATGCGCTATACGCAGTGTCCTATGAGGGACATTTTCCAAGGACAGCAGAACTACAGCCTACATCTTATATCGAATTCCAACCGCCAATGTGTGTACATTCATTGTATTGTTTTTGTTGTTTACTCACTTATTTCTTTTACATATCCATATTTATTCATGTATCTATAGGAGAGAGGTCATATAGGCTATGCCCTTTCAATTTCTGAATAAAATATTGTGTAAAGAAAAAAGAAATGTGCACAACAGACAAGGGAAAACCACGGCGAAAAATTCCGAGGAACTTTCTCGGCCAACACCGGGAGTCAACTCGAGACCGCTTAGTTAGTGAGCCAGCGACTTACTCGCCGAGCCACCAAGCTCCCAACTGCATACAAGGCAGCACAATGTTAATGTATATACGTACAACAAAACAAATACCATTGGATTTAAGGTTTTTCAAGATGTATTTTATTCATTAGCCGGGGAGAGTGAGAGACTTTTAAATCACATAACCTGTTATGATCTATGCAAGTCGTGGGTTCGATCCCGGGTTTGTACGTGTCAATGAGTAACGTTGCTTGGCTAGCCTCGTAGGTTTTCTGTGAGTACTCTGAGTTTCCTCCCGCTTCAAAAAGCTCCCTGCTCGCAAGCGAATTAATAGAGATATACCAAAGCCTATGTTGGTAAAAAAAATGTCGCCTGTCCAACCTCGTGGGTTTTCTCCGGTTCCTCCTGTTTACTCCCACTGCTAAGACCCCTATAATCCGCGCAAGCGAGTTATTGAAATAAAATTGAAACATATTTTAGTCCCCAAATGACCTAGTTTGTGTCGCGTGGACGTTAAACCCCATTTCTCTCTGGTCCAAAAATTAAATGAGTATGTGTCCATACGACCATACTCTATTCATTAGACTTTTAAAAACAGAATTAAAAGTGAGGTTTTAAAAATGACATTTCAATGGCCCGTATTCCACATTATCATGCCTATGTCCCGTTCAAAATTCAACGATTCCAACAACCATGCAGTGCGTCACATGAATTAACTAAGATCAACTATTGCGCCATCATGATATGTAAGATAAGTTGTCACTTCTTCGGAGATAACATTATCACCAGATCTTACACATGTTGAGGATTGTTTTAATTGATAAATATACGTGTGGTAAAGCACCTGATCATTAAATACAATTTCTGTTGAAACGACCCACGTGTCCTGGTGTCTTTGATTCGCCAAAATAGGGGAAATACGGATCATGGAAAGCTCGATAGTTATATATATTTTGAATATAAACGGGAAATACACAAAATCCATTGAATACAATCATTGTTGGCATGAGGTATAAAACATGCATTTTAAAAAGCTATAGGGGCTATACAACGGCATTAAAAATTGACATCTAAAGGTTTTGTTTGACTCCATCAGACTATTCCATCCTGGAACATGCAGCTTGTTTCTCCGAGACGCCTAAATTTACGTTTTCCTATAAAGTCCAGGGCCATGTTTCACGAAATTTTAACTAAAGATAAAATCCAAATTTTAGTAGTTTAACAGCCACTTGACACAAATTAGGTCATTTCTAGACTACTTGACTAAATAACAAAACTCATTATCTAAAACGCACACATGAACCATTCAAGGGTGTTGTTTGCGCGTTAGATCATAAGGTCTGTCGTTGATTACAGTGGCGTGGACTGGTACCGATTCTCTTCATGTACGAGACAAGGAGTGGGGTCGTCTCTCCAACCTCTTGGGTTTTCTAGGGGTCTTCCCACTGCTAAAGACCTCTAGACGCAAGCGAATTATTGAAATAAAATTGAACCAGTTATGACAGATAGTTTGTGTCAATGGATGTTAATCCCGTAGCGCCGCTGCCCGGGCAAAATTTCCCTCATAGCACACTGTATGGCGTATGCCCGTCTTCATTAGCCCAGGTAAGGAGCAGAACAGTAGGACGTTAAACCTCATTTCATTTCTCTCTGTTATGACTTCAGTGAGTTGGTGTTGAAGTTGTTGTGTAGATGTACAGTCTACAAACATGCGACCGCTGCAAATATATTATATCTAGCAATCGCTTTCACTTGTGCGTTTTCATTGCTTCTCAGTAAATTTGGCTGTGACATTAAAATCATGGCAAAAATTACATCTGTTATTGAAGGTTGGGAGGCCGGTCACTGAAAATGGTAGTGAAGATAATCACAATTCTTTGGAGTAAAATCGGAAAACAAAAGGGCCACGTGTTAGTGTTCTAATGAACAAATTGTTGGTCAACACCTTTTTAGATCTGCCCTTGGAATCATAAATATAATCTTCACATTTTAATGCATACATTTTTTTTTTTAGCTGTGATAGACATAGAAGATCAAGATATACATTTGAATTTAGTTGATACAGCTGGTCAGGTAACACCTCTATTTATAGATACTTGTTATGTTATTGTAGATTAAAGTTTTAAACATCCCGCTGCTCCAACTGGGATAATGAAGATGGGCATACGAAGGCAATTTTGACCAGACAGAGAGAGATGGGTTTAACGTCCACTCAACGACTCAAACAAGGTCATTTCGGGACTAACATATGGTTCAATTTTATTTCAATATTTCGCTTGTGCGTAGGGGTCTTTAGCAGTGGGAGGAAACCGGAGGGCCCGGAGAAAACCCACAAGATTGGACATGCGACCCTTGTCACGTACAACCGGCAAATCGAAACCACGCCAGTTGACTAAATGACAGACCTTATGATACAGCGAAAGTCACATACGCCAATCCTGCTTTCGGTCGAGAAAGTTCCTCTAAAAAAGCTATTGTTCCTCTGGATTTTACGGTGCCCCCACCACTTGTCAGTGGTGCAGAGCGAGTGGTGGCTGCTTTTCAAACCGCCCAGTCAGTAGCCGGACCTTCGGATTATCGAAAATTCTGACTATCTTATATTCCTGATACAGAAACATGCCATTTAAAAAAGTCTTTAATAAAATATTTATTTTAGAGTAAAATGTATCACATTCACATCCGTTTGGCATCTATTCAAGGCCAAACCATAAAAATAGTTTATTCAAGGAAAAAGTAATTTCATTCTAAAAATTCCAATGTTTATACCCCCCCCCCCCCCAAAAAAAAAAAAAAAAAGACCAATAAGACAAATCTTCCAAGAACGATATTATACCTTACTCGCAAAACAGTTATGATACTGATTATTTCTCAGATTCTTAAATAAGATCGCCACAACATGACCAGCAATAGATTCTTTCGAATTCCTATAGACCCTTGTATGTAGTTTTTAATAACGTAATTTATTTGATGTTCTCCGTTAATCATACGGTTTAATTGTTTAATATATCTTGTTTACTTCTCTAATTACAGGAAACTTATGACCGGTTACGGACTTTATCCTATTATAACACGGATGTATTTATAGTCTGTTTCTCATTGGTGGACCCTGATTCGTTTATAAACGTTAAGTCTCGATGGATACCAGAGCTTAAGGAATTTAAACCCGGAACCCCATTAATTCTCGTCGGCACTAAACGAGATCTAAGAGATGAAAATCCGAATAATACCGATGTCATTTCATATTATAAAGCGAAAAGGACAGCTCGACGAGTTGGAGCGGGCAGTTACGTTGAATGTTCCGCTGTAACTAACGACGGTTTAGCAGAAGTCTTCCGTCAAGCTGTCGTGTCAGCCCTAGGTATTCGTAAAAAGAAACCCTTTTGGTCAAGTCTTAAAAGCTTATTTACACCAAAAAGATTAACAGCTAGACGTTAAAAGTTATTGCCCCACCTAATAATTAGCGGAAAACATAGGTCGTGGCCAGCCATTGCGGTTTACTCAAAAGTGAAGTACCCAGAGTTTATGTCGTTGAAAAACACAACACAATGAACATCATTCTCACAAAAGTATTTATCGGTGGGGATTTCCAATAAAAGTATGACAATTTTGGTGTATATGGAAAGTAGAGGCACCCAATCTTACTAGGAAAATACTGGATTTCTTGAAAAACACCCATGGAGCGCGCACAGGACAAAAATGAGATTGTGTCACTAATTGACAGCCCGGCGATTAACGCCTCTCTGCTCGAATGACGTCAAAGATTGCATGCGTAGATTGTCTGAAAGGGACGTGGAAAAAGTGAGAGACTTAAACGTACAGTTTCTGAGATAAAAAACCACGGAAAAAGACGTGGGGGGGGGGGGATAATCCGAGAATTTACTTAATTAAGCTTCGACATTTATGGGCGATATGGTAAATGGATAACGATTAAAGACAACATAGTCTTTTATATGCAGTAGATTCTCCCCCGGCTCTGCACCCGTTGCTAGTTCCCGCGACGGCCAAGTCACGTGACATACAAATGACTTCTTTTTATAGATTGTTTTATAGCTTGGACTATTTCCGCGCGGATACAATGTTTTAAGAGGGATTTGAAGCAATATTTTTGATCGTTTGAATATGTTTTAAGTCCAAACATATCATCAAATCACTTAGTTTGTACATGGGAATGTATCTTTAAAACGTTAAACAAAATAATATAATTATGTTGTATCCATCTACTATTACGGGAAAAATTGTTGTTCTTTTTGATGCAGTAGACCGTTAAGCGTCAGTCGGTGCGTTACTGCTCAAAAGGCTTAAAGAATTCATTATGACGACTTGTCTGCGATATCACCTCGGTGGAAGCGGACGTTAAATAAAACTAACTCACACACATTATGACGATTTAAGAAAAAGTTTAAAAAATTAGACCAACGTTTCCGAAGAATCTGGGGTCTGAGCGATAAGGAAGTTAACCTTGCACAATAAAGATCGAAGAAAGGCCGTGACGTTATAAGGATAAATTCTCTGTTAGTATATAACGTACTTCGTGCTCACTAACTTGCCACAGAACAGTACTTTTTATTTACACAATAAGATTTCCCTGTATCGTTATGATTTGTGATGTCGGTGTTTTTGTGTTCAGGAAAAGGTCGTCAGAAAACATGAAATCAGAGCGTTACGTAAACATCCGAAATAAATTAAATGATTATGTCATATTTCATACAGGGCTACATGTATGTAAAAGAAAAAAAAATCAAATATAAAATGTTACTTTTTATTAGTGTAATTAGTGTATATACAATATTGAAATATGCCATCTTGTAAATACTCATTTTATTGTTACCCGGTATATGTCTTGTTGATTTTGTATTAAATTGTATATTTAAGTTTACAGACTTTCTTGTGTGAAAGAGAGAGAAATGGGGTTTAACGTCCAGTCAACACAAACTAGGTCATTTCGGGACTAACATTGTTCAATTTTATTTCATTAATTCGTTTGGGCGTATTTGTCTTTAGGAATGGGAGGAAACCGGGGGACCCGGAGAAAACCCATATGGTTGGACAGGCGACCCTACTCCTTGTCACGTACAAGCGACACAAACTAGGTCATTTCGGGACTAACATTGTTCAATTTTATTTCATTAATTCGCTAGGGTGTATTGGTCTTTAGAAGTGGGAGGAAACCGGTGAAAACCCATAAGGTTGGGCAGGCGACCCTACTCCTTGTCACGTACAGGCGGGGAATCGAAACCACGCCACTTGACTCAATGACATGCCTAATGATGCAACGCGCAAGCGTAAACCATTCGGCCACCCACTCCCCTTCTTCTGTGAAACAGTGAATTTGTGGACAGCGAACACACGACTAATTTATCATTTCATATTCTTTGAACGGTATTTAATAAGTGGAACATTATCAAATAAAACACTATTAATTGATAACAATTACTGTGGTTTATTACACTGCGACGTTTCAATAGTCAACCAGATTTCACACAACTTGTAAAATCTTGTTGAAACGTGGCAGTGTAATAAATTACCACAGTACTTGTTATCAATTAATACTGCTTTATTTGATAATGATCTATCTTTTGGTGATTTTTTTTCGTTGCCAATATGCCAGAACACTTCCATTCAAAGCTAACATATCTACCAAACAGCTCGATCGCAGTCAGCCCTTACAATAATAATTATTCCTTTGTGATAAGAGAAATCCCCGATAAATAATTATTGGTGAGAGCTGGGACAAATTAAAGAATGAACCCCAAGACGTGGGTTCAAGTAGTGGATGCATGTGCTCAATTAAAACCCCACGTTATATCTGATGAAATCTCATAAGTCGCTAAGAATCTTATTTTTTTTTTTACACTCCCAGCCATTTCGTCGTACGACGACCTGCATTTGCCCTTTGGGTCTTTTAACCGAAGGGCTAACACAGAACAGAATGTTAATTAAATCTGGAACGAAAGAATGTTTCACAATACCAATTACACGGAGTATCAGTCTTTCATCCCTAAAGAATAATTGGTGGCGGCCGGAAACTGGGCGCGCTCATTAAAATCCACTGATAAATAAATTAAGGAAGGCAAGCCGTAAATCATGCTGCCGTTAATCAATGAAGAATTATCCCGGAATGAAAACTCCAGTTAGTGTAATCTGAACTTGTAAGCCCCACGATTTATCGTTGACAAGATCAAATAAAAAATTGACTGTCACGTGTTCCCTTGTATATACTGGTTTATGGAGACGGGATAGAGTGAAATTGTTGCAGGTATAAATATTGTTTAGCCGTTTTGCTCAATCCGAATTAACAGTCGGGGCTGTTGCTAATAACTGGCGTTAAGCTTATGATCAAGATTCCTGATGGTAAACGGTCAGAGGTAAAGGGACGTAACTCCAAATTTAATGTCAAATTGCAGCTGTTTAAACTTGTAATTTTGAATACATGTAATGATAATGTATTTATGGCATTACTTAATCCCAACACATCTTGAATTTGGTCTTGTACAGCTTTGTTCCAGATTTCGCAACTTTTTTTTCTTCTAGGTTTTGAATTCTTCATAATATTAAAAAGAAAGGAAATAAATCCAAATATATATTTACTGGTAATCATTCTGACTCAATATGTTTTATTGAGTCCAAATCTCAATCTTAATACAATTCTGTTCGACAGAACAGGGTATATTAGCACAAAATAAATAATTTTATATACACTGTACATATTTATGTACCAATCATTCTTAACGAAAAAAGAAAGTTTTATACATGTATACATAAAATGAAAGAAAAGCAAACAAAGAAACAAACATCCACACCCTCCAAACAAACATTAAATAATATCATCTTATACTTGGCACCATTTGTAAATCAAAATTCCTGTTAATATAGTTGAATATTTCTGTAGCTCTGATAGCTGATAACTTTCCTCTTATTTCTATCACTTTAGAAGAACTGTAAAATATACATTATGCTTTAGTCTTAGTAGAATTCATATTATAAAAGAATGGATTTTACAAAAGGCTATCTCAAAATCTTTTTTCAGCAGAAATATATGGCAGGGAATAATGATTCTGGCAACCTAACCATCTTTAGACATCTTTTTAAAAAAAATCTGTGTTCAACACTGGTCTATAAAATTTTCCACAGCAATCCATATTTTTCACGCTGCATTTTATTTTACATAGCACTATCCTACTGCTGTTCAATCAATGTGATATGATTGGGACATAAACTTCCATGACACGTTTACAGACTGTTATGCTTTAAGAAATATAAAATAAAGAAACAAAAAAATATGAGGCCTAAGAATAGTAATTTTAAGTGAAGTTGGATAAACAAGGAGTTAATATCCAGCTGGAAAGCTGTCACTCACAGATTCTGTGTTTAATTCTTCAATATATGTGGTTATGAGAAACTATGTACTACATGTATACTATATAATCTATACTATTCAAAAAAAGTAGGGGATATTTGATTTTTAAGTGTTATTAAAGTCACCTGATGAAACTGACGAAGAAACAAATGACAAAATGAAATGAAGTTCACATTCATCGATTTATTCCAAATGATCGTTAGACTAAGTAAGGCACAGACTGACCATTATAAGGGTAAAATGATACCCGGGGTCAAACAGCAAAGTTACCACAGCATCACAACCAAGTCAGTAACGGGTAAATCCTCCTCTGTTTGCCAAACAAGCATTGATCCGACGTGGCATACTCCTAATGAGACGTCTAAGGTCATTTTGGTCCAGATTGTCCCATTCCTGTTGCAACGCAGCAGCAAGTTCTTGGACATTGGCAGGACGTTGTTGACGTTGACGTAACCTCTGTCCAAGCATGTCCCAGACATGCTCGATGGGGGAGAGGTCGGGACTCAGTGCTGGCCAAGGTAATGTGGTGATGTTCTGTTGTTGGAGGTAACCTGTAACGATTCTGGCCCTGTGACATCTTGCGTTGTCATCCTGGAAGATGAAACGGCGGCCATGACGTCGTGCGAACGGCACAACATGGACTGCCAAGATGTTGTCCCAGTAGTACTGGCCTGTAACACGCCCTGCAACAACATGTAAAGCCGTTCTTCCAGCAATAGTGATGCCTCCCCACACCATAACAGAACCACCCCCAAATCGATCATGTCTGATGACGTTAACGTCTTGGAAGCGCTCGTTTCGACGACGCCACACCCTCCTACGTCTGTCCAAAAAATCAACAGTGAACCTTGACTCATCTGAAAACATCACATTGCTCCAGCGTCGATTATCCCAGTGTTGACGATCCCTACACCAACGACGTCTTGCCCGAATGTGATGATCTCTCAAACAAGGGATCACGCGAGGACGTCGGGCGCGAAGGTGACCCCTATGCAGTCGATTCCGAATCGTCTGGCCACTCACTCTCACACCAGTGTCTGTTTGAAGACGAGCGCTGATCTGATTTGCTGTGATGACACGATTTCTCAAGGCCAAGGTACGGATAAATCGATCCTGGGCTTGAGTTGTCGCCCTTGGTCGACCTGAGCGTGGTCTGTCCTGTACAGATTGTGTATCACGGTATCTGGACCATAGCCTGCTTATGACAGACTGAGAAACATTCATTGTCCGCGCCACAACCGCCTGTGTTGTGCCGATCTGTAGCATGCCAAGGGCACGTAACCTTTCATTTTGGGTAAGCCGACGCATATCAAAATTTGTTTTCTGGTCACTAAAACAATTAAACTGATGTTTCCACCCTGGAATTCAATGCCACAATGACTGTAACATTCAAAGTCAGAGTCGTGCAAATCTTGGGTTGGACCCCCATGATGATCCCAAGCATCACCTGCATTCCATGCGGTAGCTATTGGTGCGTTTGGGCGTCACATGTAACTGGAAATGTTTCTTCTGTTAGGTTCTATAGTGACTTTTTTCGTAGTCATTTGCATATTTTAGTATTATGCCCCCAAAATCAAATATCCCCTACTTTTTTTGAATAGTATATAAACACTTTTACCTGTTTAAGAACTGTGATACGGTCTTAAAGTTATGAATGAAGTTAACAGCTTGAATATATGTCAGTTTAGGAATAGATAAGTAAAACTTCAGCATCTGGTGAAACAAATAATAAACATACTTAGTAAAATGATCATGGAGAACAATTATCCCAGTTCATCAAATGCCTCCTGAAAACTAGAAATTTGTTTCCCTAGGCCTAATAAACAGAAAAAATACAACCATTCACCATATTAATAAAATAAGCAGAGTATTCTATACTGTGCTATTTGAAAACATGTTCAAATCAAATACACTATATGCAGTCCCAATTACAAAAAATATATCTTTTAATTAAAAAAGAAAGAATATTAAAATTTCTAACTCTAAAATGAATATAAGACATACACTCACAGCAGCTAAGTAGCCCGGGCAGTCAACAAGGGTTGTCACATATTTTTTCTTTTGTCGGTAATGAAACATTTACAATATACTAAAAAATCTGATTAAAATCACTAACTCGGTAAGTAATTATCAGAAATCAGTAGCATTTGTTTGATTTCTTGTGTTCTGCTTAAATCAATAGGCTTTTTTGTCTCATGATCTTAACACTGTGTATAAATTTAAAGTCAATCAGATATTAGATTTAGCCTCTATAGCGTCTACAAGATCTTTTAAAGTGATCAATGGCCATAACTCTGGCAGTAATTATCGGAAATTGTTGAAAATCAATAGCCGCCCTTGTCTCATGACCTTAAACACTGTTTATAAATTTAAAGTTAATTGGATATTATATATAGAGCATCCATAAGATATTTCAAGATATAGAAATGAAAGATACCAACATTTCATTTTGTTTTATACATTCAGTAATACGTAGATTTGCTTGGCTGCCTAAAGCAGGTTGATAATTCTTTTGACCAACCAAATAACCAGAATGAAATAATAACATCTAGTTTTAAATAGATTGAAATTTTACCTGTTGTTGGTTTGGTGTCAGATTTAAAGGAACTGATATAGATAATCCTTTTTTATGTTCTAATTGACATAATTCAACTAACACACCTACAGTCTCACCTGAAATATGTAAATAAAAAATACACACTGTATTATTCTTTTTATAATACACAACAATACTTAAAGTGGGGGGGGGGGGGGTGAGCGAGTGAGAGAGATAGAGAGAGAGAGAAAGAGAGAGAGAGAGAGAGAGAAATGGGGTTTAACGTCCACTCGACACAAACTAGGTCATTTTGGGACTAACATGTGGTTTAATTTTATTTCAATAATTCGCTTGCGTGTAGGGGTCTTTAGCAGTGGGAGGAAACCGGAGGACCAGGGGAAAACCCACGAGGTTGGACAGGCGACCCTACTCCTTGCCACGTACAACCGGGGTTTCGAAACCACGCTAGTTGACTCAATGACAGGCCTTATGATACAGCACGCAGGTGCTAACCATTCGGCCATCCAACCCCCCTAAGAGAGAGAGAGAGAGAGAGAGAGAGAGAGAGAAAGAGTAAATGGGGTTTAATGTCCAGTATGTGATTTCGGAGCTAACAAAGTTGCCCCAAGAAATAAGTAGTTGTTTCTCCATAGTCCTAAAAGGTATACCCAGAGACATGGAGTTTAACTGTCCACTGGGCACAAACTAGGTCATTCTAGGACTATCACATGGTTCAATTTTATTTCAATTATTTGATTGCACGTTGGGGTCTTTAGCAGTGGGAGGAGACCGGAAGAGACAGAGAAAACCCACGCCACTTGACTCAATGACAGACCTTCTGATCCATCCTGTATGCATTAACCTTTTGGCCACCCAACTTCAGACCATATCAAACAATGTGGAACCTTACCTTCGATGTCACTTCTATTTGAGAGAGGAGGTAAAAAAAATGGTATAAACCTTTTACAAACTAAGGTGGGTCGCACAAATTTGGTGTAACTGGAATTTTTGTCACAAAAATGAGGCAATTTCTACCTTTTGAACAGCAAGTACTAATTGGATGTTAATACCACACTGTTATACATTACGCATTTAATGAATAGTATCATAATATTGGGACACAAGTCTACACCAAACAAAAAACCTCAAAATAATCAAATAAAAGATTGATTAACCAATCGACGTTGATGTTTCTAGTGGGATACCCACAGTTCCATGCACTGCACGCCAAGAACTCGCTGCAACAGATAGGTTTCATTGGCTAATCCGTCACATCAACAAGAACATGGGTTATATAACAACTCTTCCAGATTCAAGTGTAGTAAAGACAAGTAAAACTAAATTTTGAACAAAAAAAAATGATACAAAATAGGATCTTTATTTTAATCAGATTGGTCCCATATTATTAAAGACAGCCTAAATGTTTTAATATCTATATGATGTATATTGTACTTACTCTGAGATTCAGTAAATAATAATCTTATATCACTGTGTGATAATGATGATATAGTTTGATCAACATATTTAGATCTATGTCTACAAAATAAAACAAACATGAAGATATTAATCTACTCAAATGTCATTATCTGTATATTTATAGGTAAATATGAATATAATATGTTCGAAAGTAACATACAGGGGCTGGCTGAAAAGTTTTAAGTCTGAAAAGGTGAGATCAATATGGTTAAAACAAACTTTTGCCACCAACAAGTACAATCATTGAACGAATCATAAGAACAGCAACTGTAGTGTTATTATTGTCACCTGAAATGGACAAAACTGACTATAGCACAGTCATCAAGTACCTGAAACTGAAAGGACTAACTCCAACACAGATACATGCTGACATGGTCTCGACTTTAGGGGATGGTAGTCCTTCCTTTAGCACAGTAAAGAAGTTGGCTGCAGAATTTACGAGTGACAGGGAGAACCTTTGATGATGACCCACACCACCTGGAAGGCTATTAACAGCCACCATTCAAGAAAACATTACCCTGGTGCATGACATGGTGATCGATGATTAACCACTCAACATACAAAGTATTGCCAGTGTTGTGGGCATCTTTCATGAGAGAGTTGAGTACATTAACACCAACAAGTTTCTGCAAGATTGGGGCCAAAGCTCTAGACTGACATCCCGTGACAATCTGTGCCGTTTTGAAGCCGATATTGGTAATGTTTTTACCAGATTTGTAACCATGAATGAGACTTGTTTCCAAAAATGAAAAAAAAATCCAAAACGAGTCAGTATTCATTTTCCTAATGATGATGTCATGTTAGCTGTGAACGACTTTTTTTTTAGGGTGGCTGAAGAAAATATTTTCCTGGCCAGCATTCAGGCCTTGCATGTCTTTAAACAAACAATTTCATTTGCAGATGTTGGTTTTCTTTTAGTGACAATATTGATGCTGAACTGTGGGAACTTATGAAAGTGATTTTATAAAAGAAAATCTGACCCTTTTTTAACATTTTTTTCTGTTCCAACTTTAATTTTATCTGTTTCAATAATTAAACAACATCTGTCATATAAATCACGCATCTTCTGTAATCTATCTACCAATTTACTGTGATTTGATCCATTACTAAATTCTGAAATCAAAAATTAAGACTTCAAGATATTGCAAGAGATTAACATGCTGTCTCTCAGTAACTGTAAGCCATGTGTTATGATGCACTTTGATCCAATATGTTATATTAAAGATAAATTGCAAGGCAACAGATATACACCCGCAACAGCTAATTCGTTCAACCAGTCCACAAGGTAAAATCATCAGATGTTATAATATCATGTTTGAAATTAAACAGGCTTATTTATTTCACTAAATTGAATAATGCACATAAATTTCATACAGATCAGATGATAACTTTTGTTATTAGAGGAATCGTAAGAATTTGCAAAGTGAAACAAGAGTCATGACTCTAGCAATAATTAACAAGAGTTTATGTCTATCAGTACCGGTAGTTGAATTAAACAAGTTTGAAATTGCAACATACAGGTGCATAAAAACGGATAACACAAATTGGGCAAACGCTAAATATTAGTTATTTACCTGACCAAACTTGTCTATCTACTGCTAGTCTTGTGGATATCATATAATCACAGAACTTTAATTGACGAACTTCAACATTAATATCATGTTTTAAACGCAGATTAGAAATAATATCCTGAAGTTAAATACATGTAAAATATTATTTTATTTCATTACAAAAAAAAACTGGGTAAATCAAGACTGCAGCAATTGTACAAATTTTTTTTCTATATTATTCTTTTCTACATTACATGTATGTTCTGTTGTAATTTGTCGCTAAATCCCCTCAACACATTCAATAATGGAGAACATTGGGGTTACATACCTGTGCACCACTAATTTCTCTTGAATCTACTATTATAGTTAATTTACTTGTTTTTATAGATGATTTCTATAAAATATAAATATCTAGAATTATATGTACATTCTTTACTTCTAATTATCACTCAAAACACAATTATGACTTACTGGTCATAAGATTAAAGATAATTATGTAAGAGCTAAACGAATGAAATTTTCAATATATTCATTTATCATTATTCTTAAACTATTATTGAGAGAGAGAGAGAGAGAGAGAGAGAGAGAGAGAGTGAGAGAGAGAGGGGGGGGGGTAACATCGACCCCACACAAACTAGGTCATTTTTGGACTAACATATGGTTCAATTTTATTTCAATAATTCGCTTGCGCGTAGAGGTCTTTAGCAGAGGGAGGAAACTGTAGAAAACCCACGAGATTGGATATCTGACCCTACTCCTTGTCCTTGTCATGTATAACCGGGGAATCGTAACAACCCCAGTTGACTCAATGACAGACGTTATGATACAAAGTGCGCACATGCTAACCATTTGCCCCCCCCCACCCATTATAGCAAGAAAGGTCAGCTCTTTATCTAAATCTTACATAATACATCATTAAGCTAAGAAATTAAATAGTCAGTCAATTTACAGATCTTTCACTTAATAGTTTTTCTGTGTACATAAACTAAGCAAGCTTAAACATAAAATCAGTCATTTTGTAAAAAACGGAATAACTGATCAAATTTTGATGCAAGTGTTATAAATTGGATCTCACCTCAGATAGAACCTCCTCCATAATATCTTTAGCAGTTGTATTATTTAAAGTGAAACAATTGGCTGAAACATTCACATCTGCTTCAACATCCATACATACTTTACTCTGTTCTAATAATTTGGCTTTAAAACCTTGTTGTTTTAACTTCTGCCTTTCTAATCTTTCTTGTTTAAGTTTGTCTTGTTCTGACACCAGATTAACATCAGATGCATTAGGTTCAGAGACAAAATTGCATTTTGAGACAGCATCAGACTCAATGGCAAGATTTTGTTTCTTTTTATTATCACTAGAGTCCTCTTTTATGAGAAAGCTTGGTTTATGACTAGCTGTGTTAGCTACGTTTGGAATGTCAAGAATATCGTCCTCAAATAAATCCAACTCTAAATCAAAATTTGGAAATTCCACATCATCTAATGTTGCAGAAACAGTACTCACAATATTTACTGGTGCTACAGAAATGTCAGTTTTGCTGACACTAGTTTTAACAGTAACATTTTTAGATTTACTTTTATCACAACTTTTATTCTCAATACAAATACTGGTTTTGCTTGATATGGAATCACAACTTGTATTTGCATGGGTGTGAAGTCTTCCATGTATTTCATCATCTTCACTACTAGATAAGAAAGCATTTTTAACATGTTTTGGATGATGCTGAGAAGTGTAAAATGATGATGTGTGTTGAGTTAACGGTATAACTGGTTTCATATCATCTTCACTTGATGATTGTGATAATTTACACAGTCTTTTCATTCCTTTCATATTATTTAAATTTTTCTTTTTTCTTTTATTTTTTCCTTTGGATTTTGTTTCCAAAATGTCTTCTTCACCTTCAGTACTCATATCTACAAAAAAATACATAATAAAAGGATATTAATCAAACTTTAAAAATATTAATTTTGCAACTGTCAGAGTGAGTTGATGATTAAAAGAAAAGCTAATTACCCAATTTATTTATCAAACAATTCTTGAACTAATGTTGGGGTTATTACTATTGACTAGCCAAAAATAACAGATTGAAAAACATATTCTAAATTAAAAATCTGATCTGTACGAAAATTGACAAATCTGAACCCCAAGTAACAAAATACTGTAAAATTTCAGTAACATGAATCAATTTTGTAAATTACTGGTATTGTTCATGTGAACTAGAACAACATCTTGTGCAGTGATGTTTTCTAATCTTGTTTTCGGTCAATTATAACATTACTAATACTAGATAATATCCCCAAATTTCTGTAAAATACAGGTAGTTCAGATGAATATTGTAAATGAGAAATCTATCAATCAATAACAATTTGTCACAAGAAAATTCACTTGATGCAGCTAGTTTTCTGTTGTAGTTTCGAAGGAAAAGAATTCAAGCTTAATAACAAAAATATGTACATTTATACCGCTGACAGTTCCATGCTAGTATGCATGCTCAAGGCGCTACACAGTCTAGGGCCATAATAGGCCGTAAATCGTGGAGATTTTAATTTAGTTTTGAACGTTTCTAGATTGGATGATAGTTTAATGTTCAGGGGTCACAAATTCCACAGAATTTGAGTTTCTATTTTGGAATTATAAGAAAGTGTTTTTGTTAAGAACAGAATACAAGTCCAGGAAAATATGATAATAAAAGATCTGCTGGATAGAAAGGCCTGTTTCCATGTAAACACTTAAACACAAGAGCTTAAAATCTATTCTTGATATAATAGTCCGGTGGCTGAAGGGGGGGAAATGCCAACCAAGCTGTGAATTTATGAGATCAAGTTTTTCTAGACCAGTTTTTTGCGTAGATTCCGAATCTGTGTGGTGATCAGGCATTTGAGGGGGCGTTTTCGAGATATAGGGGTCAAATGTCTACAATAGTGTGTGTGTGCGTGGGTGTGTGTGTGGGGGTGATGTCATTATGTTGACATAATATATTAATAAAACATAAATTTCTAGGACTGCCCATCTATAAATAAGTGTTTATGATGCCCCTGGACAACTGTTTTGATTTATGGGGAGGTGGGGGGGGCAGCAGGTGTGCGTGTAGAGGGGTGGGGGGGATAAAATTGGCGGGGAAATGAGTTCACGTTGATTTAAATGATGATTTTCTAAAAGATTGATGAAACATCTCTAAATATGTGTATAAGATTCCTATTGTATGGGGGTGGACGCCGGGGTGAGTGCCCTTTGGATATGCTTCAGCAACCAGTTCACATTGTAAATCTTTATTCCAGCCATGCAGCAAAAGACCACGTATACGGCAAGGTTGTAATAAAGAAAAGTCTGTTATTTTTTCACCCAGAAAATCTTTTTTCTAGCGTCATCTACTGATGTAAGTCGTCTTTCGCGATATGTTCTACCTTTGCCTGCTCATTATCGATCAAAATTTGTATATTTGGATCATCGTTTGCGAAGAGAATGATTGGGAAGTCTATTTCATCCGAGCAAGAACGCAAAAAACAATTTGTTTCAGCACCTGCATTAATTTACAATGCGAAGAGGAGTAGGTAAAAGAGAGAGAGAGAAATGGGGTTTAACGTCCACTCGACACAAACTAGGTCATTTCGGGACTAACATATGGTTTAATTTTATTTCAATAATTCGCTTGCGCATACGGTTCTTTAGCAGTGGGAGGAAACCGAAAGACCTGGAGAAAACCCACGAGGTTGGACAGGCGACTCTACTCCTTGTCACGTACAACCGGGGATTCGAAACCATGCCAGTTGACTCAATGACAGGCTTTATGATACAGCACGCACGTGCTAACCACTCAGCCACCCAACCTCCCGAGGAGTAGGTAAGATATTTTGCGTAGATTCCGAATCTGTGTGGTGATCAGGCATTTGAGGGGGCGTTTTCGAGATATAGGGGTCAAATGTCTACAATAGTGTGTGTGTGCGTGGGTGTGTGTGTGGGGGTGATGTCATTATGTTGACATAATATATTAATAAAACATAAATTTCTAGGACTGCCCATATATAAATAAGTGTTTATGATGCCCCTGGACAACTGGTTTGATTTATGGGGAGGTGGGGGGGGGGGGCAGCAGGTGTGCGTGTAGAGGGGTGGGGGGGATAAAATTGGCGGGGAAAAGAGTTCACGTTGATTTAAATGATGATTTTCTAAAAGATTGATGAAACATCTCTAAATATGTGTATAAGATTCCTATTGTATGGGGGTGGACGCCGGGGTGAGTGCCCTTTGGATATGCTTCAGCAACCAGTTCACATTGTAAATCTTTATTCCAGCCATGCAGCAAAAGACCACGTATACGGCAAGGTTGTAATAAAGAAAAGTCTGTTATTTTTTCACCCAGAAAATCTTTTTTCTAGCGTCATCTACTGATGTAAGTCGTCTTTCGCTATATGTTCTACCTTTGCCCGTCTCATTATCGATCAAAATTTGTATATTTGGATCATCGTTTGCGAAGAGAATGATTGGGAAGTCTATTTCGTCCGAGCAAGAACGCAAAAAACAATTTGTTTCAGCACCTGCATTAATTTACAATGCGAAGAGGAGTAGGTAAAAGAGAGAGAGAGAAATGGGGTTTAACGTCCACTCGACACAAACTAGGTCATTTCGGGACTAACATATGGTTTAATTTTATTTCAATAATTCGCTTGCGCATACGGTTCTTTAGCAGTGGGAGGAAACCGAAAGACCTGGAGAAAACCCACGAGGTTGGACAGGCGACTCTACTCCTTGTCACGTACAACCAGGGATTCGAAACCATGCCAGTTGACTCAATGACAGGCTTTATGATACAGCACGCACGTGCTAACCACTCAGCCACCCAACCCCCCGAGGAGTAGGTAAGATATTTTGGTGTCCTCGTTGTTGGTTGTCAGTTTTAGGATATACTCAACACTTTCAATACTAATCTTGATATTTTTTAATCCGATCAAGATTAGTATTGAAAGTGTCGAGAATATCTCGGCCTACATGCTTTCAGTGGTGATGACTATCTGTCTTTCTTTTTCAAGATAATCCCAACTTTCTAACAATTTTTAAAGAACTAGGATAGACAAACGATGCTTCTGATGACGTAATTGCTGGTTTAGAAAAAAATGTTTGTACATGTACCTTGTACGGCGAAAACCGACTTACATCAGTAGATGACACTAGAAGAAAGATCTTCTGGAGAAATTTTAATTGTGATGAAAAATAACAAAACTTTCTTTATTACCATCTTGCCCGAGTAGTCTTTTGCTGCACATTAAACGCAATAATTATGTTGCAGCAATATGGAGACAGGTTGCTAAATTAATGATCGAACAAGATGACTTTGCGATACAAGGCTTGAATGAAGATTTACAATGTGAATGGGTAACTGAAGCATATCCAAAGGATATACACAGGCTGTTGATCAGCCATCAAGAAGATATCTATCCCGCACATATTATAAGAATAAACAAATATCTAAACATGTGTTTTTTTATGTACATTTCAAGATCTCTCGAAAAGAAAAGTACCATTATAATTCAATATTTTGAATGACAATATTGGCACTGAACGTAAACTCGAGAAAACACTTTTCAGGTTAATTTTGAACCAAGTGGTTTCTGTCCCCCAAAATACACTTACCCTCCCCCCCCCACCCATACAATGGTAATCGTATACACATATTTAGGGATGTGCAGTGGAATTAAAAAGTAATGTTTTTACCAAGCTCTAAGAAAATCATCAATGTGAACGCCAATTGTACCCCCCCCCTTCCATAAACGCACACCTGCTACCCCCACCCCACCTCTCCACAAATCAAAACAGCTGTCCAGGAGCATCATAAACCCTTATTTTAAGATGGGCAGTCCTAGAAATTTATGTTTTATTAATATATTATGTCATTATATAACATAATGCCCCCCCCCCTCACACACACACCTGCAATCCCCACCCCACCTCCCCACAAATCAAAATAGTTGTCCAGGGGCATCATAAACACTTATTTATATATAGGCAGTCTTAGAAATTTATGTTTTATTAATATATAACGTCAACATAATGACATCTCTCTTCCCCCCCCCCCATTGTAGACATTTGACCCCCTATATATCGAAAATGCCCCCTCAAACGCCTGATCACCACCCAGATTCGGAATCTACGCAAAAAACTGGTCTAGAAAAACTTGGTCTCATAAATTCACAGCTCGGGTGGCGATTCCTCCCCTTCAGCCACTGGACTATAATGGGTAGCCAATGAAGTTCTTTGAGTGATGGTGTGATATGCAAGTTCCTGGTTAAGTGACTGATGATTTGAGCTGCAGTATTTTGAACAGTTTGGAGTTTTGATACCAGTTTGTGGGATATACATGTACCAGATAACAGGCTATTGCAATAGTCAAGTCTTGATAAAACGAGCAAGTATGATATCTGCGTTCTTAGATATAAGATTATGAATGTTTCTGATAGACTGAAGGTGGAAAAAGCAGGTTTTACAGATATAATTAATTTGAAATTCCATAGAGATGAAATTTTTCTTTCTTATCATTTCTATTTAAGGTATCACTCACTGTCCCATCTCAGTTGTTTTCCTTCTTTGATATAATCAAAGTTGAAGTATCTTGGTGCCCTATATAGGCCCTACAGGCCTAGATATTCATACATAGGCCCTATATTTTTAATTATTCCAAGGGGCAAGTACCCCCCACCCCTCAGAAAACCTGAATATATAAAATAAAGGAATACATTTATTTAGGTCAAATTACTTTAACAGCTCATACTATGGAGCTTAGTGTAGTCACAAACCAATTAGAGTTAGCTCCCTTATAAAAGTCTCTGAAATTGATGTCTGCTAGCCTACTGTCATTAGCCTGTTTACTAGTGTCAAGAAGGGATGCTGGTTTTTGACTTAAAACATAAAATAGGGAAAGAAAGATTGGAATGGGGTTTTAGAATGAGTAAAATAGAATTCCTAGAAGACAAGCCAAGTCCAAGGTTGGTACTACATTTATCTAAATTCTAAATTTGACTCAATTGACACGATTGTTGTATCTTGAATGCAGTTATTTCAGACAAATAAGAAACAATGAAAAAATAAAGTAAACAGGTTACTCTCCCCCATTTGCACCTTACATACACCATAAACACTTTTTAGGCTGATTAAGTATTGAAAAGAAAAGGCTTCCCCAATATACCTACCGCCCCAAACCAACACAACACCAACCCCATCAATACGCCTTCAGTAGGCCTATTTGTGATAAATGCACTTAGTTTGTAATAACTGCTCAACAGGTAGCCATCCAATTTAAATTTAGAATGCAATCTATTACATAAGTAACCATGAATAATTTAGAAACACTTGATGGTGTGTGAAATCTGGGGGAAGATTCCACGTATATGTTCAGTGAGTCGCATCTTAGGGATTCTGGTCATCCAGTCATTTGGCAGGTGTATGATGTATGAGGTGATCTGTCCCCGCTATGGATGCTAGGTTACACCCGATCCTATGCATGTACGGCTTTCTAGATAGAAAGGGAGGCCATATGTGGTCAGCGCGAGTCTTCCTTGTATCTCTCTATCACAGTGGTAGATTGAGATATGTAGGGTCTCATATATCATCAAGCTTTAAAATTAGTTTCTTAACCTTCCATTCCTTTATTTTTGAATTCAAGAAATATTATTCCAGACATTTTAGGAGATAAGTGATAATATAAGTTCTATGTGCACAATGGAACATAAGACATGCTCACACATAAATTATAAATAATTATTGTACTATATATAGTGCCATTATAATTGTAGATTATTTTGTTGGATAAAAATCTGCCTACATTAAAAATTTTATGTCTATAAATAAATCAGTGTTTAGATATAACCGATTTTGAGTTCCACTGTCAACACAATAAGACAAAATTTATACTAAACAATCCACCTTTCACTTAATCTTTCAAAACAAAAACAAAAAGTGACACATCAGATCAACACAATTCAATACTTTATTTTTTTTTGACCCCTATCAAAGTTCCTTTGAATAGCCATATGAAAAAATAAAGAGCCGAAAGAAGATAGTTCCTTGTGAAAACTTCATTCTCTGTTCAGTTCTACACAGAGATGATATTGATAGTGAAGCCAGAGAATTTGTCCTATGGTTACACGTATATTGAATATGAACAAGACCATGTGCTTGTTAAATGGTAAGTAAAAAAAAAATGTATTCAAATTATAAATTTAGTGTCGCACTGGATTATATAGTAATTAACATGCTTTTCATGGTTGTGATTTTTCGTACAAGTCTGATATGAGCAAATATCAAAAGGATCCTGAGATCTTTGGGATATAAACATTTGTTTAAATTTCATCAAAATCGGATAAAAACTGTCATGTAAATTTTTAATAGTTTAAAGATTTGTTTATGCACCACAATCATCATGTGAAAGTACAACTTAAATCCGAAAGTATAAAATTTAAATTCAAATTTAGTATTACATGTACACTGTAATTGTAATATGAAAATAAATCATATACCAATAAATAGTAGTAACAAAACAATGAGGACAAAATATCTACCATTCTGAATATTTAAAAATAAAAGGCTCCAACTTTAATTTCAATCAATAGTCCCCAAATGTCTAAAAGAGATAAATCAACTTACAGGAGTCTTCATAATCATTATCTACACAAAAACTGTCTTCCATATATTCTGAATGTTCTTCTTCTCTAGGTACTTGTGAATATACATCATGATGTTTATATTTATACTGTAGTCTATATTTACCATGTATAGGTACCAACGGGCTTTGTACTGATTTTAAATACATAGCTTGAATATCCACTAAAATAAAACATGTAGCTAGAGTGACTCAGTGTATCTCAAAAGTTTTCACTATCAATAATTGGTTAATATTAATGAGTATGTAAGAAAGAGTATGAGGTCTAAAGTGCAGACATTATGTTTTAGTAATAGTTCATAATTTTCTCTTTGATGTAGTGAAGTAGAAATGAAATGAAATAGGGTTTAACATCCTACTTTTCTACACTAGCCGGGAGAATGAAGACAGAATACTCAGGGTTCTGACTGCCATCTACATCCTGCTTAGTTTAGAATTTAAATTTAGTCACTAATTATAAATTATATATAGTATCTTGTAAATAAATATTCATTAACGGGTTTTTTTTGGTGAAGCAAACATTCACATTACCTGAATCATGTAGATGGGCTTGAGAAGAATACTGAGTTTCATCATTGATAAAATTACCACTAAGTTGATCCAGATCACTATCATAACTTTCATCTGATGAGCCACCTTCTCCTGATAACTCAGCTTCTTCTACTATAAATTCACACCTTCTGGTTTTCTTCTTCTACAAATACAACATTTAACTTCAGTCTTTTTTCTCTATATTATATATCCAAATATTGACATGAAATTGGGTCATTGTTAGACACAAAAGAGGAGCATATACAAATATGCTTCATTAAAATAAAATCTTATAAAAGATAAAGGATTATAGATGCTTCCCCCATTTGCTATTCAAAATGAACATTTCTATATGGATTCTACAAATTCTACACTTGTTCTTTAAAAGTAATATGTTTATTTCACAAAGTTCTGCAGACCTTTTGGGCTTTATTTTGTACTTTCATATCTGGTTTATTTGACTTGGTTACTGCAACAAAAAATATAAAACTATAATATGTACTTATATATAATGTTGTCATATATGTACAACAATTCTATACTGAACTTCTCAGATATGTATTGCTAAATTATTTAAATCTATGACTGATTAAAAAAAAAGCCAATGGCCCAAATCATTGCCAAATATAATTATGGTTTGAAATTCATGATCAAATTTGCGGTATAGTATTTTAGAATACACAGCCACTCAAATGTAAATGAGACAGAAATTATTTGGATTTACTCATCACCTGCAAAATCATCATCGGATAATTCATCACTCAGTTCATCCTCATTATTACACAATACCCTGGCTAACTCATTCTCATCTTCACTTGATATATTTAATGGCTGGAAAATATAAATGCATATGTTTCAGGTCCTTATTGCCAAAAACTTAATGTATGAAACCTATAAAAACAATTTTGTTCACTCTATAAAAACACCATGAACCTTATTTAATATTATCTACATACACAAGTTTTCTTTGGCTTTCTTCTTCCAATGGGTTTGGTTGGCGTTTTAAACTCTGGTTCATCTAAAAAAATATTGAAAACAATATTTTATAAGCAAGAAACATTATGAAATCAGAACTATATTTATACTACAATTTATTTTTAATTGAAATATGGCGTGAATTAGCTAATACTACAGCATTCTGTGAAATCCGTCATCATTTTCATGTCCCGATTTATTTCCTAATTACTTCAACCAAAAAAGTTTTGAGTAGTCCAGATTCTGAATATTCCGAATTACGACCTCAACCAGTGGTCCAGTCACATGATTTGTGTTCAATTAACATTGGATAATCCGGCGTTCAATCAGTGGGTGTTACCCAACAAGCAATCACCAAACAATTATTTGTGAGCATAAAACATGTGTCGGTCTTTGTTGACTACCTTGATAATTTTATAATTTCTTTTAAGAGAGCGCTTTGGTATTTGATTTGAGTTTCTTACTTCAAATACAGTGACAGAATATTATAAATTGCCAGGATGAAGAATCACTTGTTTTTATTATGACAAAGGGAGTTGATGACCAGCCCTCTCTTCTCATGACAGTGATTTTTTAAGTGTGTTTTAATCTTAAATTGACTTTTTTTTTTTATACACAAGGACTTTTTTTTTTCAATTTTGTGTTTTTATCTGAGCCCCTCAATTTGTCTATATTTTCAATATCAATTTCCCGATTTAAGAAACAAATTTACATGAAAAAAAATATAAAGACAAGGATCTTTGTGCAATATTATTTCTAATTACATAAAAACTTGTTAGATAACCCCTAGGGGTTAAAAAAAAATCTCAGTTCAAGTCATTTATTATGACACTGGTGTGGAACAACAGACGGCAAGAAGGGAATTTCTTTTAAGACTTTTAGATTTAGTTTTAAGGCTTAAAATGATTTCTTTTACCCATGGCCAACTGAATGTGATCAAATGAGACTACAAGAATTCAATATAGATCCTAGTTAATTAATTTCAAGGAAGCGGTTAGTTTTCCTCAATTACCTTTCTTTTGCTGTTTTTTTATATGCCCACATATTCATGTTGACGTATTATGCCGTCATCCATGGACGTCTGTCTGTCCACAATTTGCTTGTGGACACTGTACAGGTCACAATTTTTATCTGATTTTGACGAAACTTGGAATATAGGTCTATCTACCAAAGCTCTTGGTTCCTTTCGATATCGGCATATATCAGACCATAACTTCATGAATTATGGCCCCTGATTGTACGAAAGAATCAAGTTTTTAGGTTGTGGACACTCTAGAGGTCACAATTTTTTTTATCTGATCTTGATTTAACTTAAAATGCATGTTTATAACCGAAAGATCTTGGCCTCTTTCAATATTTGCGCATATCGGATCGTAACTTCCTGAATTATGGCCCCTGATTGTACGAAATATCCTGTTTTTAGCTTGTGGTCCCTCTAGAGGTCACAATTATTATACCATTTAAAAAAATGTTTGGATATATCACTGTTACATCGTAATGTTGGTTAAGTTCAAATTTCGTGAAAATCGGACCAAAACTGTCAGACAAAATGGCCACCCCTCGTACGCAAATAGTGTAAAAAATATGGTATATCAAGGTTGTAGACCCTCTAGAGGCTGCAATGTTTATCCGATTTTGATGAAACTTTAAAATTATGTTTATATCACAAAGATCTTGGTTCCTGTCGATAATCGCACATATCCGAACATAACTTACTGGATCATGGCCACTGATAGTTCACTTTGTATTCAATTTTAAAAATTGTTTAAATCACCATTACACATCAATCAAGGTTGAGTTAAAATTTCGTAAAATTGTGACCGAAACTGCCAGACAAAATGGCCGCTCCTTTTACGCAAGGTTGTGGACACTCTAGAAGTCACAATTTTTATCAGACTTTGATGAAATTTGATATGTATGTTTATAATCTAAAGATCGGGGTTCCTTTTGATATTTTCGCATATCAGACCGTAACTTCAAGGATTATGGCCCATGTTTGTACGAAAAATCAGGTTTTTTAGATTGTGAAAATTGGACCAAAACTGTCTGATATGTGTAAAAGTATATCACATCAAGGTTGTGGGCCCTCTAGAATTGTTATCAGATATTGATGAAACTTAAAATATATGTTTATGTCCCAAAGATCTCGGTTCCTTTCACTATTTTTCACATATCAGACCGTAACTTCCTGGAGTAAGACCCCTGATTGTACGAAAAAAAAAAAAAAGTATTTTTTAGCTTGTGGATTCTCTAGAGGTCACAATTTTTTTATCCGTTTTTAAAAACTGTTTAAATGTATCACAATTCCAACATAATGAAGGTTGAATTCGAAAATTCAAATTTCAGGAAAATCGAAACTAAACTGCCTGCTCTTTGTACGCAAATTGTGTAAAAGTATGTAATTCGAAGGTTGTGGACCCTCTAGATGTCACAATTTTATGTTTATGTCCTAAAATTCTCAGTCCCTGTCGATATTTGCGCATTTCAGACCATAACTTTCTGGATTATCGCCCCTGATTGTACGAAAAATGGCTTTTGTTTTTAGCTTGTTCTCTATCTCATGCAAAATGTGGGTGTATCTTGCCTGGCAACAGCAAAAAACTGAAGATAAAAACACAGTGCAACATTTAAAGATAACACTACTGTTATAGGTGTTTTTTTTATTTTCCACCAGTGTTAACACTGGTATTAACCTAGTTTAGACACTGGTGTAAACACTAGTGCTAAATCGAGAGACTCAGGTTAAGGAACTAAAAAGAACACCAGTTATACACCACTACAACACAACCGTAACACAACCCAGGACTTGAATTGACCCAATGACAATGTTATAGTTTTTGGGCCATATAAGTCCCACCTTTCGTTCTAATCAACTTCCTTTCATACAAGATGTCTATTATTAGTGTGAATGCAAATTTTGTTCCAAGCCTATGACTTTTTTGACACATGATTCCTACTATGGAATCCATTTCATCCACTGCATGATGTCTAATTGTAATCCTGTTAGTGTGCATGCAAATATTTATCGGTATTGTTCTGGTAATTTGCTTTGGGTAAAATCAACAGGAATGCAAACTAGTTTTCATTGCGGTCTTACCGTATTTTGGACTGCTTGGACTAGTAATTATTTTACGGCCCCTTATCTTTCTTTTTATCTGCAGATTTTCTTCTTCAGATTCTTCATTATCCTCTTCTTGAAACACAAAATGAAAGAAAGGGTAAATATTTGCATACAAATTTCATAATTAACTAATCACATAATATTTTTAATATTTCATCAACATATTGAATTAGTTAGATAAAACCTGTCCACTTTGATGAACAATTTACATTGTGAAAGATATGTATCCTGCAACTGGCTGAACTTATAACAAGTTTCTTGTGAGAACTATAATCAATTTTAATACATGCAATTACTTACCACTGTTATTTTGGAACATGACAGAATTTTTCTGTTTTAAAGATAATCTAGATTTCAGGGAGGTGTTTAAGTAATTGTGGCTAACATCAGCCTCTTTGACTTTACTTCCATCATTAACTGCCAAATCTAATCCCATATTATTCTTTTTAATATTATCCATTATTTCCAACTGGTTTGATATAAAATCATCCATGTCTGGTTCATCTTCAAACAAATTATTTACCGACATAGTACTCTGACTCATCATCTCTTTAAGAACAGTTTTTATTTCATTGTTTGTCTTGATACTGAAAGTTTGAGGTTCCTCAGAGTTCTTGTTCTGTGGCGTTAGCGTAAGGCTATTCAATTTATTTTTATCACAGAATTTCGATTTTTTAGCACTAGAATGACACATGAGAGAAAAACTAGAACCAAGTTGGTCATCTGTATCTCTATTTTTCACAGTTAGGTATGAATTTTTATTAGAAATCGGCAAGTCTTTGAGAGGTGTAGAACATTTCATGGCTGACCTGTCAGAAAATAAACAACTTTTATTGAAACTGACTACAGACGATTGAGAAGAAGGTGAATTTTTTAGTTTGATTTTTTCAAATATATTTATTTTATCACATTCCAATTTCAGTGTTTTGTTTTTATATATATTTGGTTGATCACAATTATTGAAGCTCTGTTTGTCAGTGTTGTACTGTAGTTGTAAATTTCGTCTAACATGTACGTCTGCTTGACTAAGTTTTACTGTTTTATTAAGAGGCAGTTGAGCGGGAGGAGGTGTTGGCGGTATTACATCATCTCCTTCCAAATCAAAACCTAAATCAAACTGAGGAACTTCAAAATCATCATCAAACATGTCTGCTAGACTTGCATTCATGACTTCATCTAATTCAACTTCTGCCCTGGATTTATTTTCTTGTGGCATTTCAACTTCACTCTTTTGTACTTTCAACATTTCAGTCAGATTATCACAGTGTTTCCTATTTTCAAAATTATTTTGAGGTGAATTTTTCACTAAACCTGAGTTTATGGCATTTTTTACACTATTAATACATATATCACTTTTATCACAGTTTTTAAAAGGTGTCTTGGGTTGGTTAATAGAAGAATCAGTTTTATCGAGAAATGAAAGCGCTTGGGTTAAGTTTAACTGAGTTCCATCTAAATCATGCTGTTGAGCTTGTTCTGGCGGTAAAGTTAAATCTCCTGCAAACATAGAATCATTAAACATATCTGTTTCTCTCAGACGAGATCCTAGATTGGATGTTTTTGTGTTTGTATTTTGTACAACAATTTCCTTTTCATCAATATTATTTCCTAGTCCTATCACTGTGTTTTTCGCATCATTTTTAAAAATTTGTAAACTATTGTATTCTAAATCATTTTTGCTTGCTTTATTTGTAAATTTATTCACATCCTTTGTAGTCACAGGTAAACACTTGTTTTTGTTTAAAGTGGGAATTAAATCACTTTCCATTGTTTCACATTTTACTGTAACTTTTTCTTCAAGCATTTCAACATTTTCATCAAGTTCTTTATTTCTTAATATCAATGGATTTACACAAATTGAAATCTTTTGTTTTAGAGGTTTGAGGTATATATTTGGTGGAGAACCAGCTGATTCTTGACCATTATTTTTTCTTTTTGATAGTTCTTCCCGTTCTAGATGCCATTCTTCAACAAGTCCAACTAAATCAATATGAGGTAGTTTTGTTGTATTAGGCAAACTGTTAAATATATCAGCCACTTCTTCTATAGGAGGTGGTGTCCTAACTAAACATGTTCGCCTGGGTGGAAGTTGTATGTCCTTATTTTCTTCTTCATGGAATGATATACCAGAATTATCATCTTCAAAACCATGGGATATATCCAAATCCTCTTTTTCACATGATTTTTCTAACTTTTTGCAAGTATATTTTAATTTCTCAATTGATCTTTCCAACTTCCTATATGATTTGTCCATTTTATCACTTTTATGATGATCTTCAACAGGCATTGAAAATTCATCTTCAAAATCATCATCCACATCAGTGATTGGATCAATAATTGATATTTCTGTAGCATGTCTCTTTCTATTTTTCACTGATATGGACTTTTTTTCAACACTAGCCTTCTCTTTTTTTTTCACTCTATCTTCAATATTCTTTTTCTGAACAGACTTAAACAACGGTTGCTTAACCATTTCAACTGCTGGCTCAAATTCTGGAAGTTCATCTTCACTATCATCACTCAATAACATGGCTTCAATTATAGGTAATTTGTCACTATGTCTTTTTCTTACCAGTGGTTTATCTTGACCCAGAAGATTTTTTGATTTTAATTTACCGTCTGTATCACTTGTACAATATTGTTTTATACCATCTGTTCCAAAGGACTTTGTATTTTCTCTTAATATATCATTCTTATTTAGAAAAATTCTCATTTCTATCCCATAATTATCTTCTTCCGTTCCTAGGGTTTCTGAAATGAATAAATGAAAGATGGTTTTAGAGTAATTGAAGATAATTTGAAATAGAGAAGATGATATTATAATATTTTCTTCCCCTACGATACATGATCAAATAAAATAACACAATTTTGGTTTTATAATTAAAATATTTATTATCAGTTTTAACATATTTACTAGGTCAAGGTCCCATCCCACAAAGTGATCACTGACACTAGTTCTGATTCTAGATAATTAAATGCAACCAATACAAGTTTAATGTCTTACTTTTCTGCACCAACTAATAATGAAAACAGTGTAAAGTAACAAACCTTGTAATTCAATAAACTGTATTAAATCTACCAAATCTTTACTTCTATTAGAATGTTCTATGTATTTTGTATCTTGTAATCTGTTTTGCCATGGTAACCATTCAGACAATGATAAACTTTTGCTTGTTTCTTGGACAGCTGTCACCTCAGCCTAAAAAACGGATTGAAATGTTAGGTTTGATTCTAGCTCAAAGAATTAAGCTAGGAATCTTTATTTAATTGGTTACATAAACATATTCCAAATCTGTCATTTCATTAATATCATGTGAGTTCCCATGATTGGTCACTAACACTCTAATGACAAAGGCACCTTTTTATTTTGCCTACTAGAGAATAGTGCTGGGTATTGCCACTGCATTCACGATATGATACATATTGCGAATTAGGTTCTATGATGCAATCCATATCACGATTCATACCCAGGTCAATATTTACCAAGAAAGCAACAGGATGGCGATGATAATTTTTAGTCCTGCCAATGTCGTAGAAATAAAACTGTTTTACATGTATATCACAATATTGATGTGGATCAAAATAAGGACCAAAACAATTTAAGAGTGTTTGTGTATCTATTGATGTGTGACGTGGATAACTAAGAGTGACAGGTTACATGCTGAAGCGACAAAATAACATAAAAAAGAATTGAGAAAAATCTATTCAGCGTCTCTCGATTCAATACGCGAATCACGAGAAGATAATGTTTATAACTGTTCAGAGCTTTGATTTTACCTGATTGTTAGTAAGATATAAACTATCACTAGATGATACCGGTAGTTTAATATCAGTAGGATTAACTGTATAATAATCTTGTAATTCTCTGTATTCCTCTAAGGTTATATCATTATATTCAGCTCTTTTAACAGCACCTTTCTTTGCTTTACTACCTTCAATAAAATACTAATTTTTATACTACATGTATATACATCCTTTATTACTTAATTCATGCACTGTCTCAAACCATCTGTTTCAAAATGCATATATAAAAAAAGATTGCTATGTATATTTATATACTAAAATTAAACAACATTCCATTCCACTTAATAAAATAGAATAGAAAAATAGAAGAATGGTCCCAATATTAACATCTGACCTGTTTTAGTGGATGGTAATTTAGATGCTGCTGTTCCAGTCTTTTTAGAATGGCCTTTATAATTATTTGATACAGTAATATACATCTTATGACAAGATGGTGTTAGCCCATTTGGTATCATTCTTGGATTGTGTTGATAAAACTGTAAAGATTTGCTACCATTCAGAATGGCTTTATGGATGGATTTCTTTGAATACTGACTTTGGTTGTATATCTGTAATAAATGAAATATCTGAGGATGAAATATTAATCTTAATTCATGTACCTCTATCGTAAAATAAATTTTAATAAATATTTAAATATTGTCACATAATAGTTGAATGAGGTTTTGTACAAAGTTTTGTCTATTAAAGATGTAACAGCATTTTTTAGAGAGCATAGGGGTGATGGGAGGATATATATAACTGATTGTTTGTATCATCCTAGAACCATGGACCTAAAGCATTTCAATAATTAGAATTCTGAACCAATGTCTTACTAAATATTTTCGTATTTTCACTCACCTGTTCTTCTTTACCTTCTGTAACTAACATTACTATTCTACCCTCTCTCTTTCTACCAGTACGACCCATTCTCTGTACTAAACGTATAGGACTCTTGTGAGCATCAAAACATATAATAAGATCTACATCACCAATATCTAACCCTTCCTCTCCTACACAAGTTGATACAAGAGTATTATAACCCCCTTCACGAAACTCTTTCATTACCTATAAATATAAAGTTAAATAGCTATCACAATTAATTACGTACAGGGTAAGGCTGGTGTTATTTTATATTTTGTTAAAACAAAATTGGTAAGAGTGACAAGAATGAAATTTTCATCTGACCCACATTAGTTTATAAGACATGTACAACCAGATTAAGAAATTCATTTGGATGTGATTTTCTCTCATGCTAAGTGATGACAATCACTGTATGTATCAGACAAGCTTATGTGATTCACCTGAGAGAGAAGAGAGAGAAGAGAGAGAGAGAGAGAGAGGAGATGGGGTTTAACATCCACTCAACACAAACTAGGTCATTTCAGGACTAACTTGTTTCAATTTTATTTCAATAATCCACTTGCGCGTAGGGGTATTTAGCAGTGGGAGGAAACCGTGGGAACCCGAGAAAACCCAGGAGGTTGGACAGGTAACCCTACTCCTTGTCACGTACAACCGGGGAATCAAAACCATGCCAGATGACTCAATGACAGGTCTTCCTGTGATCCACCTGAACATCATCTGTTTAAGATAACCAACCATACATATACAGCTAAATGAACTGGTTGGCAAATTATTTTTGAAACAATGTTTTAACAAACTGTATAAAAATGTAGTTACCCGTAATTGTTCTTTCTGAGTAAAACCTTTAGCTATTTTACCAGCTGATGACTGACCTATAAAACTCATAGCTTTGATCATTGGTGGATGTTGATTTAACATATTGGCTATTTCTGTTACACTATCCCTATACTGAGAAAATATCATTATTCTTGTTCCACCACTATCTGTCAAAAATTAATATGAATATATTTAATAAACATTCTTGTTTCTAATTTAGAGGGGTGTTATTGTGCATTAGAGACATTTCCTGAGTTCATTGGGATCTAAGAAGCAGTGTACCTGTTACTATAGGCAGTTTGACAAATTTGTTGTTTGAAATACAGAATGCCAGCAATACAGAATATAATAAATGAGTTCTTTTTTTCTCATTTCGCTCTAAATCATACACATCTTGAAACATGTCTTTTAGCGTATACCATTTCATATGAAACATAGAATTATCAAATGGATTTATCAAATTACAATAGATAAAATATTAGACTAGCAGACAACTGTTTGTGCAAGTTAAGGGTCACAGGTTCTCATTAGTAAGCCTATGCGAAGAGATATGCTATAATGTAAGGTGATGTAGCATTGCTACATGCCACTACACTATTCACCTGTGACTACTAAGTGATGCATTACTTGAAATTGTAGTATCATAGATTTGAAATGGAATAGGATTCCCTAATCACTATTCACAAGTTTTATTGTTTTTGACAACAAATATATATAGTTTTAGCATAGTTACCAATTAATGATTAGTTAAGTATGATATCGTTAAATGGAATCAAATTACTTTTCTTACGTGAGAAGAAATACATAATTACCTTTGAATTTTTCAAAATGTTTTATCGCAATTTCTAAAAGTTTGTCCATTTTCGGATGACCAGCAACAAATGCAGGTTTCTGACTCAATGATGAACTGTAGGCATAGTAAATAATAATAAACCTTATATATCATAATCACCATATATATATCAGATTAAAAATATAGACATAGATAAATTTATCAAAATGGTTGGTTTAGTCTATTATCAAGAGTTACTCAGTACTGGAAAATGTACATACTTGTCATATTTTGAAAATTTTTCAGACAGCATATTCATGACATCATTAAAATCAGCACTACGCTGTAGTTCAGTTTTAGTTCGACCATAACCTTTTCCACAATTAAGAATATTTCCAAGATAATTATATAAAGAACGTAAACCATGGAGTTGTAGCAATTCATAACCATGAAATAAACTTATAGCTAGAGCAAAATCACCCTCTACTATCCCAAAATGTAATCTCTGAAATGAAATGAATAACATTTAAAGTTATGTTAACATTCTACTTTGGTCATTTTGAAACCATAAAACTACTTTTTATTATTAATGGTACCACAGTGCTCTTCAACTCAATCATACAACAAGACATATCATCATGTCACCATTCAAAGCTTTCACACAAAGTAAATGTACCATTATTACATAATTTTTTATTTTGTATTTTGGGATTTTGAGTTTGATTGGCCTTTACAACCGATGGTACCAATAGTGCTATACTAATATATAAAGGTGTGCAAAACTGAACAAAATTGGGAATGATATTAGAATCTGTCCAACTTTTTCTTCCATCATACCTGACCAAAGATAAGCCTGATGTTCACTTTATGAGTGGTAAGGATATTGAAGGCCAGAACAAAATTGTCTTCTTTCAATGAAAACTTTGTTTCTATTTGCACTGTCTCTGGAAAGACTGGCAAATTATTAAATTATGCTGACAGCTGACATAACTAAAATCCTGACAGGTTTTTTCTTGTAAGACATTTTGTGTCTGTAAAATCAAAATGAAAGTACTTACATTTAATGATTCTGGAGGATTTTGTCGAAACTCATCCCTTGATTTTAGTAATAAAAATTTAGAGAAACTTGTTGTTGGTCTATTATAAATCACTTTTTGTTGATTTAATCTTCGTATCACAGAATCCATAATCTAAAAACATAAATAAATAAATGCAGTATATAAATTATGTTTGAGAACAAATTTATCATAGAAAACATAAACTTATTCTGAGTCAAAATTGTTTATGTAAAGAGATATTAATTTGGTTATAGCATTAAATAAATAAAAATTTAACGACCTACTGTTCTGCACAGACTGGGCTAATGAAGATGGGCATATGCCTTACAATGTGCTGTGAGGGAAATTTTGCCTGGACGGCAGCACTACGGTCTACTCTTATATCGAATTCCAACTGTCAAGGGTTCTTTAATGTGCATGCGAATGTGTACACGAGGCCTCTGTTTTTCAGCCTGAAAATCCTGATGACCTTTCTTGGCCAAGGATCCAACACAGGCTTCCTCTGTTCTGTATGGACTGACATAACATCAAAGAAGATTTACCTGTATGTATTTAGTTTTAACTTTAGTCAATTCCTCTCCTAATGGTACAACTATTTTATCTACTTTTCGTTCATGTGTATATGGTTTAATATCAGGACACTCCTCTGTTCTAATCTCAATGTGAGATATCAGTAAATTAGTCAATACTTGTTGAACAGCCTAAAATAATAACAATAGAATTATTAACTATTCATAAATATACATGTACATGTATGTTCATATTGAAAGAACATCTAAGTTTATGATTGTCCATTATTAATAATATTTTTTGACAGGAACACCAGGTGGACAATCTCAAAACCACCTCATAATAGCAATTGCCTATAACATGCTCTTAATCAACAATTTCATAAACACAAGCTTTTAATCAATCAATACCTTGATATCACTTCCAGGAGTAGCACTCAGTGCCAAAACACGAAAATTGGTTGTATACTTGGCTAATTCTCTTATAACCTGAAATAAAAAAAGTCTGTTTAATGATGCCCACATTTCAACTCTTTCTTTAATCACAATTTAATGCTTGAAACAATAACACAATATATGAGTATTGTGCCATACTAAATCTAGAAATTTATTTTTCAAAACCTGAATTATGTCATCTGTTTTCCGACTCTTTATGTTTCACTATCAACATATCTCAAAAATAATTACCTGACAATAAGCGTGATTGCCGAGAGCCTTATGAGCCTCGTCTACAACTACACATTTAACATTTTCAGCCGGACATGATCCCCGACTCAAATCATTGGTTATAACTTGTGGTGTAAGGAAAAATACACGCTTCTCTTTCCATGCTTTTAATCTATCATTTGGAGCCATGTTACCTGCAGTAGAAAAAAAAAGAATTAATTTACATATGTATTGATTCTGAGTAGTGACAGAATTTGTAGACGGTGTTGTGATACATGTACTTTCAATATTTGGATTGTATATGTATCTTGTTGGTTAATTTGGTTTGAGTATGAACCGTAATCATCATATTATGTTTTGTGTTGATTTTAAGGTAATTTATAGCTGCATTATAACATTACATTGTAAACAGAGTATTTCAATGATTACATTTTCACAATCATTTTTATACATAACAACTATTTTTGCTTACCGGTCATTTCTGCAGTGTCAGATTGGGGGATACCCATGATGTTGTAACAAGCTTCAATCTGTTGTGCTACAAGTGGTTTTGTTGGTGCCATGAAGATAATTTTTCCTCTAGGATACCATCTGTAATAATTATACATAACCACTGACGCTATAAATGTTTTGCCAAGACCAGTCGGAAGTGTTACCATGGTATTCTTAAACAATGCTTGACTAACAATTTTATACTGGTAATCACGAACCGGATAATTTGTTGGGTAAATCCAAAGTTTGCCTGACATTCTGTCAAATCCAGGGACAGTGACGGAAAATTGTGGCTCATTTGTCTCCATGCCAAATGAGATATTTCCATCTGATGTGCTTTCTCCATTTTGTTTTGCAGGGAAAAGATGCTCAGCATAACGTAAACTTTCATCCAGGACTTGAGCTAATAATTCATCATCTTCATCATCTCCATCACATAAATCAATAACACTACCACTTCCACCATTATTGCTGTGACTATCTTCTTTCTTATTACCCCAAGACTGAAATAATGTTGTTTGTTTTGGTCTGTTCATTTTAAGTGATTGCTTTCATGTCATTTATTGGTACATGTATGTTAATTCAGTTACAGTACATTGTAGTTAATACATCTGAAATGATAAGCAAAAATAGAAGTCAAGTTATTATTTTCTTTCATGTTTCCAGTTGGCCTATTTCAAACAAATTATCAGCCATTTTTTCATATTAAATATACAAAAGTATTACAGATATACATGTATAAAACATTCTTTAAATAAACAATCAACATTGGAAATATTGACCTTCCTTTATAGATCTATACAGTGCGTGAATGTGCTGTACTTGATGACGAATAGTAAATTTTACCAACGTGTTATTTTAATAAAATTGTTTTTGGTTTATTATAAACTGATGTTCATTTTTTTTACTTTCAACTGATTCTCTCAAGTCCCAACTGTCGTGCACCCTAGTCCAAAACATATTTTTGTTGAGGCCGAAATATCGCGGAACCAAAACGTCATGTGGTGTGTGGTATTATTATTGAGTGCCAGTTAACTCGTCCACACGCAAACTCCTCCACAACCATTGGTTTTGGTTATATGTATGTCGTCCACAAGGTCCATGCTAATGTTTATGACGTCTACAACTAACAGTTGACACGTACATACACATTAATTGTATTGAAAAATGTTTTACTTATCGGTTGTTTATAATAGTTTTATTTACCCAATAATCAACTAGTTTGCTTGACTGATCAGAGCCAAGAATAGTTCACTGATGTTTTGGGAATAAGGTAGCCTTTTATTGTTTGTTGATTGGCGTCATGATTTTAGACATAATGTATACAAATCAAAGATTAGACGTGCCGTGCCGTCCATTATTGTTTAGACAACATTTGATATCTGAATATAAATTATTCCATGGATAAACGTTTGTGATAAGATTAGTTTATGTCTAACATTGTTTACCTTTTTAATAAAAAGGTATTTTACAATTACATTAACAGTCTAATAACTCACCAAAATGCATCACAGACTAACAGACAAAACCTATTATCAGGTGTTTTTGTTATTCATGTCCATAAAGCCTGTGCAATTTTCGCTCCAAATCTAACCTTAGTTACTACATGTACGTCCGTAGTGTGCAATGCCTTATATGGTATAGAACCATATATTATGGTAATAGTATATTGTAATTGCTTGGATCATATTCATTTGTCACATGGCCTATTTTCTCAAAGGCAACTTACTGGACTTAATCAGACTGTATATTTACTGGATTGTCAAATGGGGGTTGGGTATTCAGCACAAACAATAAGGGTGTTCCTTAGGATAGAAGGGAAAAGATTGCAAAGTTTCAAGGTGATACGTTAAGAAATGCAGTCTGTAGATGACAAACAAATAAATACAAATGGCTGTGGCTCTGCCACTGGGGGTCGGGCATGCACCAGAAACAATAGGGATCACCCTTAGGGTGTAATAAATAAATATGAAAATTCTTCAAGCTGATCGATTAAGAATTGTGGCCTGTAGGCGACACACAAAAAGAAAAAGGGCCAGACTCTGCCCCTGGGGGTTAGGCATGCACCCCAAATGATAGGGACGTTCCTTAGGGTACAAAGAACAAGTATGCAAAGTTTCAAGATGATACGTTAAGAAATGCGGCCTGTAGACGACAAAAAACAAATACAAGAAATGGGCGAACAAATACAAAAAATGGGCGTGTCTCTGCCCCTGGGGTCGGGCATGCACCAAAAACAATAGGGATCACCCTTAGGGTATAAGGAATAAGTATGTAATGTTTCAAGATGATCACTTAAGAATTGTGACCCGTAGGAGACACACAGACACATACGTGAATGTGGACGTATAAAATTAGTACAGAGAGAGAGAGAAATGGGGTTTAACCTCCAGTGTCCACTCAACACAAACTAGGTCCTTTCGGCACTAACACATGGTTAAATTTTATTTCAATAATTCGCTTACGCGTCTTTAGCAGTGGGAGGAAACCGGAGGAAACCAACGAATTTGGAAAAATAGTACAGATACAAAGAAACAGAAACACATATCATAATATATAAAACATTCTTTTTGTATACATTCAACATTGGAAATATTTCTGTTCTAAGTTCTATACAGTATGTGATCCATGTGCTGTAAATTTCCCCTATACGTTATTTTTATAAAAAGGTTTTGGCCTATTGTAAACTGATTTGATTGCCTGGTGTATTCAACCTTTCCATTCATCTTATTCCAGAGTACGAAACGTTGCCTTTGCCTACCCGCATCTGAAATGTCACCTTCCTGAGTCCAAAACGTTGAGGACATATTGTTTTAAGTCTGAAAGGTCTCAGTCCGAAATGTCACGTAATCCTATTAGTATTATTGGGTTAAAATATCATCCTTCCCATATTATTTATATTCATTTTATTGTAAAATTTCATTTTCAAGAAGCCACACACTAAACTTAGTTTGAACCACCAAAATAACAATACACTCATCAGAACAATGTTTTAACTAGCAGTATGGATTTTCGTACTATAGTTGACCCATCTGCAAGCGAATGACATTTAGTTCAACTTCAATCAGTGGTTGTGACCAGTCGTAACATGCGATAAAGCACGGTCGGGATAGTTCAAACTTCAAAGATGGCTGACAAAACTGACACTTGAGAAGATTTTTTGAAAAATATAATAAAATTGCCGACTGCCGTAGCGTTATTTACACCTTGGTCGGTATTATAGGTCCCATGTTAACACCTGAAAGTTAGTGAATGGGCATTATAGTATAGATGTTAAATTTGATTTTTTTCCCCGTATTTTTTGATGAATTTGACAGATTAGGATGTTCTTATTCAAATATATATATATAGGTACACAACAAAAAACTGTACGTGTGAAATGATCTTGGTTGGGTGACATAAATCCAATGAAAAATATTCTGATATTGACTAATCCTATTTGTAACCTTGCTTTCACATCACAAAATTAACCACTCATTAACCAGCTTTTAAAAATACATGAGTAAATAGGAGAAAATATACCAGGCGGAACAACTGACATGGTCGCCACCATATTGAATAGTCAATGGCTAAAATCATTTGCGTTTGGGTGCTGGTTCAGACTGTAGTCGCGACCATAGTCTACATCCGAAGGTCGCCCAGTAGCAGTGACTAAAGTTAGTAAGTAAGTACTAAGTTAAGTTGTGTGTAATCATTCAATGGCAATTCATTTACCACATTCGATTAATGAAAAACGTGATTAATTTCTTTCCCCAAGAGTAGAAGTCTAACGGTATCTTCACATTTTTAGCATAGAAATGATCTAGGTGACAATTTACCAAACAACTATTTTTTTTATTTTCCTGTTGTTTTTCTTCTCAAATATTCCGCCATTGAACCATACCATATTGATTTTCCATGATCTAGAGAGTTCCACTTCCGGCTGCATATAATTTGTAGACGAAGATTAGTTGTTTACAAACTATGGCTTTGGATTTTGCCCGATTTGTGATTTTTCTCAGATTACTCACTACATGAAAAAAATTCGTGAAACGTATTTTCCCGGTCACCCAGAACCATCGATCCTTGTCTATCCCCTGGGCAGAATCAGATTTTTATATTATTTCCATTTCTATGGGTGTGTTTGTTTTAAAAGATACATGTATATGAACACCAACAAATTTAAAGGACTGATTTATTTGTTTTACTATTACAAAACTATAAACTGAAAGTTACACTGGGATACTCATACAATTAATAATAAATTAATTGTGGCGCATCTCCCCACCCTCAATCCCAAAATAAATGTATGATACATATATCTTTTTATAACATCTAACAATAAAATTGTTTGAAACTGCATAACCTAAACAGAAAATATTTATATTCCAGATATTGATATAACAAACAAAAAGTCCAATTTTGCCAAATTTGATTAGCAAATTTAAAAATTGATTAGTAGTTTTTCAGTTTCAACATACAACAACTAAATAACAAGATATTACTTTAATTCATAACAAATGATTAGATTTCATTCTTAGATTTTTTAGCACTGCAACATGTAGTTGTGACAGTTTGTGAATGTGATGTAGACTTTTGGTTAGGTCTTATGTCTGAAGTCAATTCTTGGCAGTGGCTTCCGAAGCCCCACTCATTTTAATTGTCATTTCTTCGTCAGAAAACAATTTTGTCTGCTTTTTATCGTGTGTTACTATTTTTGTTCAATCGAACACACAAGAAAATTAACGAATAAACTCATTATTAGTGTTACGTTGCTCTTATTTTTTGAAAAAAATTTCACAAGTTGTTTTCCTTTATTTTGTTAATGTAGAATGGTAATGAACTGCTCTTTTCATTTTCTTTGTTTTATTTGTTTCGTTTGAATTTGATTTATCTGTTTAGTTTTTGATTGTTTAATTTTTGTTAATGAAGCTGATTCTTTTAAACTTCATTTTTTATTTTTGAACTCTACTTGGTGTAGGTGTTCATCAGGTAATACCTCGACTGAGTTCAATATAGAGATTAGCCGGTTGATTTGTTGGATATAAACCTTTGAATAATAGCGCCTAACAGGCAGCTGTGTTTAATTATGTTCTCCTGATTTTGATTGTTTCTGTGTGTTTGAAGTATATGTTTGTGATATGCGCTTAGAAACACTTCACGTGTAATGAAGCGCTATATAAATCGAACAATAATAATAAGAATAATAACAAAACTATCGACCAAATTTCATCACTGCCCTTCAGAAGCAGAGGAGTTGTATTCTTGATCAATCAAATTGCTAAACATTGCTTAGTCTGCACAGAAAATGCTCAGGCAAAGCCATTTCTTTAATGAATATCTACATGAAGTTTGAAAATTCTACCTGAATTATTGTGTCCCAAAGTCTTAGCCAATTGATTTGCTTATCATTGCTTAGCCTAAGCAACAAATTTAAGGCAGTCATATAATGAACAACTACACCAAGATCAGAAGTAGATAATGAAATGAAAAATGAATGTACATGTATTGAAAATTTCAGTCAAATTACATATTCTTTATTCTGGGTGAAGTTATGAATAGCTACCTTTATCGGGTGTTATAGACAGCAGATGCAATTAAATTTGTATTACTTTTAATCCAAATAAAGACTTTTAATAAATAAGAATATAACCATATCAAAAGTCTCCATAAGTGATGTCATGCATCTTGAGAAAATTTCAGCTTGGCTTGTAATATACTTGTAAAAGTAGGGGATATTTGATTTTTAAGTGTTATTAAAGTCACCTAATGAAACTGACGAAGAAACAAATGACAAAATGAAATGAAGTTCACATTCATCGATTTATTCCAAATGATCGTTAGACTAAGTAAGGCACAGACTGACCATTATAAGGGTAAAATGATACCCGGGGTCAAACAGCAAAGTTACCACAGCATCACAACCAAGTCAGTAAAGGGTAAATCCTCCTCTGTTTGCCAAACAAGCATTGATCCGACGTGGCATACTCCTAATGAGACGTCTGAGGTCATTTTGGTCCAGATTGTCCCATTCCTGTTGCAACGCAGCAGCAAGTTCTTGGACATTGGCAGGACGTTGTTGACGTTGACGTAACCTCTGTCCAAGCATATCCCAGACATGCTCGATGGGGGAGAGGTCGGGACTCAGTGCTGGCCAAGGTAATGTGGTGATGTTCTGTTGTTGGAGGTAACCTGTAACGATCCTGGCCCTGTGACATCTTGCGTTGTCATCCTGGAAGATGAAACGGCGGCCATGACGTCGTGCGAACGGCACAACATGGACTGCCAAGATGTTGTCCTGGTAGTACTGGCCTGTAACACGCCCTGCAACAACATGTAAAGCCGTTCTTCCAGCAACAGTGATGCCTCCCCACACCATAACAGAACCACCCCCAAATCGATCATGTCTGATGACGTTAACGTCTTGGAAGCGCTCGTTTCGACGACGCCACACCCTCCTACGTCTGTCCAAAAAATTAACAGTGAACCTTGACTCATCTGAAAACATCACATTGCTCCAGCGTCGATTATCCCAGTGTTGACGATCCCTACACCAACAACGTCTTGCCTGAATGTGATGATCTCTCAAACAAGGGATCACGCGAGGACGTCGGGCGCGAAGGTGACCCCTATGCAGTCGATTCCGAATCGTCTGGCCACTCACTCTCACACCAGTGTCTGTTTGAAGACGAGCGCTGATCTGATTTGCTGTGATGACACGATTTCTCAAGGCCAAGGTACGGATAAATCGATCCTGGGCTTGAGTTGTCGCCCTTGGTCGACCTGAGCGTGGTCTGTCCTGTACAGATTGTGTATCACGGTATCTGGACCATAGCCTGCTTATGACAGACTGAGAAACATTCATCGTCCGCGCCACAACCGCCTGTGTTGTGCCGATCTGTAGCATGCCAAGGGCACGTAACCTTTCATTTTGGGTAAGCCGACACATATCAAAATTTGTTTTCTGGTCACTAAAACAATTAAACTGATGTTTCCACCCTGGAATTCAATGCCACAATGACTGTAACATTCAAAGTCAGAGTCGTGCAAATCTTGGGTTGGACCCCCATGATGATCCCAAGCATCACCTGCATTCCATGCGGTAGCTATTGGTGCGTTTGGGCGTCACATGTAACTGGAAATGTTTCTTCTGTTAGGTTCTATAGTGACTTTTTTCGTAGTCATTTGCATATTTTAGTATTATGCCCCCAAAATCAAATATCCCCTACTTTTTTTGAATAGTATATAAGCGTTTAATGTAGATATGGCGATTATTGGATAATCCACTCAATATCCAAGCCATTCAATGCTCTAGAGAGATGATTATGGACTTGTCATGTGAATATATTTCTAAATAATAATTTATATAACATTTCCAGCCAGAAATACCCACTGAAATAGGCATAATTCCTCCTAAATATTTCCAAAAATCAATTTCAGAAATGAATGAGGATGCATTATTTATCTGCATTTCTAACAATCATAAATATTTAGTTATTGGATAGTACAACATTTCCTTAGTTCAAGGGATTTTGTCTACCATTCAGATATAACTGAAAAAGAAAATGTCCCAATTAAAATTCATCTTCAAACAAACACAGACAAGATTTGTAAAATGAAACCTGGAGTATCTCTATGCTTTTATTGAATATATTATTTACAAAATTGTAAAAATAATCTAAAGTATAAATAAACAAATACAACAGTACTATAATATTTGCTACGCCACTACAATCACTGCTAATGAGTCCCAATATTACCTTTTTTCATTGTGCAAATTAAATTCTAGAACCTTAGAAAAATAAATAAAGGTGTTTGAAGTATATGTAGTTAAAAAATATTTCCTATTTAGTGTAAATGGGTATATAAATTGGGTAAAAGGCATCATTCAGAGAACTGAAAAAAAAAAATGCCTTTATTAAGATTCATCTTCAAACACAAAAATATTAACTTTTTTCCTTGTGCAAATTAAATTCTAGAACAGTTTTTGAAGTATTAGAAAAATAAATAAAGGTGTTTGAAGTATATATAGATAAAAAATAATTCATATTTAGTGTAAATGGGTATATAAAATGAGTAAAAGTCACCATTCTGCCTGGACCACTTAACGCAACAATATCTTATGTGAACAATGCTACAATGTCTTATGTAAACAATGCACACGCTATAGAGCCAATGATGCTCGTGATGTGAAGTCACCTGTAGAAGACATGCTTGAACTTCAGTCATCTAATACAGAGGTATAAGAATATTATGCTTTCACTATACCTCTGTGAAACAGATTGTACTATATGGTCCAGGAACTTAGAATGACATAATCGTTGCAATCTTGGAATTGTAACATATCAAAGTGCAATTGTCTACATGAGAGTGCCAAGTTTCATGTTGATCGTGATTGAATTGGCGTCAGCCCCAAGAACAATAACAAGATGAGTAACACTTGAGGACTAGTTCCTGGTTCACAAATACTTATTAGTAGTATCTGACAACTGATAATAATATTTAAGGTATTTTCTATCAAAAATAGAACAATAAAACAAGAAAAGATTTCTGCACAAAAAATACAGAATAAAAAAAATCAATTTTCTTTCCCACTAAGAGGAACTTTCCTCTAAAGCGTAAAATAACAATTGAGGAACTTCTCTCCACAATATCACAGTAATATTTGAGTTATTTTTCACAATAAAGAAATTCTTTTTCTACTATAACAATTTTTGTTTAATCAGTATATATGCTTTTCTCCACAAACATTACAGAATCTGATATATTTCTTTCTTAGGTTATAGACATAGAACTTTTATAACAATATGCATGATCTTGAAGCACTTTTATTTTGTTGTGATTCAGATAATTGTTTGGACACTGTTTCAACTTGTTTGGATGTGTTGGAATCGTTCTTGATCATTCCTGTCTCACTTACTTTTGCTTTGCTACCTCCTGTTTCATTTGATGTGGTTTTGATTGGTCGTGTTTCATTTGATTCGGCTTTGCTACGTCTCGTTTCATTTGATGATAATTGAATTGGTCCACTTTCATTTGATTCGACTTTGCCACGTCTTGATTCACTTGCCTCTGTTTTGATTTGAACTGTTTCATTTGATCCGTTTTTGATTGGTCCTATTTCACTTGATTCTGCTTGGCTATGTCTTGTTTCATTTGATGCTGCTTTGACTGGCCCTCTTTCACTTTTTTCTTCTTTGCTACATCTCGTTTCACTTGCTGCTGTTTTAATCTGATCTATTTTATATGGTGCTGTTTTGATTTCTGTGTTTTCAGGAAGTTTAAATGTATTAGCTACAACATCAGTTAGTGCAACAACATCTGTAACTGGATCAACTTCTACTGTTTTTCCTTTATCTATTCTAATACACTAGAAATACAAGAGAACAACATAAATAAATGGGAGGAATGAGCATTTAATATCACATCTATTTACTTATGCCTATACCACCACAGAAAGTATAAAACTATAATGTGGTGTAAGAATAAAAAAAAATTTACAATAGTATTGTGTGATATTTTTTTCGGAAGGATTTATCATATATCAATAGCAAATGATCTTTTGATTTATTAAAACACCTACTTTATCAAATCATAAACCACATGTTTTTTTTATTACCTGTTTAATTGGTATTTTATTAGGTTTGTCAGTATCTGTCATTACACTAATAATATTCACCCATTCTTCACTGCAAATACACATAGAAATAATTAAATTATTATTGTTTTACAAAATTAAATAAATCACCTTAAAACTGATTGAAATTTACAAGATTGAGTTTTTTTTCTTATAATCAAACCATAGCTGTGAGAAATTAATAAGAAGATGAAACTGTCTTGGATCACAGTCTCTATGAACACTGATAGATTTAGATATAAAGGAGGTTATAGAAATATTGGAGGATTAATGAACAAATTTCAGAGCCAGTCTACTATCACTACTTCAAGCTTACTAAATATAATCCTTGAGGCATTTAGCAATTGATTCATGATATGAATACTTCAACATTTCAACAAGATTTCACAAGTTGTTTTCAAGCAAATACCTAGTGTACAAAAATATATAGGTTTTTATAAAAGAAAAAAGGTACAATTAAGAACCAAGATAAAATATCTATCTCACCCTTCTGGTAGGCCATGCAAAAGATCAACGGCAGCAGTTTTCATAGCTAAAATATCTGATGGTGCAAAAGAATAAGATCCTTCAAAACCTTCTTTTCCTAATCTCAATTGTCTATTTTCATCAGCACCTTTTGTCAATGTTTTCCACAGTTTATCTGCTCTTGATATACTATAGGGAATAATAGACATAAAGGTCGGCTTTGGTTCTAATGCGGCTGTATTTATAAAATATAGCACACTGTTAGGAATGGTTCTTTGTCGACACATAGCAATATGGAACTCTTCCATTAACAGGGTAGATTTAATGTACTCTTGAGAAACTAGGATCACAATTCTATCTGCTTTATCTAGTATTGTTAATCTTTCATTGTCAGTCCCACTTAAAAACATACACTTAGTGCTTGGTTCAAAAGTCTCAAGAAATTGTTGAACAGCAACTGCATATTTTAAGCAGTTTTGAGAGAAGCTGAAAGCAACTTGCAGATTTTGCTTAACAGGCAAATTCTTCATCTTGATTTCTACTTGGTCTTTCTTTACTTTATAATATTGATGGAACTTCTTTTCTCTTTCTTTTTCCATTTTAATGTTGATATCTTCCTTTGCACATTTCTTTAAAATACGATAAAGACATGTCAGGAAAAGAATTTTCAAAAGACAGTTATATTAATGAAAGAGTGAGTAGAGTGAGAGTAAAAACTCACTACTTTAAAACAAAAAAATGAAAGAAAGCAAGAAGGTACTCTACAAAACAATTCTCAACAAAAACAAGTACGAAACTGCAATGCATATTTATTTCAATAACAATGACCTCTTTAAATACTTAATAATTTCTTGCTTTACAATATTTTAAAGGCATCATGAATTTCTAGATATATGTAAAGAGTTTTGATTTGATTACATTGGATTTGTTAGATAAGATCCAATTTGTGAAAGAAAAAGTCCATTCCTACTTTTATCTTTTTTACAAACCAGCGGTTGTCAGTAACATACGCCCATATTTTGCAAGAGATAGATTGAGAACAAGCTAAAAAATAATGCGATTTTTCGTACGATCAGGGGCCATAGTCCAGTAAGTTATGGTCTGAAATGCCTGACTATCGAAAGGAACTGAGATCTTTGGGTTATAAACATACATTTTTCAAGTTTCATCAAAATCAGATAAAAATTGTAACCTCTAGAGTGTTCACAAGCTAAAAACATGATTTTTCGTACAATCAGGGGCCATAATCCATGAGGTTACCGTTCGCTACATGCCAGTTTCGAAAGGAACCAAGATCTGTAGGAGATACACCCATTTTTCATGTTGCGTTAAAATAGGATAAAAATTGTGATTTGTAGAGTGTCCACAAACAAATTGTGAATGGACATCCCGGGCAACGGCAATATATGTCCACATGAAAATGTGGGCATATAAATATTCCCAAATCTATTGATGATTACTCCACTATATACACATGTATAACAAATCCTCCCCTAGTTCTCTCATTTATCATAAACAATTGATATATACAATAATTCACCATTAATAAATATCTGACCATCTTGTAACCAATTGAAAGTGGATTCAATTATACAGAAATTGTAATCACGTTTCTGACACATTTTTCAGTACAGCATGAGTTATTTCTTTTCAGGTTCAAGTTTCTCAAATGTAATCTTGCTAATCCAGTTGTTTTAGTCACTCCCCAAATGAAGTGAAACAGTTGATTTTTGAGACTAGATGATTTGAAAGATTCTAGAAAGTTATGACGAAAATCCAAATTCAGAAGAATTTGCGTGAGCAATATTACTACTAATAATTTTTTTCGGAGAAATGTGCACAAACAGATGAGTACATACTTGTTTCAAAATACTTGTACGAATACCCGTTGACTTAAAATATACTATAGTGTCAGCTATATTCTGTATTACTTCATCATCATCTTTTTCACGATTATCTAGCATAGGCACATGACTGAATTCTACAGGAACAGTGGTTAAATCATCACAGCAAACAGGTATAAAATGGATGTCATACTGAAATTATATATTTCATATTATATTAACGATGTAAATCACAAGAAATAATAACATTTATTGCTATTATCAATTTTTTCTCATTGACTTTTGCGTGATTTGGTGGTCTATCAGTTGCTCTTAAGATCGTAAGGTAAGTCACTGAGTTAAGTGGTATGGCTTCAATTCCAAGCTTGCATGTGACAAAGAGTAGAGTATCCTGCCCAATTGTACCACATGTTAGTTAAACCCCATTTCTATCTCTTTGTCTCCCTCTCATTGACTTTTATTTTGGTGACATGCCAAAAACTTCATACAGGAGTAATATATGGAAATACCTGTGACAAGTGTCTAGCTAGAGCTATATTATACTCTTCACGACATACTGTAGATTTTATATAAGCTTCAGATATCATAGCAATTACTATATCTGAATTATCTATTGCTTCATATAGCGACTTTTGCCACACACTTCCTGCAAAATAAAAACTGGTACTTAAATAATTAAATACGCCCTGCATGACACACCAACATTAAAATTTTGAAAGAGATGGAAAGAGAACAGACTGAAAAAGTTATTTTCGTACAATAAGGGGCCATAATCCAGGATGCTACAGTTAGACATGCGTCAATATCAATATGTTTATAAAATCGGATAAAAATTGTGACATCTAGAGTCTCCAAAAGCTAAAAACATGATTTTCATACAATCAGGGGTCATTTTTCAGGAAGTTATGGTCCGTAATGTGTGAACATCAAAAGGAACAGAGATCTTGGGATATGAACATATAATTTTAAGTCCCATCAAAAACAGATCAAAATTGTGACCTCTAGAGGGTTCGCAACCTTGGTAATACATTCTTTTGCACTGTATGCATACAGGGAGCAGCCATTTTGTCACACAGTTTCGGTCCGAACTCAACCATCATTACAGTGTAACAGTTTTTAAAATGTGATAAAAATTGTGACATCTGAAGGGTCAACAAGCTAAAGTCACCATTTTTTGTACAGTCACAGGCCATAATCCAGGGATTTACAGCCTGTAATTCCAGAAACAAGATGTGAACGTACACACGTACGGAGAGGGCGATGGCATAATATGTCCAAATGAAAATATCCACTTTCTATTGAAGTACATTTTTGAAGCCTTTCTTTTCACTGTGCAATAATCTAACATTCTCCAAGCCTTAACATGGCGGAATAAAGAGAGCGAGAAATGGGATTTAACGTTCACACGACACAGATTTTGTCATTTGTACAAAGGGGATCCTACTCCTTTTCACGTACATGCCTTATGATCGAAAGTGCATTGGTTAGACCACTTGACCACCCAACACATGCATATTTTAAATATGGAGTTTAAACCCATACATATTCAAAAGTACTTCTATTAAAAACCAATTTGATCTAAGTTGTGGTCGTTTAGAATTTATTTACATTGGTTTCTCTTTATTTCACACAGCCATCTTTATGAAGGTTGTTTTCATACTCAGATTGGCTTAATTACAGAATAACAACAGTCTTTACATTAAAAAACATGTAGTATATATTTACGGCTTTTGGCTGATTGTGTCTTTAAAGAAAATACAGAAAGTTACTGATTTTCAGTCTACAAACCTGTGGTGAGTTCACTTTTATCAAAGAAAATGCTTAGTTCTGGCGATTTAGATTGAAGTAAATTTAGCAGCAAAACAGCATCTTTTGAGGAGCGATGTGCGTATGATATAAATACATCATATTTTGGAGTAAAATGAATATTTTTAACATCTTCCATTTTTTCTTCTTTTAAACTCTCTTGGACTTTCACACATGCTGTTTGAATCATTGTGTCAAGATTATCTGTTTCTCTCCGTATTCTGAAAAGTAAGCAGGAAATGGTGAGAACTGAAAAATGGTATCATTTACAAAGATAGGTTGCCAGGCAACGAAACATACGCCCACAGCAGCTAAATCGTCCGGGCAGTCAACAAGTGTTGTCGCATATTTTTACTTCTTTCGGTAATGAAACATTTATAATACACTCATGAAGTAATTATCAGAAAACCCATTAGAATTTGTTTGGTTTTTAATATCATGGATTTAGCTGTTCAAGTCATAAAAATTCATTGAAAATCAATATACTTGTTCGTCTCAAGCTCTTAAACTCTGTGTATCAATCTGAAGTCAATCGGATGATAACTTTAGACTCTAGAGCGTCACAAGATTTTTCAAAGTGATCAAGGGCCATAACTGTGACAGTAATTATCTAAAATCGTTGAAAATCAATAGGCTTCATTGTCTCATGACCTTTAACACTGTGTATAAATTTAAAGTCAATCGGATATTAACTTTGACCTGTAGAGCATCCACAAGATTTTCTTAAGTGATCAAGGGCCATAACTCTGGCAGTAATTATCGGAAATCGCTGAAAATCAATAGGCTTCTTCGTCTCATGCCCTTAAACACTGTGTATAAATTTGAAGTCAATCGGATATTAACTTTGGCCTGTAGAGCGTCCACAAGATTTTTCGAAGTAATCAAGGGCCATAACTCTGGCAGTAATTATCGGAAATCGCTGAAAATCAATAGGCTTCTTCGTCGCATGACCTTAAACACTGTGTATAAATTTAAAGTCAATCGGATATTAACTTTGGCCTTTAGAGTGTCCACAAGATTTTATGAAGTGATCAAGAGCCATAACTCTGGCAGTAATTATCTGAAATCGTTGAAAATCAATAGGCTTCATCGTCTCATGACCTTAAACACTGTGTATAAATTTAAAGTCAATCGGATATTAACTTTGACCTGTAGAGCGTCCACAAGATTTTTTAAAGTGATCAAGGGCCATAACTCTGGCAGTAATTATCGGAAATCGTTGAAAATCAATAGGCTTCATCGTCTCATGACCTTAAACACTGTGTATAAATTTAAAGTCAATCGAATATTAACTTTGACCTGTAGAGCGTCCACAAGATTTTTTAAAGTGATCAAGGGCCATAACTATGGCAGTAATTATCGGAAATCGCTGAAAATCAATAGGCTTCTTCGTCTCATGACCTTAAACACTGTGTATAAATTTGAAGTCAATCGGATATTAACTTTGGCCTGTAGAGCGTCCACAAGATTTTTTGAAGTGATCAAGGGCCATAACTCTGGCAGTAATTATTGGAAATCGCTGAAAATCAATAGGCTTCTTTGTCCCGTGACCTTAAACACTGTGTATAAATTTAACGTCAATTGGATATTAACTTTGACTTCTAGAGCGTCCACAAGATTTTTTGAAGTGATCAAGGGCCATAACTCTGGCAGTAATTATCAGAAATCGCTGAAAATCAATAGGCTTCCCCACTTCATGACCTTAAACACTGTGTATAAATTTCAAGTCAATCGGATATTAACTTTAGCCTCTATGGCGTCCACAAGATTTTTTGAAGTGATCAAGGGCCATAACTCTGGCAGTAATTATCGGAAATCGCTGAAAATCAATAGGCTTCTTCGTTTCATGGCCTTAAACACTGTATATAAATTTAAAGTCAATCGGATATTAACTTTAGCCTCTAGAATTGCTTGTGGACGCCGGACGGACGGACGGGGGCGACAACAATATACGACCACATTTCAATGTGGGCGTATAAAAAGCGCTATAATGTTAAACTACAAAATTTATTATACATGAAATATGCGCTTGATATTAATTTGATAAATTATGTACTTAATTTTGTGAATGATGGAAATTGTAAATATGCACTTGACCACTTGATATTAATTTGATAAATTATGTACTAAATTTTGTGAATGATGGAAATTGTAAACAAGTCTTTATGGTAGGGGGTATTCAATTAATTCTTTATTAAAACATCTTTTACCTAAATTTTCCAAGAGATGGACAAATAACAAGCTAACAAAATAGTGATCTTCAGACAATAAGGAGCCATAATCCAGATTTTTGGGATATAAACCTATATTTCAAGTTTCGTCAAAATCCGATAAAAATTGTGACCTCTTCGAGGTTCCAAAACCTTAGTGTTACATACTTTTACAATATTTGCGTACAGGGAGTGAAATTTGAATTTACCCGTCATTAAGGTGTAACTGTGTTGTGTTTAGACGGTTTTTAAAATAGAAGCAGTGGCTGCCAGGCAGGATATGCCCACATTTTGCAAGAGATGGATAGAGTCTAAGCTAAAAACAAACAGGATTTTTTGTACAATCAGAGGCAATAGTCCAGAAGGTTATGGTCTGAAATGCGCAAATATCAAAAGGGACTGAGATCTTTGGGATATAAAGAAATGTTTTAAGTTTCATCAAAATCAGATAAAAATTGTGACCTCTAGAGGATTCACAGCCTTAGTATTGCATATTTTTACACAATTTGCGAACAAAGAGCGGATATTTTGTCGGGCAGTTTCATTTCGATTTTCCGGAAATTCAAATTCAACATTCATGGTGGAATGGTGATATATTCAAACGTTTTTTTTAAATCCGAACTCAATCTTAATTACGGTGTAACGGTGAAATATTCGAACGTTTTTTTAAATCGTAAAATAATTGTGACCTCTAGAGGGATCACAAGCTAAAAACGTGATTTTTCGTACAAACAGGGGCCAAAATTAAGGAAGTTATGATCGGATACGCGCAAATATCGAAAGGAACCAATATCTTTGGGTTTTAAACTAACATTTCAAGTTTCATCAAAATCAGAAGAAAATTGTGACCTCTAGAGGGTCCACAACCTTGATATACCATATTTTTACCCTATTTGTGAATGAGGGGCGATCATTTTGTCTGTCAGTTTTGATCTGATTTTTACGAAATTCGAACTCAACCTCCCTTAGGGTGTAACGGTGATATATGCAAATGTTTTTTTTAAATCGGATAGAAATTATGACCTCTACAGGGTTCACAAGCTAAAAACACGATTTTTCGTACAATCAGGGGCCATAATTCAGGAAGTTACGATCCGATATGTGCTAATATCAAAAGGAACCGAGATCATTGGGTTATAAACTTACATTTCAAGTTTTAACAAAATCGGATAAAAATTGTGACCATAATCCATGATGTTACAGTCCGATACATGCCATTATTGAAAGGAACCGATATCTTTTGGAGATAAACCTATATTACAAGTTTCGTCAAATCGGATAAGAAATTTGACCTGTACAGTGTCCACAAACAATTGTGGACGGATGGACATCCGGGTGGACAGGGGCGACGACAACATACATCCACATGAAAATGTGGGCGTATAAAAAAAAATTGTTACCTCTAGACTAGAGGGTCTACAATCTAAAACGCGATTTTTCGTTCAATCTGAAGCCATATTCCAGGAAGTTATGCACCTATATATCAAAATGAACCCGAGATCTTTGGGTTACAAACATATATTTTAAGTTTCATCAAAATCAGTTCAAAATTGTGACCTCTAGAGTATCGACAATCGGGGCCATAATCCATGAAGTTACTGGCTGATATATGCCAATATCGAAAGGAACCCGAGATCATTGACATATAAACCTATATTTCAAGTTCCTTCAAAATGGGATAAATCTTTTAACCTGTAGAGTGTCCACAAAAGAAATGTGAACAGACAGACTTTCGGATGAATAGCTGCGACGACAATATACATCCACATGAAAACATACGCCCATAGCAGATGAATCGTATGAACAGTCAACAAGGGTTGTCACATGCATATCAAATTGATACAGATCGGATGATAACTTTTGTCGTCAGAGAGTTGACGGAGTTTGACAAAGTGAAACAAGAGCCATAACTCTAGACGTAATTAATGGAAATTGTTGCGAAATTCAATAAGTTTCGTATTTTCACTAATTTAAAGGAAGTTCAACAAAGTGAAGCAAGGGTGATAACTCCAGAAGAAATTTACGGAAATTAAATTGGCTACTTCATCTCACAACATATATCAATTTCAAAACAATCAGACGATAAATGTAGTTGGTAGAATGTTCACAAGAAATTGTTGATGACCGACAGAACTAAAAGGGAACCTAACTAGAATTAGGTAATTAGAAGGATGTCTCTGTTTGGCCAGCATTAACCAAGTGTTGTCTTATACATGTATATATTGTCTTGTTATATTCTATATTTTATCATTGCTTGAGAAGCCTATATTCTATATCTTATCATTGCTTGATAATGACTAGAGAAGCCTAGTTGAAACATTGCTCAGTAATAAGCCGTAATTGTATTCCAGAATCCAGAAATTACTAACCTACATTCAACATACTGAACCAATAAAATATAAGATGGTAGAGTGGGAATAGTTTCTATATAGAATGGTGCCACTATCTGTTTTCTCTTCAATCTATTACAACATAATGCCATATTAAACTGTTCTAAACATTCTTCACTAGCTATATAAGCTGGACTCAATATTACAATGATTCTGAAAATAACATGTTTTCAATTAATAAACGACGATCAATCTCAACCAGGTATTGTATTAATACTCTTTTCATTCTATTTTAGTTTGCTAAGATTTATTATTACGCTACTAAAGTCTAAAAAATTATAGACTGTTCACAGTTCCTGATAGGAGGAGTTCTAAAATTTGAATGGTAAGGTGTTTGATTGACAACTGGAAGGTGCTCATTACACACCTCCAAGCAATGCAGTTGTCTTCTACATTACTTTCTTAATACAGATGACAGAATCATCCCAGGAATGTCCCTTCAAAAAATCAAATCAAATCTTTTTATTTATTTCCAATTAGGCGAGCAACCATATTCTACATATATGGCTGCAAACTATCCAGTTCTAAGCCTTTGACAACAGTTGTTTTCTCCTCTATGGTGTCAACTTTTAATCTATGCATCTTGACATAAAGTACTTTATTTTTACAATTCAATTTGTTTATCATCAATGACTAACATTTTCATTCACCTCTTAGACTTGATCATGGCTTCATAAATCTTCTCTTGCCATACGTCATCTTTTTCAAAAGCTATCATATCTGTATAAAGTTTAATCTTAGGCTGTATTTGTTTCAATTTCTTTATTACTTTATTGGTTAACATTTGGTCATTAGGTGAGAATGACATATATATGTCATATTTTGTTATATCAACGTTGAAGGAAGCCTGTAAATTAATCATAAAATACTAAATAATGTATGAGTAATACAATAAATATAAAGATAAATATGAACATAACCTGGCCACTCCCAGGCAAAGAAAATGTGCCCACCAGCAATAACTCAGAAACTTGGACCTATGGAGCATTTACAAGAATTGTGGACAGATGGACTGACAGCTAGAGAGATCTAAAGCTTTACTATTTACCTTTCCAAAGATTTGTCAATACAGTACCACTTATCAGTATCACAGGTCAGTGAAAATGTAGAAATGTACTGTTTTCTCTATAACCTTTAAAAAATCTGTTTAAGGTTTGGAAGAAGTGACAAAAAACCTGCGACTTGTTCAACTTACAACCATCACAAATTATAAATAACGCTTGGGAAAAATATTTTCCAACATATTCCATGGAAATGAACTGGTACACATAAATTTGTGCTGGACAGAATGACAACACCAGAAGGGACTGCATGACAAAGCCTGAATTTGTGTGTATTGTCTATGATGGGTGCCCTATTTCCAAACTTCTTTATATTAAAAAAAATCAATTCATAAAATCCCGATATAAAATACGAATTTAATTTCAGATATTTCGCAAGTGCACACACCAGTAATAAGTTTATAAATTACCTTTTGCTTGCCAATTTTTTCCCATTTCAATTTTAGCTTATTAAATAATTCCACAGTTTCTGCATCTCTTTTGTAAATTTCATTAACATTCTTAGAATATATGACTATCTTCATATGACGTAATGGTAGTCCAGCCAAAATCCAACTGCAAGCTCCATTTACCATCATTTCTAAAACTGCCCTACTTGGTTGTCCCTAAAATAATACCCCCTGATAAAACATCTATATAATGAAGAATGTGACTGATATTAATTGAATTCTCGTGAGATTCTCAATTTTTAAATCAGTCAGAATGATTATTCCTCCTCCTCTGGCTTGCCCTTGCAAATGTATTATGTTTTCCTTTAAACCAAAGCCAGGTTGAGAAATAAAAGAACTTAATAGGTAAATTGTAACATAGCTTTGATTATCAATCAAGGTCAAAGGTATTATTATGCAGTTGTTACGAGTATGTTTAATATATTAATGGAGTGACTATCCAAATGAATGGAATGAAAACAAGCCAACAGTGAGGCTGATGTCCCCCGCTGAAATCCCAAAATAAATAGATGACACATACTAATTAATCACACATTTATTTTTTTCAAAAGTATTGAGCAATCAAACTATACACTAAGTTTCATCCCTCTCTACTAGACAAAGAAATTGATTAGTTCTGCTTAGGTTCGGCTTAAAATGTTAATCATTGATTTCAGTCAAGACATTCACCTAATTAACCACTACAGCAAGTTTAACCATTCTACCTCAATTAAAAGCAGAGTTGTTATGTTCCAAAGTCTTGACCAATCAAATTGTTTATCGCTCCTCAGCCTAAGCAGAAATTTTTACCATCGAATTTAGTCAAGGTATTGATGTAATGAAACTATACACCAAGTTTCATCACTCTCACGTAATTAGAACTAAAGTTACTGTGTCCCAAAGCATCAACTAATCAAATTGCTTATCTCTGCTTACCCTAAGCAGAAAATGCACATCTTCGAACTCCATCATGGCATTGACCTAATAGACACCTACACCAAGTTTGAACATTTTAGCTCAATTAGAAGGAGAGTTATTGTGTTCCAAAGTCTTGGCCAATCAAATTGCTTATCGCTCTGCTTAAACCTGAGCATAAAATGCTTATTATCAAACTTAAGTCCAGGTATTGATGTAATGAAACTATACACAAAGAAACATCACTCTCACTTAATTAGAACTAAAGTTATCGTGTCCCAAAGCATCAACCAATCAAATTGCTTATCTCTGCTTACCCTAAGCAGAAAATGCTCATCTTTGAACTCCATCAAGGCATTAACCTAATAAACAACTACACCAAGTTTGAACATTCTAGCTCAATTAGAAAGAGAGTTATTGTGTCCCGAAGGGGCGGGGAAAGACAGACAGACAGACGGACAAACCCATTTTAATAGTCCCCTGCTTTCTTCGAAAGCCGGGGGACAATAACATCTGATTATAGTTGAATGTTTTCTTAAATATACAAGAGCTAAATCTGCCTATGGCAGGTCTTTCTTTAGGCCTGAAATGTTATATAAACTTTTAATTAGACATTTATTAACATGGGAACTGACAAGACCATAATCAGTTCACGATGTAATCTGATGCTTCCAATTTTCATTAAATTTGAATCCGATCCAGCGTTCAACAGCCGCAACGGCAACAATGACAATCAAGGCTACAAGGTTTTCAAAATGAGTATTTCTCGACTAAGACTAGAGTAAAGTAATTTGACTGAAATTTTCAGAATATTCCTATTACATTATCTATTATTTAACTATTATAGTGTGAACTGTCAGATCTTTATCTGATCTTCCATAATGTATCTTTAATGGTCTAGTATTTTTTTTAGCTAACCTGATTGCCTGTAGCTAATAGTGGAGTTATAACAGTGGTGTCCTGATTATTAAATACTGGTGTAAATGCTCTATAAATCTTACTAATCTGCTCTCCTATACTTCCTGCATGTGCTATCCTACAATACAAGGGTGAAAATACATTACAACCCACAATACAAACTTAAAGGAGTAATCTCAGACTTCTCAGGGCATTGAGTGGGTTTAAATATGGAAATTGAATGCAAAAAATGTAAAAATAAATGTTGTCTAAGTACCTTATTTGAAAGGTTTAAGCTTAAAGGAAATGATCACCCCAAATGGGTAATATGGGTAATGGTGACCTACTAAATGCAGAGATGAAAGAAAATGGGGTTTAACGTCCTACTGTTCTGCCCCGAACTGGTCTAATGAAGACAGGAATATGCCATACAGTGTGCTGCATCACTGACAAGGGGGAACAACGCCAGAAAATCTGGACGAACTTTCTCGATCAAAGCAGGGATCGAACACCCAACCTACAGGCTAGCGAGCCAGTGTCTTAGCCACCGTAATTCCGCTATTAAATGCAACAACCTCAAACATTTTGAAAATTCCACTACTTTATATCAACAATAATAAAATCCAAGTTTACCAGAAAGATACCATGGAAAACTTGCACAGCTTAGACAATTATAACATTGCGAATGAGAGAATGATTAACATTCACATATCAATACTGGCCAAAGTACACAGTTTAAGACAGATTGAAAATTTCGATCAGATCGGGGCCCTTATTCACGAAAACTTAAACTAAGTTACAACCGAAATTTTAAGAAATACTGCAACTTCATTGGATATATGCAAATTGTTTTTACTGGTCAGCCAATCGAATTGCAGTATTTCTTAAAATTTCGATTGTATCTTAGTTTTCGTGAATAAGGGCCCTGAATGGTAAATCCCATTAATATTATACACACACACACCAAAGGACTGCATACAGTCTAAGGACTAGACTAGGAAGAAGTTCTTTTCACAAAGAATGAATCAGTTTTATTCACTAAAATATATCTGGGTCAAATTTTAAATTGATTTGATATCTTCTGTTCCATTTACTGTTTTGATTCATAAAGTCTATCTAGTTGTGTTTGAAATTTTATGCAGCTGTCAACAGTTTAAGTGGTTAAATGAAACTAAAAGTACTGGTGAATACAAGCTTGATGCCTTGATATTTGCTAATTCTGAAAAATAAAAATTTGACAACAGGTCCCATAAACAGTTCATTAGTACTATAATACCTTTCAAAACAAACCAGTCGTCGATAAGGTAGATGATCAGGAAGAGGACATGAAACCCAACATGAAAAATTTCTACGTAAATCTACATCTTTCTTCCTGGATAAAGTTGCTACACATAAATCTAGGTTATGGTATAAGGCACTTATTAATGTATGTTTACCACCTAAACTATAGTCATCTGGAAATATATAAATTAAACACAAATATTAAATAAGAAAAAATATTATTAGAATGATTCAGGTAGAATGATGCCTTTTTTATGTTTTTGTAACAAATTAACAATGCAAAGTATAAATTGTGCCAAATGCAAATTTTCTCTGATAAATTGTTAATGATTTACAAGAGATGAAGTCTTATGTATGGCTGAACTTGTTTACGTTCAAATGGTAACGTTCAATAACACAATCCACCTCAATATAATACATAAATTTACTCTTGATGCGATATAATACATGTATATAAATAAAAGCAAAATAGCATATCTTACTTGGAAAAGCAGATACCATTACAATATCCACTTTATCTTCCATAGGTAGTTTGGTTATATCACCACACATAAATTCAACAGCACAATTTCCCTGTCTTGTAGGAAGAACAATCTTGTTCAAACTTTTTAAACCACTTGATTCAGCCATGGTTAAATCAATTTTGCATCAAAACTATATTTAAAGGGCCTATGGCTCTATTCTTAGGAACCTTAAAGTAGACGAAAATAGGTCTAAACAGGATATTAAAATCCCAAATTTTAACGGTAAGATAACAACATCAATATTAATTGAAATGGACCAATAATGAATTCTAAGTCGTGTTTTTAATTTCAAATATTATGGAAAATATTGAGTAAGTGGTTTTAGCTCCTTTAACAAAGTCCACTTCATGAAACATCTTAGACTAATTTACCATATCAATTTTTGCGGTCTTCAATCATTCATGTTCGTCTTGAGTAACATATATACCTGTTCAAACCTAAAAAAAAGCTAACACTTCAAATAATAGATGACACATTTCAATCACCTGGTTATCTATAGGCCCTGCTTAGTCTAAGCAGAAAATGATCTTTATTGAACTTTAGTCAAGGTTTTGATGTAGTGAAACTATACATTAAGTTTCATCACTTAATTAGAATCAAAGTTATTCGAGTCCCAAAGACATTGGCCTAATGAACATGCCTAACCCAAGAAACAGAGTTGTGTTTAAAAGTCTTGACAAATCAAACTGAAGTCTCTACTTGGCCTAAGGAGGAAATGCTCATCATTGACCTTAATCAAAGTACATGTAGCGGTATTGATGTTATGATGAAAATATACACCAACTTTCACCACTATCACTTGATTAGAATCAAAGCTATCATGCTCCAAAGTATCAAACTTACTCCAGGTTATTCACCTAATAAACACCTATACAGTTTGATCATTCTAGCTCAATTAGAAGCAGAATTATTGTATCAAAAAGGTTGAAGGAAGTGCAAATGGACATACGAAACCAATTTAATATTGGTAGTCCCTTGCTTATCTTCGAAAGGCAGTGACAAAAAGTAACTTATGTATGGTACCTCAGTGAGTAAAGTGCTTTCTCATTAAGCAGGAGGTCCGATCCCAATGGGTCTTTTTTTTATTTGGGTGGTCTGTTTCTGAGTCAAGTGGCTTGGTTTTGAATCTCCGCTTGTATGTGACAAGGAGTAGGGTCACTTGGCTGTCCAACCTGTTGGGTTTTAATCTACAGGTCCTCTGGTTTGTTAATTCCACTGTTAAGACCCGTACAAAATGACCTGGTTTGTGAAGACGTTAAACCCAATTTCTCTCTCTTTCTTTGTAATAAAAGTGTCTGGTAGTTTGGATGGAACAAAAACCTGAAGTCCTATGTACACATTTGCATAATATATGGCATATATAAAGAACCCTCGAGAATTGGTAGTTGGTATTCAAAGAAGAGTAGGCAGAATTAGCGTCACTGTCAGGGCTAAATTTCTCTCATAGACTCACATAGGCCAGCACTGATCTGAAACATATCTATATCAAATATCTTATAAACAAATAGCCTACCTGATATAAATCTGATCAATGTCAATTTGAATTAGATTTTCAGCTCTCAGGTGATCACATTTACTAAATGAACAGGCCGTAATCATTCCTGGAGAGAGAAATGGGGTTTAACGTCCACTCAACACAAACTAGGTTATTTCGGGACTACAGGGTTCAATTTTATTTCAATAATTCGCTTGCGTGTAAGGGTTTAATTAGCAGTGGGAGGAAATTGGAGGACCCAGAGAAAACTCACCAGGTTGGACAGGCGATCGTCGACCCTTATAACCCTCCCTGGACCACTCTACCTATGGTCTTCATTTTGTACCAAGCAAGGGCAACATTGGTTAAAGTGGCAATCAATTATATTATGGCGGTATATGTCAAAATATATGACGGAAAATTGTTAATAAATTGCTAATTAAGTATAATTGATCGATATGAATCATTCTTGGACCAAAAGTACAGCAGGCCTAAAAGGTCGTGTTACCATCAATTCAATACCAAGACAATTATTCTGGGAATTTCACCTTTTATTATAAGATTATCCATTTGACCAGGAGTGCATGGGTCACCCTACCATGGGTTTCGATAAATATCTAGTCTTTATTCAATTAACTGTTTTTTCAGCAAAAGGATAGGCTAACAGTCATATCTAGTAACGTCCAGTCCATATTGTTGGTTAGTTGGTTAGATTCAGTGAAGCGGTAGTGATGGAAACTCTAATATCCAGTCTTTCATATATTTATAGTACGGTACATATAATATACTTTAATATATTATACTATAATATATTTATATTATACTATAATATATTTATATTATAGTAACAGAAATGCTGGTTAGTAAAGACTAGTCGGTGCCCTTGTTGTGATTATCCAGTCTTGAAAAGTCATAACGTTTTATGAACCTATCAATCGTGGCTACCTTGTCGCTAGCGTAAACAAACATGGAGGATGAAACATTAGAAAATAACACAGGCCATGGCCTGAAGGAGAATATTTCACAGACATCGATACTGCCGTCAGATTCTCCCGAACATACAATGTCTGAAACTTTGATTTCTTCGGATCATGGTCCTTTAGAATCTGAATCAAGTGAAATTTTTGAAAGACAATCTAATAAACCGAAAAAGAGTGTTGAAGTGGAGGATTTTGGCGATGACGCATACAGCGAGCCGTTACCAGATCCCTATGGTCGCGCCGTTAAATATTTAGAGAAACACAACATTATGCAGTTATTTCAGGTAAAATATAACACACCCGACTCTTACCCATGCTTGCCATATGTGTATTTAATGGGAGTAGTCTCTATAATTTTAGTTATAAATTATAAATACTGGGTAGCCAAAAAACAACCAATGAATATGTATCATGTATGAGTAAAACTTACCTATTCCGCACAATTAAACATACATTATGCATGAGCTAAATCTGCCTATTGCAGGTCTTTCTTTAGGCCTGAAATGTTATCTAAATTATTAATTAAACATTAATTAACTTATCCAGACCATAATCAACTCTCAATGTCATCGCTAGCCTGCAATATTGACTGGATTAGGATCCGATTTGCTGCTCAACTTTCATTCGTGATTAAATCATGAAAAGGGTAATCAAGACTGTTTTTTTTATCGTACCAACTTTAGTAATGATGATAGAGGCTAGGCCAAAAATTCAATTGCTAAATTCTTGGTTCAGAGTGGATCAATTTGACTTAAATTTTAGCAAATTCCCTTTACATTATCGAGTTTTTAACTATTATAGTGAGAACTGCCAGCTCTTTATCTAATCTCCCATAATGTATCTTTAATGTGTGTATGATGAGTCAAGTATTAGTTATGGACGACATAACAAATACCATGTGGACGACTTAGACCTAACTGTGGATTAGCTTGCTTGTGGAGGATTGAAATTTTGAATTACCTATTTTGTAACTATTATAGCAAGAAAGGTCAGCTCTTCATCAAATCTTAAATAATGTATCTTTAAGCTATGTTTAGTATCTTTTGGGGGCCACATGAAAATTAAGGGAGTTACAGACCTGTAACATTTTTGCATTATTAAGTCTTCAGTAATGGTCCTCGTGGAGACAATATCACTATTTAATCCTCAGATTAAACACAATCACACAGTGACCAGTTCGGTACATAGATAACAAACTGTAGGTATGCTTCAGTATGAACCCTATTTAGAACTGTAGTATAACAAAATTATTAAAAAATATCCCAATCTCTCTAAAATTGGTCAATCTCTTCAAAGGATAACTATTTCTATGTATTTTACAGTCATTAACAAGTAGTATAGTTTATAACAAACCTGATGATCCAATGAGTTTCTTGATGACAGAAGTTGATAGAATAAAGAGAGAAAGGGATCAACAGAAGGAAACAGAGAAAGAAATAAAACAAATTAATCCAAATTAAAAAGATTGCTGCTTTATAGATATGATAGCAACCCCTTGTCTTAAAAGAAAATGCAAAGAATGAACATTATCAAATGACTACCCATCATTGTCATCATCAGTAGACAACTCAATGTATTGTTCAGAAACAGAAATGTTTTATAAGCTTTATGTTCTAAAGAAAACCACAAGTCTGTGTTATTAACTTGTGTGATATATGTTTAATTATAAGATAAGTACCAGTATTATACATATTGTGATATTATTTGTTTTTAAAGACAATATAGCTTTAATATTTGTTATTGTTTGATATTTTTAGGGTTAATGTCTTTATGCATATCGTGTATGATGTTCAAAGTTGTTTTCGGTTACATTTAGATTATTTATATTGTGATGAGATTATCCAATAAGTATATATTATGTTGAGAGTGAAAAAGAAATTTCAATGATTGTTGATTTTTATGCATGTGATTCAAATAGCATATATATTGTTTTTATGAAATATTTATAATAAATAAATATTTTTAAAATAAAAAAAACTCTTGACTTTTTTGTTCAATTATTTCAAGATAAACTGCTTAAGTGATTTAAACCCTTTCTTTTATGGCTACTCCTCAAGCATTAGATTGGGAATAAGCTGTTCAAAGTCTTATCTTCTTGTAATAATGAATGATTACTTAAAGATACATTATGTAAGATTTAGATAAAGAACTAGCCATTCTTGCTAGAATAGTTCGAAAGTAGATGATGTAAAATGAATAATTTGAAAATTTCATTCAAATTACTCTATTGCAAGTGAAGCCTGTGAAGGTTTGACAGACGTGTGCAATAATTTCAACCACCGTACTGGTTGATCGAAGCTAAGTCTCGGTCCTCCATATTTGATTAAATCAAAGTATCGCCGAACCATTCTAATCTATTTAATATCAGAGAAATCTGATGCCATCAAGAGTTGATTAAGGCCTGGATCAGTTAATTAATGTCTAATACTTAAAAAAAACATTTCAGACTGAAAGAAAGACCTGCAATAGGCAGATTTAGCTCTTGCATAATGCATGTTTAAAAAAAGTATGAAAATTAATAGGATCATGATTGAAAAGTTTAAGGGGCAGACAAAATTTTGCAAAAGTGGGCATAGGACAGACATCCAATATATGGTTAAACTTCAGTTTTGGATGTTAAATTTGATTGGAAAGATACCAGACAATTTTGATTTGTTTTTATCAAACATAGACTAACACAAGATTGACAACTCTTTGTCAATGTGCTGAAAATGAAAATTCAATTGTCGATCACCACAAGAATATATTTTCTATCTATTGAACCATATTTAAACAAAACTTTAAGGTGTCTTCTTGTACACTACGTTTTAAAACTTTTACTACAAATGAACACAGCCAAGGGAAATAACAATGCAACTACCCCCAATGGTAGATTATCTCCTGAGTTGGCCCATCAAAAGATTTTACCCAAGGTGCTAGTTTTTATATATATATATATATATATATATATATATATATATATCATTGGCCGAGAATGCTGCAAAATATTTATTTAACAGGATTACACCATTTTTGACTGATAGTTCTTTTAGAGATGAACATTTGTATTGTAGTTTACAAAGGATTCAAAATCCCTCAATTTATGATCAGCAGCTTTATTCAGATGTCACAATTTGTAATGTGCATAATATTGCCAGTGTTTTTTTTGGATACTTTTATTTTATCAAAATAATATATTACTACAATTTTCATGAGCACAATATTGCCATTATTTTTGAGATACTTTTATTTTATCAAAATAATATATTACTACAATTATATGTTGAGACATCTATATGCATATCAAAACTTAAATAATAAACTGTAAAATTAGTTAGAATTATCAAAATCTAGAAATCAAATATCACAGATAAAATATACATAAGATACATGCACATGAATTAATCTAGGACAGATTCGGATATGGACGGAAAAGCTATCATAAAATCAAAGCACTTTTTATGCTTGTCAACTCATCATGTTTTCTGTATAATAATTTCTGTTTACCTAAAAATTACTGTACTATTATAAACTGAAGTACTGAAAAACATATACAACTTAAACACATTACTGTTAGTGCAATGTGCATGCATTTGAAAAGGACATATATAACATCTGTTGGTTTGAATTGAGGATTACAGACCTGTGATCAGATCTACTTTAAGTAGAAATATGATATCAAATATATATAAATATAAAAGTTCACTTCTGCGTAGATCTATAAAACAAACCAACACCATAATTCTATAGTACTAGGGCTTAAATTAATGTTGCATGTTGGAGTGCAATGACTATACCTACATTATTCAACACTGGTTATACTAAACTTCACCTCAAATAGATATTGAACTACAAGCATTTTTAAAGCCTAGACTCCTCATTATCAAGTCCAGTACCAAAAAATTATGAGTAAATTTGATTTATGAATCGATTATATTCTAACAATAAATAAACAGATGTACTAACATAATGAAATATAACACGATTAATAATTTAGTAACATGTTCATAATAAAGGCATATAAAAAAAATTACATGTAATATCCTTAGGAATCAAATTAAAAATGGCTGCCTTATGAGATCTTGAAACATTTAGATGGAACTCTTTACAAACACTTCCAAACAAATACACTGGAAAAAATATAAACAAAACATAAATATTAGGAAAACAAGTATAAGCGGGTACCTCATTTTCAGAAAATAAACATGCATTGCCAGGCAATGAAATACATGTATACACCTACTTGTGTTGCCCCAGTATATAAGGTAGCAGTGCACGCAGAGTGTGGACATGAAGCTACATCTCGAATCAAATATAGACATAAAGACAGCAGCTTATCCGAAAAGAAAACTTTCTTTTGATTCAGATGGAAATTCTAGAATCCAATGAATATAATATAATATGCATGCCAATTTAATTTCTATGTGCAATACAGTGGAGAAATTATCTAGAGATCTTTACATATTCTATGTATTGATTTTTGTTCACTGCATACCTCTTAAAGATAGATTATGTAAGATTTAGATAAGGAGCCAGCCATTTTTGCCATAATAGTTCAAAAATAGATAATGTAAAATGAATAATTTGAAAATTTCATTCTAATTACTCTATTGCGAGCGAAGATATTAGCCTTTGAAGGTTTGACAAGACGTGAGCAATAATTTCAACCACCGTACTGGTTGTTCGAAGCTAAGTCTCGCCCCTCCATTTTTAGCTTAAATCAAAATATGGCTAAACTGTTCTAATCTATTTAATATCGGAGAAATCTGTTGCCATCGAGAGTTGATTATGGCCTGGATAAGTTAATTAATGTCTAATTATAATAATTTAGAAAACATTTCAAGCCTAAAGAAAGACCTGCAATAGGCAGATTCAGCTCTTGCATAATGTATGTTTAATATAATCTTACCAGCAATCATCTCCTCCTGTACTTATTAAATGTTTGTCATCTGATGAAAACTTTACATTGGTAACATGAGCTGAGTGTCCCACAAATCTCTTGTGTGTAGCCTGCAATGTCAAGATTATTTACTGAATATCATTGTTACAAAACACTCAATTTTAGATTTACTTTCTGAAGAAAAATAACTGCCTATCATAAGGTGCCTTCCAATTGATCATTTGATCATACAATTTCACAATAAAATAACTTATCTTTAATACAAACTGAATGTTTGCTATTGAAATATGTAGCCGATTGTTGTTGTGTGCATTTTTACAGATTTAAAAATGTATTTCTTCAATGATATCTCAAGTGATCAACTGGGACCCCCTAAAATTATATTTATCTGAAATATGATATATTTTGGAATCAGATTGTTACTGCCAAGTACCGGTAAATAAACTAATGTGTTAAATTCATAAGACTTGTAATTAACACAATATTTATTTAGTAGACTGACAGGTTGTATTATGTTTTATCAGGGTAAAGAAAGAAATTTTTTATTAAAACAGATACTGGGAAAGTGCAGTTCAGGTATATGAAATTAAATGAACTAAGAAATTGTGATTCAAAATTTTTGTATCTACAGTGGACTCTGTCAACTCTGAAATCGTACGGGATCGTTACAATATATCGAATTACGCAGGGTGTCGGAATACTCAGTTTTCTCAAAACCGGAATTATTATTGTAACTTCGCAAACCGGAAGTATTATTTTAATGTAGCTTCGTATCCCCAGAATGTTATTCCCTTTAAAAATGATAAACCTTTCTGTACATTTAAAATTTTATTACATTAATTTTTATTTCATTTAACATGCATAGGCATTTTGAATAGGTCAAGTCTGTCGTTAATTTATCTTCTTCGTCTTCAGTTGATCGCACACTTGTCTTGGTGTCACGTGTTCATTGATAATCTGTCGTTTTATGTCCAGGTCTTTGTCACACAGTTTGCATAGATCCGCAGGGTGAACCAACTTAGGTATTCAGGTTCAGTCGGCATGCACAACAAATGTTTCCAATAGGTGCTAGGAATATTTTTACGACTGAATAATTCCTTGGAAAATTTGTGGGTATTCATGAGTAGTTGTCACAACTGTCTTACACAAGAGATAATAAAATTATCAAAGAAATCAACGAAGACCTACGCAAGCGAGTTTTAATCTCACCGATAATTGATAGGTGATTGCCTGTTAATCTTTTGTGGCTTCACACCCAAGGATTGAAGGTCGGATTATACAGTGTTGCTTCAATGGAAATCATGTGACAGGACGGCTGATTGATGTTGTAATTCGGAATATTCAGAGTATGGATTACTCAAAGATTTTTTGGCTGAAATAATAAGGAAATAAATCGGGACATGAAAATGATGTCGGATTTCACAGAGTGCCGGAGTATTCAGAGGTCGGATGTGACAGAGTCCACTCTATATTGCCATCTAAATTGAGAAAGGATAATTTAAACTAATATCTAAATAATCACTCAATTCACAGATTTATGAAACTTATATCTGATGTTCTAATGAGTGCATAATGCATCTAAAATATTTCTACAGAATGGTGCATGCTAGGGTAAGAAAGGAATACCTAATTACTTACCGTAGTCTATTTAAGATGAAAAGTAAATAAATTGGAAAATGTGAAAAAAATGATCATATTTACATAATACGGTAAGATAAAACAAAAAAAGATTCATTTCAAAATAAAACAAGCCAACAGTGAGGCTGGTGTCCCTTATCGTAACCACGAAATAGATGACACTCATTAATTACTTACACATTTGTCTCTTTAAATAGCAATAGTAACATAGGGATAAACAAGCCAAAAGTGAGGCTGATGTCCCCCGCCGAAATCCCGAAATAAATAGATGTCACATATTAATTAATCACACATTTATTTTTTTCAAAAGTATTGAGCAATCAAACTATACACTAAGTTTCATCACTCTTTATCAGATAGAATCAAGATTATCTTGTTCCAAAGCATCGACCAATGAAATTGCTTAGCTCTGCTTAGCTTCAGCTCGAAATGTTAACCATTGAACTCAGTTAAGACATTCACCTAATGAACATCTACATCAAGTTTAAACATTCTACCTCAATTAAAAGCAGAGTTGTCCAAAGTCTTGACCAATCAAATTGCTTATTGCTCCTTAGCATAAGGAGAAAATTCTCACCATCAAACTTAGTCATGGTTTGATATAATGAATCTACACTCGGACTTTCATCACTCTCACTTAATTAAAACCGAAGTTTTCGAGCCCCAAAGCATCAACCAGATTGCTCATCTCTGCTTACTGTAAGCAGACAATGTTCATCGTCAAACTCTATCATAGTCTCGATCATCCAGAAAAATATTCTATGAATATTAGTCTGGATGCGTTTTCAACATTTGAGAAAAATAGGTCAATGGCTAGATTATCCGGTCTTTTACATTATCATTAACAACATCTAAGGGAGGTAACTAGTCCTAAAACAAGATGTTGACGTCCATGAAATTAATTCAAGAATGCCATTTCAAAAAATCCATTTCATTGCATGCCAGTTCAATATCCAAATTTCTCTCTTCATGGGCAATATTTACGTTTTTAAAATTAATCCTAATTCGTCTTCATGATTCATGTTTGTTTATTATTAATGCAAGAATTATGGGATTTATTGTGAGAAGGGGCACAACTCTTACTTGACTTGGCCAGAAGGTACTGGATGATCCACCACATAAAAAACCAAACTACCGGTTATGCAGGGCAATGGACTTTTCGTCAAATGTTGACAACAGTCCCAGACCATCCATACGTTGAATACTAGGAGGTTCTGGGTGACCAAGGCTAACACCATAAAGGCATTTACCTAATGAATGCCTACACAAAGTTTGAACATTCTACTTTAATTAGAAGGAGAGTTATTGTGTTCCAAAGTCTCGACCAATCAAATTGCTTATCGCTCTGCTTACCCTCAGCAGAAAATGCTCATTATTGAATTTAGTCAAGGTATTGATGTAATAAAACTATACACCAAGTGTCCTCACTCTCACTTAATTAGAACTGAAGTTATCGTGTCCCAAAGCATCAACCAATCAAATTGCTTATTTCTACTTACCCTAAGCAGAAAATGCTCATCTTCGAACTCCACCTAATAAACACCCACACCAAGTTTGAACATTCTAGCTCAATTAGAAGGAGAGTTATTGTGTTCCAAAGTCTTAGCCAATCAATTTGCTTATCGTTCTGCTTACCCCGAGCAGAAAATGCTCATTATCGAACTTAGTCAAGGTATTGTTGTAATGAAACTATACACCAAGTTTAATCACTCTCACTTAATTATAACTAAAGTTATCGTGTCCCAATGCATCAACCAATCACATTGCTTATCTCTGCTTACCCTAAGCAGAAAATGAGAGTTATTGTGTTCCAAAGTCTCGACCAATCAAATTGCTTATCGCTCTGCTTACCCTGAGCAGAAAACGCTCATTATCAAACTTAGTCAAGGTATTGATGTAATGAAACTATACACCAAGTTTCATCACTCTCACTTTATTAGAACTAAAGTTATCGTGTCCCAAAGCATCAACCAATCAAATTGCTTATCTCTACTTACGTTAAGCAGAAAATGCTCATCTAGGCACTGACCTAATAAACACCTACACCAAGTTTGAACATTCTAGCTCAATCAGAAAGAGAGTTATTGTGTCCCAAAAAGTGTGATGGACAGACAGATGGACGAACCCATTTTAATAGTCCTCTGCTTTCTTCGAAAGGCAGGGGACAAATACTGATCATCAAACTTAATCAAGGTTTTGATGTAATTAAACTATACACCAAGTTTCTTACTCCCCCTCAATTAGCAGCAGAATTATTGTGTCAGATGGACAAACCCATTTTAATTGTCTCCTTGGGGACAGGAAGTAAAATATTTATACACATGTATAATGAATACATAGCACCATGCAATTATGATTTTACTACATGCAAGCATATACAATTTGCCAGTTTGATTTTCCATCAAAAGGATAACCACAAAGTTTTGATGACAATTTTCTGTTTCAAAATCTCAAATAACAGTCAAATTATAAATCTGGCTACAACAATTAAATATGTCTAATTTTCCATGGAAAGGAAGTGACTTTTTAAATTTAATTATTATTTTTGCCATTTTTAAATTTGAAAACACAGACAGAAGCTCATTCTAAAACCAATGTCAACAATTAATTATGGCTGAGAAAATTTTAAATTTTATTAAATTCCCCCAAAACGAAATGGGGTTTAACATTCTACTGTTCTGCAAAGTTAATGAAGACAGGCCAGGAAAACTGCACCACCGCTTTCTCTTATATTAATTTTACTGGCACATCAATCTGTACACAGGACCTCAGTTTTTCGACCTTTTAAACGACCATACGTCGTCCTTTGAAAGGCCTTCCTTCCTGTACCACTGACAAGGGGGAATAACAGTGGATTTATTAAATTCCATGGATAACCCTGTCTTGTACTGGGTTCACACACTTTAAAATCAAAAATGTGAACTAAAAGATAAATCTACAGATAAAAATTGTCCTAATTTTAATCGCGTTAAGTTTAAATGTAGGAGTTTAAAATAGTACAAAGTTACTTACATTTCTATTAGGACAAGGAAAGTCAAAAAGTTTAACAAATCCATTATCATCGCCTGTAGCTAGCGCTGTTCCAAGATGTGACAGATGAGCACAGTTGACATCCGCATTATCAGAATCTCTTGGCCATATTCCTAAAACCTCATCACCCAATACGCTAGAAATATAATTATATACCAGATACACTACATTAATATTATTTTAATAATTATTAAATTGTCCAGATAATGCATCAAATCTGTTACAAATATGAATCGCAGAGGAATGTCTATCTTTAATGTACATGTGCCAGCTATAGAATGCCATACCATTGACTCCTTCCAAATTGTACTAAGCTCATTTTATCTTATTCTACAACAGGGAAAGCAAATGGGGTTTTTCTTAGCACAAATAGATCATCTTTATTTCAATATTCACCATGGCAATAAAGTGATTCAGTAGCTGAAACTTGACATAAGAATAATTGATTTTCCCAAATGTAGACTAACTAAAAATAAAACCTGAATGAAAATAAGATCCATTTTTAATCAAGTTGAATAAATTGATGGGTGAAGGGGAACAGAAAGGGAGGGTAGGGGAAATCGGCGAAAGATCTGTGATCTGTGGAATAGAAAAAGGCCACTGAAAAATAACTATCCAGTTATTTACCTTGTCCATGTAGACCATGTTATTGCAGAGAGTTGTTGTTTATCTTCAACTAATATACCAGCAGGTACAGTATATACATGTGGTGTATAATCACCAGTACCAACCTATAATATAATATATTATATTAGAAAAACCTATATATAGCCACAGTTTCATACCTTGCCTGTGTATATGTGTAAATTCTATGTTTATTTATCTAATTTTTATGTTTGTATATGTAAAACGATTGCTTATCCAATGTTCGTTTTGTCCAGTGTCTGTATAATGTATGTCTGCCCAACGTTTGACTGTAAAATTGTCATAATATAATATTGCATCTGTCTCTATGCACATAGTATTTGCACATTCGTTATACACCTGTTATTGCCCATCCCTAATTGTTTCATTTGTTTTTATATGTACATTTTTGGAAACCCATTGCATTCAAAATATGACAAAATAATAACTTAGCAAAATAAGTGAACAATAAACAATCAATGCAAATTTGAAAGAATTGGGCAAGATCTGTAGTGTGCAGATTAATCACATATAAAATGGAAAGACCGACACACTTATCTTGACTCAGGTCTAAATATACATCATATAGTACACCTTGTTATTCATAGGTAGTTCCACAGAAAAGCATTTAATTATCTGTAACCATATTTCAACATTCTTATATATACCTTTGACCCATTAGTTGTCTAGGGCTGAGATTGTATCAATTTGTGACAACAATATACGATCATATTAATAACAATGTCATTAATATCTATTTGTTATAATGTATTCATTTGAGCCACAAATACCAGATTCAATAAAAAAAACACTGTATTAATTCTGATCTGCCACAGCAATTGTAACTGTAAATAACGTGAATTGTCTAGTTCAATTTATGAAACTATTCAACTTTTAATTTCAAATTCCTACATACATCAGATGAAATAAAAGAAGCATTATTTACCCGTATAAATTTACTATCCGCAGAGAAATCCATCTGGATGACAAAACTTGGTATTCCTTTACAGAAATTAGTTCTGGCCAGACTTGGTCCCTTGCTCAAATCATAAAAATCAACATACTTATCTTCTGAGCCAACAGCTAAATATTTATTATCAGGACTGAATCTGAAAAACAAACAAAAATCTAATCACTAAAAACATTAATGTTTTTTTTAAACAATAATCAGTTCATAAACCTTTTTGTGTCAAATATATAGTACATCATTCATTAAAATAAATGGAAAGCTTTCTCCTAAAGCAGTTTTGTCGTTGTACCAACTTTTTATACACTGATTTTTGGTGGTATTATTCATTCAGGCCTAAAGAAATGAAATGAAACAGGGTTCAACTTAACGTCTTATTTTTCTGTGCCTACCGGACTAATGAAAATGGATATATGTCATGCAGTGTGATATGAGGGGAATTGTACCAGGACACCGACATTTCAACCTCTTCTTTGAATACTAACGGTCAAGAGTTTGGTTGCATGAAAGCCAACAGGAACATGGAAATTGGGTTTTTCATTTCTTCTCAAGAACTAGATACTGTTCTGTCCTGCACCTATGACAAGGGGAAACCACCCGGGATAATCCTGATGTACTTTCTCAGCTAACCCTGTCTGAAACTCCAGGTTGTTGATCCAGCAAGTTACGCACTGAGCCACATTGACTCGCAGACTTAAATTCAAATCAATTTTCCATTCACATTTTAACTGTTAAATCTTGTGAATGTGAAACAAAAGAAGTTCTCAATAGAATCATTAAAACGTAGTTGAATTATTCATAGGAAATGAAATGAAATGAAATGGGGTTTAACGTCCTACTGTTCTGCTCCTAAACTGGGCTAATGAAGACGGGCATACGCCATACAGTGTGCTATGAGGGAAATTTTGCCCGGGCAGCGGCGCTATGGCCTACTCTTATATCGAATTCCAACTGCCAAGGGATCTTTTACGTGCATGCCAATATGTACACGGGACCTCGGTTTTTCGTCCCATCCGAACGACTAGACAGCTGTCCTTGTCAGGCCCTCCGTCCTGCATCACTAAGGGGAAACCACGCCGGAAAATCTGGATGAACTTTCTCGGCCAATGCAGGGATCGAACACCCGACCTCCAGACTAGCGAGCCAGCGTCTTACCCACATAGCCACGTGATCCCCTATTCATAGGAAACATAAGGTTGAACTCTATAGAAATTAAGAATATTTTGATGTTATATACAGAAGGAAGGACTTTGCTGATAATGGACATTATAAGAGGCCTGACTAGCCTGTGTCTATATGTGATCTTTAGAGGGATTTTATCTACGTTCCAGAATTTCAGTTAAGATCATACAATTATCCATGGACTTACTTGACATCATTAATAGCTCCAGCACGATCTCTTTTTTTACCCCATAACTTCAAACCATTAACAGATAGTACAATAAATTCTCCATTATTCAAACCAACGGCTATTAATTCACCATCAGGACTAAAAGCTACTGATCTTGCTGACCCAACTTCTATACGAGCTAAAAGAGTCTAAATTACAAAAAGAAACAGATTAAATTATGAGATTTGTACATCATACCAATACAGTTATTATCATGGATGTGAGTAAATTGTTAGTTATGAAATGTAATTACATTAAGATTCTTCTCTTTATTTCTGAATTACGCTCCTCTTCTTTGTTTTCGCTTTTTTCCAGCAAATACTTTTCAGTCTTTATTTTTCTAAATATAACGACCCAGTATTGTGTACATTATTTACTCTATCCATTGATTTTTATTATTTTTCTTAAATGAACTGACCTACCTTTTTAGCAATGTCCCACATTCTAACACTACCATCAAAACTAGCTGTTATAAACTGATTAAGAGTAGGGTGAGAATCTAATCCCCATACTTCTCCTTCTGAATGGCCTGCTACCAGTACCTGTATACCACCATCTTTCTCACCTACTTCAACGATAGAATTATCCCGTGTTCCTACCAGTATTTTTCCCTGTTATAACAAAAACTAAATCAATGGAACACAGTTCTGAGACATAAAATACAGAAAGCAAGGCAGGGTGTACCTTCCAGAGAGTCAAGATATGGATCTTAAAGAGAATTAAATAACCTTTTGTTCACCAAACACGGGACATGGCTGACTGACATGCATACACCAACCAAATAAGAAATATATGCCCCAATTACAATATATATAGCTGAAATAGATGTTTGCAATACTTGATCATGTCACACTGCTATTTATCAACAGAATAATACTAGTACTTGATTTGGAATTATTTAGATTGCTGGAGGATTAACAATTTGTTTTATAAATTGTCTACATACCTTACATCTACATACGGATTTAACAACATCAGCCCTCTTTCCTTCATCTCTTATAGGAAAAGCTTTACATCTCTTCATATCTTGATCCCAAAGTTTAACCGGTCCATTGTCTTTAGATCTAGAAAAACAGATTCCACATACATTAACATATGTCAAGATATATGTTATTAGATGTTCAGATTTGACTAAATATTTACTGACTTAGTAACAATAATACAAAACTGTAAAAAGCAAAACAATATAAAACAATATAAAACAGTAAAAAACAAATCAAAAGTAATGTTGAAGAGGTTTTGTAACTTACGGTACTTCTTTTCCACCGGTGACTATCAAACCATCACGTAAAGTTGTAAACATAGAGAAGACTGGACCTGTATGAGCTTTCTGTACCAGACGTATTAGTTGATTCTCTTTCCATACATACACATCACCACTCAGAGCACCAGTATATGTTACACTATTCTATACATCATACAAAATATAAAATCAGTGATTGCCAGGCAAGATATGTCTACATTTTGCAAGAGATGGATAGAGAACAAGCTAAAAAAAATGTGCGAATATCACAATGGACTGAGATATTTGAGATATATAGAGGATATTTGTCGTTTTAGAGTGAATAACATATTTTATTTCATCGAGAAGCAAGAAAACTTATATTTTCACGAATGCGTAGCATGTGTGAAAATATAAACATTTTTTTGCTTAGAGATGAAATAAAATATGTTATTCACGACAAAACGACAAATGTTCTATTTATTTTATGATTTTACAATCATTTTAGGTAAAAACAACTATTTCACTGCTAGCCAGTGGAATAACACTTTTATTTCACTGATAAAACGCGGTATTCCACTACTGATCATAAAATAAAAAGATATACTTTAAGTTTCATCAAAATCGGATAAAAATTGTGACTTCTAGAGAGTCCACAACCAGGGTATTACATACTTTTTTCACTACATGTATCAGTATTAAGATTAGAGCGTATTTCGAAACAGCTCTCATTTGAAGATGCATTTTCAATATGATACTATTGATTTGGGTAACTGGGGACATAAATTGATAGGTCACATAGCCAAGATTGTTAGCCTGCTTCTTGGGAGATATAGAGCAATCACCGATCTGAATGGAATCCACTTTAAACTATTTACTGGATTGTGATTTTGATGATATGACAAGAAATTCGGATTTGTCATCAGTAAGTTTTAGCCTATTTCTGGTCATCAATCCTCGAATGTCATTAAGACATGACTCTAGTCTACTGATAGAATCCTTGGAAGTAAGATAAACCTGTATTTCAAGTTTCGTCAAAATCGGATACGAATTGTGACCTGTAGAGTGTTCACAAACAAATTGTTGCCGGACAGATGGACGAACGTGGGCGCATAAAAAAAAAATCTACTCATATTACTGAATATTAGTTTTAGAAACAAAATGGTTTATTCATAATTAGGTTGATATTTGATTACGTATTTACTTATTCAATTTCAATAAATACTGATGATCTTCTACCTTAACTTCCCTCATAAATAATACCTTTAATAATATATTATTACTTACAGCGCCAAAGGCTAAAGATAACATTGTCTGCATCTTTTTGATATTAGTTCCCGAACCCACGTCTCCTAATATACCACGTTTACCAACTAGTTGACTTCCAGCAATAGTCCAAAACTTAACATGCTTTACACCAACAGTTACAAACTGGGTATCAGAATCCGGACGGAATTCAGCTCGGAATATTCTCTGAGAGTGGCCAGGACAACTAGCTACTTTAGTTCCTAGGGAAAAAATTAGTGTGTAAAGACATTTAGGCCTGCAGACAGGGTTGCTTAGGAGTCTGAGAAAATTTGAAAAGACTGATTTGAGAAAATTTGAAAACATTGATTTGAAATTTTTTGAATCCAGATTGATTTGAGAAAATTTAAAAACATTGATTTGAGAAAATTTGAAAACACTGATTTGAGAAAATTAGAAAAGATTCATTTGAGAAACTTTACTTCATTACAAATTTAACTGAACGTATCCAGTAACAAACTCATTTCTGAAAAACTGACGATATTTAACACAAAAATAATAGTTCTCACCATCCTGCCATCTCCATACAGCTAGATTATGTTCCTCTTCTAAACCAACTGATAACAGGAGTTTACCAGTACACGAAAAATCTACAGAACAAACTCCTTTCGAATGTACACCTCTTATAATAGACAAGGTCTTCTTTGTGGCTGCATCCCAAACATGTACACTTGGAGGATTTCCGATTTGACCGGTGGCTATAACATTTCTAAATTTAGGATGTTGATTAGGATCTAGACAAATAATATCATCTGTATGTTCCAAATAAAATGACTGACTTCCTGCAAATGAAAATATAAATACAGCATTCAGGTTCGCCCTTAGAAAACACGTTTTACATATATGCATAATTGTATAATAATTTTTTTCTTTCAACATAAATGAAGTGGGTGTGCATTAAGTGAATTGTTGGGTTCTAAGTCAAACAGTATGTGTGGCCCCAGATGGCCCAGTATTTCAAAGTTGACTATTAATTCTCATATAAACAATTATTAGGGTAAAAAAATAAAACCGAACACAATTTATATAGAAAACAACCACTGGTTTATACACATATAGCACAATATTTCGACAAGTGTTCTCTTAATGTTATCACACACAAATGTTCCCATACTAAAATTACCCAAACCAACTATTCAGAAGTAAGATTTAAATAAAAGATTAAAGCTATTGAAGATTTTGTATATTTACCTGTTGACATATTTTGTACTATACCAGCTCCTGCTGCATGAAACACTATATCACTACCATCATTACAATAATATAGATTACTACGAGCATCAAACCCTCTATAACCATGTACATATTCTAACTCCAAATCCTACAAACGGCAAATAGGAATAATAAGGCCACACACAAAAAATATTCTGGCTCTCAGATACTGCAGTGTCATCAAAAATAAGAACAAAGTCAATAATTTCTGCTCATTTGTATTTCCCGCGATCAAGGGAAGTAACTCCACTGAATGTTTCTTGATAACAGGAAATGAACACTAGATTTGGCTATCAAGTACATAACCATGGGAAACACTATTGACAATCACGAACAGCACTGGAAAATCGAATAATAATTTATATTATTTACAAAGATGGCGACAATTTTGCATTAATCTGTCTTTTTTTTTACGATCCAAATGCTTATCTTTCCCGAGAAATTGACTGTGAGAGAGATGACAGAAAATATTCCCAGCGAGGAGATTGAGTCCGCAGACTTTGATTTAAATCGCCAGCAAAATCCATGCTTTGACATTGAGTACGGTATCGATACCACGTCATGGTAGCCAAAAAAAAACCTGGCGAATCTGAAAACATATTCCCAGGAGTTAATGTAAACAGATGAAGTCACAGAATTATTTGATCGTTATTTCAAATTCTTACTAATTGTTTGTTTTTCTTATTAAGAGTTGAATAAATATTATATTTATAATAATTTTGTGTTTTTCTTTAAAATGAAAAACTAGTTAGATTTTGACAAAATAAAAAACGCAATCCTGCATCAATTTTTTTGTGTGGTGTGGCCCAATAGAAATATACATGGATATTTAATATTAGACTACAATGTCTTATTATATAAATAAATATAATCTAAGAGTACAGTTATAGAATCACTATGATGTGAACACCTTCTGATTGTGTTTTCACAAAAAGTACACACATGACATCCATAATGATAAAGGCAACAAGACTTACTGAAACAGGAGTAACTTTTTTTCTTTTACCACCAGCAGTTGGTGGTAACTCCCCTTTCTGTACTAATGGTGGTTTATTTACACTTCGACTTGCTATTGGTTTATCACTGTAATACCAAAATTATAATATTTTTTTTAAGTAAACATGTTGTGAAATTTTTCTTAATTGATGAATATTCCGTCACCAGATAAGATATTTTGGGATTGCAAGAATTCAATTGATAGAAAGAGAGAGAGAAATGGGGTTTAATGTCCACTCAACACAAACTAGGTCATTTCGGGACTAACATATGGTTCAATTTTATTTCCATAATTCGCTTGCGCGTAGGGGTCTTTAGCAGTGGGAGGAAACCGGAGGACCCAGAGAAAACCCACGAGGTTGGACAGGCGACCCTACTCCTTGTCACATACAACCCGGGAATCGAAACCATGCCAGTTGACTCAATGACAGACTCTATCATACAGCGCGCATGTGTTAACCATTCAGCCATCCAACCCCCCGAATTTAATTGAAGAACGTTCTATACAGTATCCTCTTGGTATTGGGTTTTCTATAAAATGTAATCTTACTTGGTTTTGTTATCTTGTTGCTGACAATGTGGTTTCACACCTTCCTTCTCTCTAATAGGACTAACATATATCTTAGTATTATAATCCATATTCTTCTCCCTTTCTACATCACTATCATAACCTAACAATATTTAATATCATAGCCTAACACTACATAATATCATAACCTAACAATAGATTACTATAATATCATAACCTAACAATACATCACTATCATAACCTAACAATATATAATATCATAACCTAACAATATTTAAAAACCAGCAGATGCCAGGCAGGATACGCCCACATTTTGCAAAAGACGGATAGAGAACAAGCTAAAAAGAAAAACAATTTTTTGTACAATCAGGGGCCATAATCCAGAAAGTTATGATCTGAAATGTGCAAATATCAAAAGGGTCTATCTTACCCTCTTCTTCAGAATCTGTATCAGAATCATCACTTTCTCCACATGTATTGGTTTTATTGGCAGACATGATGTGAGACCACACCATTACGGCAGTATCAGCTCCACCAATAGACATCAGATATTTTTCATCGTGTGACCATCGTACATTGGTAACATGAGCACTGTGTCCACTATATTTCTTACATTTAGCATATTTTCCCTAAAAAATGGAAAAGGAAAAGTTTGGCATGAAAAAAAAGTCATACCCAGCAGGTCATTAATAAATCTTAATAAAATCCAACTATACCTTTGCAGGGTAGGCAAATAATTTAACAAAACCAAAATCATCTGCTGTAGCTAGGATGGATCTATCCTTAGTTAAACATGTAGCATTAACATCAGTTACATCACTCTTGGGTGGCCAGATACCTTCTGTGGAAGTACCTAATACACATGTCCAACTAGCCCAGTTAAACTTTTCTATATCATTAGATCTCATTGTTATACGCTTTCCTCTTGGTGCTTCAAAAAACAGCTGTTCTTTAGCTCCAGAATTTACCATAATCACCTTTCCTGTAAATTAATTAACAATACAGACAAGTTACTGGTGCCATTAAAAAATTATAAAAATTTCTTTTGCGAATAAAAAACGATCACAAAAAAAAAACTGATAGCAAATTCATACTTTATTTTCATAAATACATTTGAGAACTTACCTTTACTATCCCAGTCAATATGTGTAATATAACTTGAAGCGGATTTACAGGTACCAACACGCTTTGTGCTTTGTACATTGTAAATATCAACAAAATTATCATGGGAGGCTACAGCCAAATACTTTCCAGTCTCTACAAAACAAAATAATCAAGTTGAGTAATTAAATATTAACGTCACATTATTCATATAATGAAATTATATACAGATATTTTAACCTATTACATACCATACAAAAAATATTTTGGTTCTCGGACAATTCTTAAGAAAAATGGGAGGGAGGGTTTTGCAGTTTAATAACGTTACCTGTCTTTAACACAGGAAATATGAACAGAGGTGTGTGTTTCATTATGTAAAGATTCTAATATCACTTCTGTGACAGTACTGCATTCTGTGTCACTTGATTGCATTTCTGTCAATTTGGAACGCTATGCACCGACAATTGAAGAGCCCCAGTTAATGAGAATGCATATTTTTTTTTTTTTTAAATTAATATGTGTGGATCATGTGTCCCTTTTTAAATGAAACTGCAATATATAGTAGGGTGACCCATGCACTCTACAGAAATACAGTCCTCCGCTGATAGTTCGAGACTACCACTGAAGAGTGCACATTCGCCGTGTCGAGACCAACTTTCTGACAGTATGATACTATAAATAGCCATGGCACGTGCAATTCTCTACAAATCGTTCAACTATTACAGCCATAAAATATTTTTTGTTGACGATTTTGAATAGCAGTAAAATTAAGCTTCTTGGTTATTACAGCAGATTTAGAAATTACATTCGTTTCATTTTTTAAATCGCTTTATCATTAACTGTACCGTTAAGAGCGGCATCTTTTGGTTTAGTACAAATAATATCTCTGAAACACTCGGGTTAGACAGGAACATGATACTAGCAGTAGTTTCATTTTACTTTTATAAGCTTCTTAAAACAATTGTTGAGCTACCTAACGTGCTTATTTCTAAATTCAATTTCTTGTTCTAGCTTTCTGTTGTTTCGTAAAAAAGTAGTCTTGATTATCCCGACCTGTCAATCAGACGTAGAATGGTCGATAGACTGGTTAAGCGAGACTAATTTCAAAACAAGGGCACGTAACCTATCTTTTACTCAAAAGTGTCTGGATGTTATGGACGACACTTGGAACCAGTTTTCAGTCTATTATTTATAGATGTTTAATGGTCATAGCTTATTAAGTACAACATGATCGTTTATTTAGTGACTATAATTGGGTGAAACTGATTTGAGGCTTGGCATATATATAAATATTGTGGCGTAATTGTCCAGATATTTGAAGATATTTATTTATGGTGGGTCACCCTATATATAGACCCCTTTTTTTAATGGTAGCCCATACCTACCAGGAGAGAATCTAATATCTGATATTTCTTCTTTTCTATGATGTATAGTTATAATATCATCCATACTCTCTGCATTAACTACTGTAAAACTACCTGTAATTATATGCAAAATGGTCATTAACATCACAAATACTGCTGTGCATGTGCATCCTGCCTATATATCAAGACAATACCCTAAGTAAATAAATGTCAATTAGGACCAATATTCAATAACCAATTGGAACTAAGGCTTCATTAAAGATTGACATCTGTTTTATTACTGACTATACTCCAATTGATTAAGCAGTTGCTCTAGACAGTCTGTCCCACATGGCTTTTCAACATTTTGCTTTGGTGAATAATAATATCAGCTTAAATCGCACTCTAAAAATCAAGTTTATGTCTTGTCTTTACTCCTATTTTTCTATGATTTATCAGATCGTAGATAATTGCTCAAGTTGCAATTCATTGAACTTTATACAAAAACAAGGGCAAAAGAACGGCTAATCAATACTAAATTCAAGATTGGGGACTTACCATCTTTCAAACCAATAGCTAAAGCTTTGCCATCTGGAGAGAATGCAACACATCGACCTCCCTGTTTTAACTCCTTATAGTTTAACATACGATGATCAACAGATAAATCCCATAATCGTAATGTTTTATCATCACTGACTGTAGCATAAATAGCCTGACTAGGATGGCAGTCTAGTCCCCATATTTCACCTTCCATATGACCCTACAAAAAAAAAACCCTCAAGATTTTCAAATTCATTCTGTGTTAAAAATGCAGCAAATTTGCATACTGATGAAACCTTAACTTTCTGACTTTTCTTGACCACCAGTACTCTATAATTATTATGATTAACTACAGTGTTCGTGAGTACCAAACTGATCTGGAGTATGATTTTCAGAGACAGAGAAACCCTACACCTTATTGGATCAAAACCAAGACACTTGGCCACCAAACACCATCATGATTTTCAACAAGAGAAATAAATCACAATTTTGCTTTCATTTTTATATATCCTATGGTGATTTAAGCAGAGTTACTCTGCAGAGGGGAGGAAGAGAAACTGTATTGCTAATTTTGCATTGATCACAAACTAATCATGTAAAAACAAGCCAACAGTGAGGCTGATGTCCCCCGCCGAAATAGGAAAATAATTAGAGGACACATATAAAAATCAAATTGCGTATCGCTCTGCTTACCCTGAGCAGAAAATGCTCATTATCAAACTTAGTCAAGGTATTACTGTAATGAAACTATACACCAAGTTTCATCAATCTCACTTAATTAGAACTAAAGTTATCGTGTCCCAAAGCATCAACCAATCAAATTGCTTATCTCTGCTTACCCTAAGCGGAAAATGCTCATCTTCGAACTCCATCAAGGCATTGACCTAATAAACACATACACCAAGTTTGAACATTCTAGCTCAATTAGGAAGAGAGTTATCGTGCCCCAAAGTATCAACCAATCAAATTGCTTATCTCTGCTTACCCTAAGCGGAAAATGCTCATCTTCGAACTCCATCAAGGCATTGACCTAATAAACACACACACCAAGTTTGAACATTCTAGCTCAATTAAAAGTTATCGTGTCCCAAAGCATCAACCAATCAAATTGCTTATCTCTGCTTACCCTAAGCGGAAAATGCTCATCTTCGAACTCCATCAAGGCATTGACCTAATCAACACATACACCAAGTTTGAACATTCTAGCCCAATTAGGAAGAGAGTTATCGTGTCCCAAAGCATCAACCAATCAAATTGCTTATCTCTGCTTACCCTAAGCGGAAAATGCTCATCTTCGAACTCCATCAAGGCATTGACCTAATAAACACATACACCAAGTTTGAACATTCTAGCTCAATTAGGAAGAGAGTTATTGTGTCCCAAAAAGTGTGACGGACAGACAGACGGACGGACAGACGGACAGACAGACAGACAGACAGACAGACAGACAGACAGACAGACAGACAGACAGACAGACGAACCCATTTTAATAGTCCCCTGCTTTCTTCGAAAGGCGGGGGACAAAAATAGTGATCTTATAGGCTACCTGTGTTAATATGGTCATAGGTCCTGATTTATCTACTTCAATGATTTCACCATTTTTAGTTCCAACAAGTATTTTACCATGACCTAATACAATAGCTCTGATAGCTGGGGATTCCTGTATTAATATTCCTTTAGATCCTGGTGCCACAGCTGTTCTCTTGATAGCATAGGTTTTTAAACATCTTTCAAACTGATCATCCCATAATCCTACAACTCCATCTTTACCACCTGTTACAAAACCCTAGAAATAAACAAAATGAAAGATATTTTACTCATTGAAACTGTCGACTCTAAGATTATTCAACAATATAATGTATTCTAATATTTATGGGTAGGAGACATGGAGACAAAGCAAAGGCACTGAATACATACTACAGATTCTGCATTATATAAGATAACCAGATTGCATCTCAAACCAGAAACTGGGAAAAGAACAAAGCAGAAAACAATAGCAAATCCATCAAATAATGCAACTAGAAATATCATACCAACCTGCATTAAATGTCAGGTATCAGAAAGTAATTTACAAGGTGACGATCTGCATAACAAACCTGGACTAGTAAAATACATGTATGCCATGAAGGGAAGCAAAGAAAGTAACTTTGGTTTGTAATTAATTGTGAAGCCTCTAAAGGGCTAAAGAAAAATTTCAGCTTACACATTTTATTTGGAACATTTTATATAAGTTATATCTCTACCAAAATAAAATGAAATGAAATGGGGATAATGAAGACGAACATATGCCATACAGTGTGCTATGAGGAAACTTAGCCCGGACAGTGGCACTACAGCCTACTCTTATATCAAATTCCAACTGTCAAGGGATCTTTTCCGTGCACGCTAATGTGTAAACAGGACCTCGGTTTTTCATCCCATCCGAACATCTAGACAGCTGTCCTTGTCAGGCCCTCTGTTTATATCTACCAATGGAAAGGCAAACACCTATTATATCCAGAACTATAACTATTGGAATAAGGGATATGCATTTTATCAAAATAGAAGTCTATGTACATGTATTATATTAATTTGAAGAAAGGTGAATAAATTTTACCTTATCTAGGGAGTGCATTGAGAATACAGGTCCTTCATGTGCTTTAATAACTTTCTGTAAGGTAAGACCTTGCCATATAAAGACATTACCATCACTGCCACCAGAGAAGCATATATCATCAGTTTTACCATAGGCTACACATAACATATCACATAACTTGGCTACTTTACCTAATGTTCCTCTATTGGATGTAAATCCCCCACCTAAAATATTATCAACAATATATACTCAAAATACACCACAAAATTTAATTTCACATTCATAAAATTTGCTTAAGAATCTGTTCATGCACAGACAGGTCATGTTACTATAGTAAGAATAATACTAATAAATCATGCCTCCACTTTCACCTACCTATTGGCAGTGAAATAATTCTATGCAACAAATACTATAATATTTGTATTTATTTCATGTATTTATATGTTAACTGACCTGTTTGAGTCCAGAATTTAATATGTTTGACACCAACTGATACCAACTTACTACCATCAAACGGATTCCATTTTACAACAAATATTTTATCTTTATGACCTCTGTTAATAAAAGAAATTGAATAGGTTAAATTAAAAACATTATTTTAACAGATAAATTTATGGTACAGTATTATTGATTAGAATATAACATGAGGAGAGTTTTTCTCTTGAAACAGTAAGTAATCCTACAACAAACCTTGTTGAAGCAAGCTTTTCTCCTTTTTTCCAGTCCCATACAACAATGGTATGGTTGTCATCTAATCCTACTGAGACCAGTTTCTTTCCATCAGCTACATATAAAAAAAACATTTAAAAAATCCTGCCTAAATTTTATGTTATCAGCTTAATACATAAATGGGATCAGTGGGGACCCTAAAAGTCCCCAGTACTGGAAAATGCACTCAATATACCTTCAATTCCAGATATTTATAAAGATTAGAGATTGTCAGCATTGATTTAATCTCTTTGCAAAGAGATAAACTAACCTGAGAAATCTACAGCACAGACACCTCTTTGATGACCTCCTTTTAGAATTGCTCCAGTTTTTAATGTTTCTGCATCCCAAATATGAATGGTGGGTTCACGGCCAACCTTTAATAAAATTGTTATGAAAATAAGAAAATTACTCTCTTTGTCATTGACAATTACCGTCACTTAATCTAATCAACTTTCAATGATTGTTTTTTGTTCCTGTAGTGATGGATGTTGAACCAAACGTTAATATCATTATTTTATTAAGTGCCATTATTTTGCTATTCAATACAGAAGTACAAGAAAAATCTGATAGCAATGTGAACTTCAAATGAGAAGTGGTATCAAGTGTTTCTGCAAGAGTAAGCATACCCTGCTAGATTTACAATTTAAGTTAACATACCTGACCAGTAGCTACAAGATCTTTTAGTGGATGTATACATAAACATAATATATCATCTGTGTGTTGTGTATAAAACTTCTGCTCATTTTTATCTTTATTATACACTATACCAGTAGCAGCTACATGATAAACAATCTCTCCACTTTGTGTATAAAACAAGTTGTTTCTACAATCATAGCCTCGATACCTGAAAACAAAAACAATAATAATGCATTATTCAATATGTTTACAGCTTTTAATGACATCAATAATTATTTAGGTCATTAAGATATAAAATAAATCATTGTTTCAAAAACCACCAATGGACTGGGAACCAAACATGATGTCACCCCCATCATCTTGGAATTGAGATGCCATATCCAAAATCAAAGTCTCATGTTGATAATTCTTGAATTGGCAGAGCCTTTGGCTTTTTTTAATAGAGCATTGATTGCAAAAACAATAAGATTACTAGGGCTTGGGGCCAGTTCCTGGTCTCAAAAGTTATGGATTACAGAAGACAAAACACACTTGTCACACACAGTTTTTCTAAGGCAATGACATTTGCATAAACACCATAAATATGTGAGAACATCCTGTATTTTACTTTAAAACAGTAAATTTCAATCTCACCCATGGACGTATTGTAATTTAAGACTATCTTCAGGTCCCTTTTTACGTTTAGCACCAGCCTTCATATCTTGTCTCATTAATTTCTTTAAGGCTACAGCATCTTCTTTATATAAAGCTCTATCATAATTCACCTGTTTTTCTCTCTCTAGATCAGAATCTATTTCACCAACATCAGATAAATCAGAATCACTGTCTTCACTATTACTATCAACATATGCTATAAAAGAATAGATACTATTAAAACATTTTGCATAATTGTAGGATCCATTTATGTGTCAGAATAATATGTACCAAGTTAAAAAAAAATATTAAGGTCAGCAACAGATTTACTGAATTTTACAAACCTCCACATTTCTCAAATATAAAGCTAAACAAGTGGTTGCCATGCAAGATACGCTCACATTTACAATAGAAGGACGTAAAACAGGGAAAATCAATAGGGATCATTCTCTCATGTGGCTGTATAAAACTCTGATTCTTAAATTGTTTGGCTATCAAAATGACGTTATAGAGAGATAAACAACAGGCATTACTGGTATTCAAGAACATTGCGAGTACTGGGGCTTAAAGTTCTATTGAAGAAGATAACGTACCATCAACCCCACCAATACTCATATCATCAACTCCACTACCTTTAGGAAAGAAACGCCACTGAAAGATGGCATGATCAGCTCCTCCTGTTGATATAACTCGGTGTTTATCATTTGAGAATCGTACATTACTCACATGAGCAGAATGGCCGGTATATTTTCTAAATTTAGCTCCTGAAAGAGATTGATACAAATATTTTGTGGCAATTAGTGAACGAGTACAAAAAGACCATTTATATGAAATACAATCACTTGTCTATATATAGCACAGTGTTTCTACAAGCATTCTCTTATCGTTTTTGCTTTTGTCCTTGAAAATAATAGTAAAGCAGTTATTGTATTTCATATAAATTGCCTTTGCGCTATCGAATATTTAATGTTTGAAAATCTACTAACATGAAGACTTGGGCATACATGCCGTTTACAGAGATACCATATCCCTCTCTCCTAACTAAAATAACTTTATGGGTAAGCCTTATAGTGTAAGTATCATTATTTTTTGTAGTAATGTCAAGTATACAATATGTCTGTCTGTCTGTACTTCTGTTGCGTGGGGATTATTCCATGTTCTAACATTAAAGGAACATTATGTAAGATTTAGATACAGAGCTGGCTGTTCTCGCTATAATATGTGAAAAATAGATAATGCAAAATGAATATATTGAAAATTTCATTCAGATCACTTTATTTTAAGCAAAGTTATCAATGGCTGTAGTTTTGACAAAATGTGTGCATTGATCGCAACTACCGTACAGGTCATTTGAGACTTAGTCTCACTTCACCATTTTTTCAATAAATCATTAAATGGCCGAACCGTTCTAATCTACTTAATAAATGTCTAATAATTTATATAACATTTATGGCCCCCAAAAAGACCTGCAATAGGCAAATTCAGTAATGTAAAATACTTTCTTGCTAAACAAAAATTTTATGTTTGTCATTTTTAATCAAACTGCCAAAATCTCTGATTACTCACCTTTCTTAAGGCATGGAAATCTAAAAAGCTTAACTAAACCAAAATCATCTCCAGTAACAACTGTCTCAGCACTAAAATTAGCATCTACAGCATTAACATCATTAGTATCAGTATATTTCTCCCATATACCATTTACTTCGGCTCCTAATACACCAGTAAAAGTTGACCAATGTATGGCCATTATTTCTTCTTTATTCGTTACTTGTTTTCCCACTACAAGTGTCAAAAAATAAAATGTCAGGTTTATAAAATTTGCATTTACATATTTTCATTGTCTAATATTCTAAAATAGCACTACTATTTAAATGCCAAACAATAAGGAACAAAAGTATCTGGGTGAAGTCTGGTACATTCCCGACAGTGTTTAAAAGAGATAATCTTTAAACGAATAACAAAAGAATTCAATGTACAGTGCACTCTGTCAATTCCAACATCGTACGGGACCAATACAATATGCCAGATTACACAGCATGTCGGAATACTCAATTGCCTCAATACCGGAAGTGTTATTGTACCTTCGAATACCGGAAGTATTATTATAATGCACCCTCGAATACCGAGAACGCTTTCTGTACATTCAAAATTTATTACACTATATCAAACAATTGCATAACAAGACACAATAACATAACATGTACATAACAATTTACTTTGAATATATATAACCCAAATAATAGCACTTGTCAACTAAGCCTTACGATTGGCTGACTAATTGACTGACTGGTTGGTTTTGTTCAAGTCCTTAAACCACTTGTGAGTAAAATCGTTTCTTACTTCTGTTAAAGTTATCGGCAAATTTCTGTTTGAATTAACAATTCCTTCTATGTAGGTCGCAGAACTTTCTCAAAGAGAGAGAGAGATGGGGTTTAACATGTGTAATGTCCACTCGACACAAACTAGGTCATTTCGGGACTAACACATGGTTCAATTTTATTTCAATTATTCGTTTTTGCGTAGGGGTCTTTAGCAGTGGGAGGAAACCAGAGGACTCGGAGAAAACCCATGAGGTGGTAATTAACAAAGACCAACACATGTTTTATGCTCACAGATAATTGATTGGTGATTGCATGTCGGTCACCACACACTGATTGAAGGTCGAATAATCCAATGTTAATTGAACACAAATCGTGGGATGGGACCGCTGATTGATATTGTAATTCAGAATCTGGACAACTCATATCATTTTTGGTTGAAGTAATAAGGAAATAAATCGGGACATGAAAATGATGGATTTCACAGAATGCTGTAGTATTCAGATTCAGATGTCGTGACAAGAGCCCACTGTATCTGATTACAGATAGAGCTATTACACTTCAAAGATTTTTTCTAATGATTAAGTGTAAGTAAATCAAACCAACCTGGCATTTTAAAAAAGAGTCGTTCAGCTGCACCACTGTTAGTCTGTAGATATTTACTATCATCAGACCAATCAATATGTGTGATAAAACTAGAACTACCAGAACATGTACCAACTCGTTTAAATCGTTGTTCCACCGAATATATATCAACAAAATTATCATTGGAAGCTACGGCCAAAAATTTGCCACAAGGTGAGAATTTCATTTCATGGATTACTTCTTTCCTGTCTTTCATACGAGCAATTTCTGAAAGATCTCTATTGAAAGTAAAATTATTATTCACAGAATTATTTATAAACAAATTTAATATATATCTTTTTATTACGGTGGCTGATAAGGGACATGAAAAATAATATAATTTGTTTTTTTTAATTTTCACCCAAGTCAATTTTAATTTTCACCCAAGTCAATTTTAATATAATTTGTTTTTTGTAATTTTCACCCAAGTCAATTTTAATAAATTTGTTTTTATATAATTTTCACCCAAGTCAATTTCAATATAATTTGGTTTTTTTAAATTTTCACCCAAGTCAATTTTAATTTCCACCCAAGTCAATTTTAATATAATTTGTTTTTTATAATTTTCACCCAAGTCAATTTTAATATAATTTGTTTTTTATAATTTTCACCCAAGTCAATTTTAATATAATTTGATTTTTATAATTTTCACCCAAGAATTTCCACCAAGCGCGTGACGTCATCTCAATTAGCCTCGCCTCGTTTCCAAAACACTAATGACCTAGTTTGTGTCCAGTGGATGTTAAACTCTCTCTCTCTCACTCAAAGTTTGCCTACAAGGGGCGAGGGGCGACCATTTTGTCCGGCAGTTTCGATCAGATTTTCAGAAAATTCGAACTCAATCATCATTAGGGCGTAACGGTGATATATTCAAACGTTTTTTTTTTTTAAATCGGATACAAATTGTGACCTCTAGAGGGACCACAATTTTTCGTACAATCAAAGGTCGTAATTCAGAAAGTTAAGATCCGATAAGCGCGAATATCGAAAGAAACCAGATGATAATTGTGACCTCTAGAGTGTCCACACGCTAAAAAAAGTGACTTTTCGTACAATCAGGGGCCATAATTCATGAAGTTTCAATCCGATACATGCCAATATCGAAAGGAACCTAGATCTTTTGGGGATAAACCTATATTTCAAGTCTTGTCAAAATCGGATAAGAATTGTGACCTGTATAGTGTCCACAAACAAATTATGGATGGACGTCCGGACGGACAGGGGTGACGACAATATACGTCCATATGAAAATGTGGGCGTATAAAAATATCTATTTGATATAAGATAAAACATAATACATTGCAATCTGCTAATTACAGTATGAGAACCATATAAGATAAAACATAATGCATTACAATGGAAACGAGGCTAATTGAGATGACGTCACACGCTGGGTGGAAATTCTTGGGTGAAAATTATAAAAAACAAATTATATTAAAATTGACTTGGGTGAAAATTATAAAAAACAAATTATATTAAAATTGACTTGGGTGAATATTATAAAAAACAAATTATATTAAAATTGACTTGGGTGGAAATTAAAATTGACTTGGGTGAAAATTATAAAAAACAAATTATATTAAAATTGACTTGGGTGAAAATTATAAAAAACAAATTATATTAAAATTGACTTGGGTGAATATTATAAAAAACAAAGTATATTAAAATTGACTTGGGTGAAAATTAAAATTGACTTGGGTGAAAATTATAAAAAACAAATTATATTATTTTTCATGTCCCTTATCAGCCACTGTATTTTATACAATTTTTATCAAAATCTATCTTCGTTATCCTGGTTGTTAAATCCCAATTTATTAGGGTTTTTTTGCTTTGGGTATGACCTTTGCTGTATCTTTCTAGGCAATACTTTAATCATACAGAATGCCCCTTCACGAATCAAAATAACTCATCACAAAAATTCAATAATTATTTTGAGTTAATTGCTTTAAGCTATAAAGTTAGTATCTGTAATCTGTATAAAAACAATTGTTTCATATATGTTTTTCTGGAACTTTTTCCTTAATATTGTTACAATAATCCTTACCTGGATTTTAACACCATAAATGAACCATCAGTAAAACCAACAGCTATCTGGTTACCATCAGCATCAAACGCACATGATCGTATCTTTAAATCTAATGTTGTCTTTGATAGACTTTCACAATTAGACATATTCCACAATCTAAAATAGAATAAAGACCAGAAGTCAGTATGAAAGTTCATGTACCACTGTAAGAATGGAATATATTATTGACCCAGAATTACTTTACTTACAAGTATTGTAAAAGGCAGATAGAATTATTATTGTATCTATAGAATGGAATGGGCTATTATGTATGAACAAAACGCTCTTTCGTAATTTTGATGCTAACAAGGTAATTTTTATATCACTGATTTCTCCAGACAGGATAGCTTTTGAATACTACTTCAAATCTCAACTATCAAAGGTTCTGAAAAATCCTGAATATTCTTCTTGGCTGGAATGAACAGAACAAAATGCTTGTAAACCTAATATTAACAAAGATGTATACATAAACTTTAAAGCAACTGGTATAAACCAAGTAATTACCGCAGAGTCTGATCATCGCTGGCAGTGGCGAATATAGATTTTCTAGGATGAATAGCTAAAGCCCATAGTTCTCCTTCAGCATGACCTTGTACTAAACAATGGGGTCGATTTTTATCTTTAACATCCACCTCAAATATTTCACTGTCTTGTGTTCCAACTACAAGTCGATCTGCTCTCCAACATACACTTCTAACACATAATCCTATTAATACAAGTACTTAATAATAAAACTTATGAATAAAAATCAATTTGGGTATAATGATGTTTATAAAGTAACAATGATGAAAGAGAAAAACATAATATCAGTTTTTGAATATGTTCTTTATCAAAAGGAAATTTAAGAAGTCACCTATTGAGATTAATAAGAGTTTGTGTTGTCCTAGCTAATGCAATCTGTCGACCAATGTGAACTCATCATCCAGTTTTAAATATTTTCACATGTCACTCAGCCAAGAAGACAAAACAAAGCAAATTAATTCTCCAAGATTTTATTTGAGGGAGAGTAAGAAAGCATCACAGTCCAAATAAGTGTACAGTTTATATACTTGTCAAAACAACTTGCTAATATTAGCGTGTGCCAACCGAAAAAGGGACGTAACTCTTTTTTCTTAATTGGCTGTCACAAATATGGCGCTATTTTTTCGCGAAAAGCTAGCCTTGCATTACGGCCTCGTGTTGGTTACCTGCAATCGATACCGGTTCCATTCAACCGAAAACAGTTAGTTAAGAGGTCAAGGTTGCTCCGCATGCAAAATTTATCACTCGTAGCAAGGTAAGAATATTTTTTTTCTCCGATTGAAAAGTTTGAAATTTTGTAACTTTTTTCGTGGAAGATGCGGAGCGAAAAAAAACCTGCTCAAGTATGGATTAAATATCCCTTTATAAGATCCATCTTCATTTATTTCCATAAGTGGACGTGAACATTGGTAAAATTCAATTTTTCTCCATGTGACCGAAATTCTGTCGGCCATATTGTAATGGCGGGGGCGTGTCAAATGTACCGTTAGACACCCGTTAGTTACACACGTGCTAATAATGAGTGATCATAGGAAGAATTTTAACTTTCTAAGACTGTGCAGTTGATTTTTTTACGAAAACAAACATAGTTCAGAATTGTATGGTATAATAAAGCCCAATAAAAAAAAGAAATAAGGAGTACTTTTCTATATTTTTATTTTTAGGGTTTTTTTTTTAATTATTGAGAAATGGATAGGTCTACTAGTAGTTCTGAAGAGACATTACCCCCAACCGAAGAACTAGTAGAAGACACATTGGAATGTGGACAGAAGCTAAGCGATGAGAGTACTAGCAAAGAGCCAGAGGTGTGCACGGTAATTCAAAAATGTAATTTGTAAATTAAAAAATATTTCAATTAAGTGAGAAAGGTGTTCTTTACGCAACTTCGAAATTGACTGAAAATTTGAAGGTATTAATTAATGATGCGTTGAAGAAATCCACACCGAGGGAAAACATCTTTGTTTCAAAGGAAATTGTACATTACCAAGATGTGAATGGGGTTAGAACTGCCTTTGATGGCCGGGTTATATCTAGTGTGCCTGGGTACAATGAGTGGTATAATGTAGTATATAAAAGGGATAAAGCTGTTTATGTTTATAAACTTGCTGAAGATTATGAGGCAGGGGATCTCATAATTAAGCCGTGATAGCAGACTGTGAATGATAATTTCTAAAGTAAAATGTGACAATGAAACCCTGATGTGGCAACAGTTTTCGATCAGTTCTATTTCATTATTTTATTTTAAGTTACATTTTTCATAACAAGTTACATTTTTCATTGTTTTTAACTTATTATGTATTGTTTCAATGTTTTTTTCTTACCTTTTTTTCCATAACTTTTAACTAATATTATTGACTTATTTATATAAAGTTACTTTTTCCATTATTACTTTATACTAATATTATTAATATAGCTAACATATATTTATTACTGTTTTTCACCTGTTTCTGTTCTGAAGTTTTTACAGTGTTACTCTTTTCATTACCGGTAGTACTGTTAACTTGACTGTATGATTGACAACTTAAATACCTGTAGTTAACTTCTTTATACCTTGTTTTTCATCTTGTTTGTCTCAATATTTTTATTATTTAACATACGGTATATTAGATTATTAATATTAACTCATGTATTATTAACTCATGTATCATGTATTCCAGCCTGTTTTCCTTCATTTTATCAGTATTGTTTAATCATATTTACAAAACTTTTTCAGTATATGCAGAATATTTTGTAGATATTTAGCTGAATTGTTGTGTTTTTTTATATTTTTATACTGAAAACTTCAATTCTGGAGTTTTTTTAGTTATGATTCAGTGCATTTATTTTGATAATTTTATTTTTTGATATTTCATACTCATAGCTGTCCACGAGAACATGGATATTTCATAGCTGTCCACGAGAACATGGATATTTCATAGCTGTCCATGAGAACATGTTTCCAGTTTCAATTTAATCATCAAAAAACAATTTCCACTATTTTTAATGATTTTTTTTTATAGTTATTATTTTTATGTTTTTTCGGAACAAAATATGTCCGATTTGCTTTAAATTTTGTCAAAATAAAAGGTAAAAACAATATTTTTGTGGTTGATTTTAGTAAATGTGTGTCTCTAGAACATCTGTGTACAATTTGAGTCTGTTCCAAAGTCATTCAGTTAGTCAAAATATTATTTTTTCAATTTTGCCTGTTTTTGACGGATTTTGGGAAAACGCTGCTTACGTATGGGTATATAAAATTAGCTACAAAAAAACAAAGTTATGAACCGATTGTCATAATTGAAAAAGATTAATGATTCTCAGGTGTTTTTCTAACTGTGTGCAAAATTTCAGGTCTGTAGCTCAAAAATTTTGGTTGGCACATGCTACTAATGGTAGGAGGTGGTTGATTTCATACTTTTTATATGCAGCAAAATTCAGGCAAAGGAGGTCAGTTGGTGGCTGATCTCATAATTTATATCTTCAGTAAAATTCAGAAGGGTGGGTGATCACTCTCCATTCATGGCAAGATCCAATACATTACTATTATTTAGTAAATCTTGAAATGTGTAATCAAGTAAAGACGCAGGATGTAGGAGCAATGGATGTAGATAGGAAAAGAAATGATGCACCAAAAGACAGTTAGTTACATGGAAAACACAAAAAAGGGGGGCACATTACCTTTATACCCATTTTGAGCAGTGGCCAAATTAACAGAAGATATTGGTTTAAAATCTATATCCCATAATTTAACAATAGAATCTTTACCACCAGATGTAAAACCTTCATCACACATATCTAGTGTATAAATAGCCCCCTAAAACATAAAATACAATATCAGTGTAAACTTGGGTTAAAACAAAACTTAAAAAATAAAATCAAACTAGGCTATTCAGTATTAAACATACATTATGCAAGAGCTAAATCTGCCTATTGCAGGTCTTTCTTTAGACCTGAAAGTTTATCTAAATTATTAGTTAGACATTAACTAACTTATCCAGACAACAAGAAACTCTCGATACCGTCGCTGGCCTGCGACAATCACATTTACTGAATTCGAATACATTTTGTGATGGATGATTTAACGTCAAAATGGATAATTAAGACTTTGGTTTTTTTCGTACCGTCTTTAGTAATGATGATCGAGGCTAGGCCTAAAATTCAATTCCTAATATCTCGGTTCAGAGTGGAGCAATTTGACTGAAATTTCAGTATATTCTCTTTACATTATTATTTTTTTGTTTTTAACCATTATAGCGAGAACTGTCAGCTCTTTATCTAATCTCCCATAATGCCCCTTTAAAGGAATTAATTGATTTTTTTTCTAAATAGAACATGATAGTTTATGCATGAGACATGATCATTTTTGTTATTTATATTTTGTTACCAGTCTTAACCGTGTGGCCTTAAATTTCCTTACTTTATTTCCCACAAAAATATTTGTTAGAAACATAGAAAAGTAACTTACATTGTGAGCTCCTTGTATAACACTGTCTAGATTATTATCTTTCCAGATATAAATATCACCACTCATAGTACCAGAATATGTGAGATTACCAGCACCAAATGCCAAACACAAAATAGTTTGAATTTCTCCCACTTTACCAAAGACACCTTTCTTAGCTGTTAGTGCATTTCCACACAAAGACCAAAATTTTATATGTTTAACACCACAAGAGACAATTGTATTTTCCATAAAGGGATGAAACTGGACATCAAATACCTGTTTGAAAAGAATTATTTTTCTAAAATACGTTATAGGGGAGGGTATCTGCAACACCTCTTAAAAGAGTAGCAGAGGTTTGTCCAGCCAGAGATCTGTGTAGCTTCTGGATCAAAAGCTGATGCAAGCGGAGAGAGTAGACAAGAATATCTCATGGAATAATCCCTTATCAATCTGTTGAGTGGCATTTCTAGAATGAATTACTTTCAAATGAGAAATTATCTTGTTATATTTTCTTCAATAAAATATGTAATGTGCGATATAAATTTTAAAAAAATATATTTTTTTGATAAGGATTACTTGATCTGTAAATTGCTAATTCAGGTCGACCTAGATAAAATTTACTTACTTTATCTGAATGACCCCGAACTGTAGCCAGTATTTTACCTTTTCTCCAATCCCATACATTGATAGTTGAGTGTTGATCAAGGCCAACAGAAACAAGTCTCTAAAATAAAATAATGTACAGACATATTAAAATTCTATTAATGCATAAATATAATAATGTTTGACCGAAATAACTTAGTAACACAACATGAATTCAATGAATTAAGGGATATCAAAAAACAACAATTCAAGACATGCCTTTTCAACTACCAAACTGTGATGAGTAATAGAGAGAAATGGTTCATTTTGGGACTAACATATAGTAATTTATTATTTCACTATATTGCTGTAGTACATGTACAGTGCTATTCATCAGTGAAATTCATCATTAACAGGAAAAAAGAACAAAGAAATAAATATTTATACTTCTCTAGGATATATAATATAATATTCAATTTTTTAAAATTATATAAACACTCACACTGCCCTCTCTGTCAAAACCCATGGCAGAAACTCCATGTTCATGACCCTCTTTTAAAATAGAAACGGTTTCACAAGTAGATGTATCCCAGACACATATATAGGGCTTTTTACCAATCTGTCCAGTAGCTACCAGTGATCTTTCAGGATGTAATGTCAAGCTGAAAGTATTACACATTAATTAAATAGCAGTACATCCAACTTCATACATTTCTTTAAAACAATAACTGGATTTGAATATATATCACTACTATCATAGGGCACAAACATGTACTGTATTTGGAGGTGTCTGGAGGACTGTTTTTTGTTCTTGGATGCTGAAAAAAACTTGAAAATAATTTACTATCATCTAAAAGAGGAATGTAGGGTGACCAGTGCATATTTTTGGTCAGAACTTCTAAATTTGCATATATGACGTAATTGTGATGTTATAGTGACTTCGTTGATTTTATTTTGTCATAAGGTTAAAGAGTACCAATTAAAGGGTAAAATGTTTAACTTTGGAACAGATTTTAAGTTTGAATAACCTATTGCAACGGATTGATATATTTATTATATTTAGATAGGAATAAAATATGGTTTATCCCATGTAAAGAATCCACCAAGGAACTTAAAAATCATATTGTTTTTGTTATTTTATGAAATTACAAATGTTTTAAATACTTCAATGATATTCAAATGAGTAAAGTTTAACCACCAAATAGGTTTTAAACAGCATCATTTGATATAATGTCCTTGCAGCACCCAGCATAACATTTACAATGTCTGTACATGGAAAACCGTTAAATACAGACTCAATGAAGAGCGCGGCCTAACAGTTTTTGGACTTATTCTTGGAGTACAGGCTTGGTCATGGGAAAGGGTTCGATTCAAAGGAATCTTGTTTGTATCGCACAATTCTACATGAAAATAGTGTTGGATTATTACAAATTTGTGTCGGATGTGGCAAGAAATGATTCCTTTTAGCGAACAAAGAAGAATCACTGTGAAAAATAGACAGTATGTATTCCAAAATAGCCTTAAGGCTTAGAACCGAGACGGGGGGAAAGCTTTATTTTCATAATTGTTGCCTATAGCATGTGTTAGTAACGAATTAAAGTAATTAAAAATATTATTACACAGCACATTATCAATATGGACTGTTAAACTTCATGGCAACATTCCTGGGGCAGATCCAGGAATTTTTGTAGGAGGGGGTTTGCCAGGCTCCTGTTAAGGAAATCTGACAGTTGATAATGCATGATGCCATCTTCGTCTCTAAATTGTGTAGGCACACATACGCATTGGTCTTTTTAGAGAGAAATCCAATGTTAGATGTCAATTTTTATAATCAATTAATAGGATCATATTGTGATTCACTTTCATTGATGCAAAGCATTAATTGTGATATCACACATAACATTATTTCGTGCTCTGAATGCCAGTCCCAACCCACCATAAAAGTGTTGTTATACAATTTTTTTGATGGAGCTGACCAGGATGGGTTTGGACCCCCCAACCCCCTGGATCCGTCCCTGCATTGTTCATTTGTTGCTACATAACACTGTAACCTGGGTATCATTTAATCTTGTGTATTTAGCATTAATTTCTTTCACATTCGTTTAATATCAAATCATTCTTTAAAAATTTGTAAAAAATGTTTAAAATCACCAAAAATCATCCTATTTGTACTTGTGTTCAGTTTAAAGCTGACCATTCAATTTTGATAATGGGTGTTCAGTTTACAAGCATTTAATTTCTCCATCACTCTTAAAAAATAAACAACCCAAATGATTATTGATGTGTAAGGATTAATTTTTAAACATCTGTCAGGAAATTAAATACTTAAGTAAATTGGACATTCATTATCAAAACTAATCACAAGCACAAATTAGATGATATTAGGTGATTTTAAATGATTTTTACGAATTTTTAAACAAAGATTTTATATTAAACGAATGTGAAAACAATTAGTGGTAAAGGGGCTAAATCGCTAATATTTGGGACCTACAAATTGACACAAATGGGTCGCAACGTATATAATAATGTAATATGAATGTAGATAAACTGATTTACATTCAATCGTTTCCGTTTTTACTCTAATTTCAAAGCAGTTATGTTCGGCGAAATACGCCAGAAGTCTCAATCGGATGGCAATCTCTAGCGACTGGTTATTCCAGTCTATACCGATAGCATTTATTGCGCATGCTCTCCAGATAAGAATATGGGGTCACCGTTTGACATGACTTGTGGAATATGTCTAACCTCGTTCTTCGGGTCGCTTGTTACAAATTGCGCTGAAAGGCATTATGGTACACGATTCGTGTACCAATGGTAAAATGTTTATTTTGTCTTAAATATTGGATATCAGAAGTCCATCTTTTCCCGGTAAGATCACAACACCAATGTTGCTTAAAATTGACAAATAATTTGCGTTTTCAATGTGGAAGGTTTTGGATGATACTAAGTTGGAGACTTAGCTACTTTAAATGATTACATTTAAATGAAGCATAATTATGACAAATTAATTAGTTTGAATATGTTTTTGGTCCATATATACCATTAAATCACCCAGTTTGTACCCGGGAAACCATCTTTAACTAATAATCACGATGTTATTGCAGTATGTTCAAAGAAACCTTACGGTTCTTTGGTGGATGAGGAAAAACATGAGTTGTCAATCATCGAGAATGGCGGCCGTGTGTTGATTGCAGTTATACTGTTTCACGAAAAAACATTCTATTAGCAGTGGTCGGTCAATCAAGCTCGTTTACTATTTGATAAAAGAAAAACAGCTAAGTATTACTAAATATACACAAATTTTCAACAATATATTACTGTCAAGTTTACTCGCAGATAAAACAAAACAAAGGAGAAGTAGCAGTGTTAATCGTGGTCTCAACAATCGCCGATCAACTAAATAAAACGAAAGACAATTAAGACAGCTGTTACTTATATATATCTCATAAATAAATAGTCCCAACTGTCGTTTATATTGAGTCCCAAATGTCGTTTATGTTGAGTCCCAATTGACGCCAATCAAGTCCCAAATGTCGTTTATGTTGAGTCCCAAATGACGTGATACCCTTTAATTACACAAGATTAAATGATACCCGGGGTATAGTGTAATAACCCAAGTAAAAATATTTGCAGATCAATAACATATTATTTTATAAACACACACATAAATGATATCTATTTGACTTATACCATTCAAATTATGGCAAACTTTGTTGGCTTAAGTTATTGCATATTAATTATTAATAATATCAGATGGACAGATGTAAATGTTTGGTTCAAAGGGCAAGTGGCAACTTGTTTGACAGCAAAAGATCTACTATGTTCATGTTATAAATCTTCATAATATTTCCATAAATACGCTGACTTACAAACATAAGTAAAAGTTACATCTACGATCTTAATACCGAATTATATTTATAAGGTTACCATGGTTACCTGATAATATCATCGTCATGTCCCAAGAAAAAGCGCTGTTTATGCTCTCTGACGGAATAAACGATGCCAACACCGGCGACAAAATAAACTATATCTTTGTTTGAAGTATAAAACAGATTGTTTCGACATTGATGTCCTCTATATCCATAGACCCACTCTAATCTCAGCTGTGCTTCTGGTGCTGTCTTGTCAGCCATTTTCGATTTGCAGTTTGTCTCAGAAATCAAAACATGTTACAACCAAGGCCAGCCATTTCTACCGCCACTAGTTATATCGAGAAGAGCGCATGCTCCTGGAACGCAAACAGGACTCTTGAACATCCAGACTAAGCATAATCGTCCAACGAGCACAGAGAGTATAATTCTGGGTAGTAGAGACTAGTTCTAGTGCTGTTCCAATCAACTGGGGCTTTCTCTATCGATCGTCAAGCGAGGAATACGCATCGACTTGCACATTATATCTATAGAAATTCAGTTCGTACCCCAATTATTAATGTTATTTAAATTTGAAAACGTTAAATTAAACAAAAAAATAATAATAATAATAAAAAAAGTCGCGAGGTTATTTATAAATATTTAAATCTAATTGGTTATATTATTGTCATTGAAATTTGAAAAGAATTAAATATGGAATTGGAAATGTTTTAATTTTAGAAAAGATTTCAACTTCTAAATGTCCATTTTTAAGAGTCAGGAATAGGAGTCTGTGCGATTTATATTATATCGAATTTATCGCAAATAAAAGCTGAAAACATTTAATTTAAAATGGCTAGACTTCTTTGATTTTGATAACAAAAATAAAAATGAGGATTACGTAGGATTTTGTGTGTTGGTATGTCTTATAACTGTGCGACAATATGATTTTACCCGGCGACTGCGTCTTGGTTGAAAATTTTACATTTACAAATTATAAATTATAATAAACATTTCATTACATGGAATTTAGCGCACATGGACCTCGGTTTTTAGTCCCATCCGAACATAGTATACGTGGTCCCTTGTTGCGCCACTGACAAGGGGGAACCACCCGGATAATCCCGATCAACTTCCTCGGGCCGGGATCGAACACGGGTCCTCCAGGTTAGCGAGCCAACATGTTACTTAAAACTGAGCATCCGCGGCTTCCAAAGGTAGATATCTTTGAAGTTTAACAGCTAAATTACTGAAATAACTAGACGGAATGAATTCATTTGTTTTAACACCCGTGGTTCCTTTATTTTCCATTTAATATGCATTTATTATAACCTATCTCCAAAGGGGTATATTCTCCGAGAAATTTTAGAATACCAAATTGCTTTGATAGACTAAAAGATTTTAAGAAACACACAAATAACTTCCTTACTGATAACAAGTTCCTTCTGTGACTGGCAAATCCGGTTTCTGAACAAAACACTCGGTCTCTATCAGGGATGGATTGGGTAATTCGTCTAAAAAACCTTTTTCTGCTGAACAGGGCTGGGGGGGGGGGGGGGGTATTGGACCGGCCATGGAGCGATGATGATCTTGTTGTATGTGGCCGGTGGCTTTAACGGGCCACCACGCCATCACTGGAGTATGGAATGGGCTGGTATAATAGACTTTCTGTGCCGGGTGTGCTGGGTGTGGGCCGGAATTCGGAATGGTCAAAATTTTCTCAACTATAGTCCAATTTTTTAACCAGTTAAATTCTCTTGACGATTATAATTATTAAAATAATATGACGATATGATTATGATTTCGCATGTTAATGGTTGTAAATTACTTGCAGGTCGGGGTTTGGCCTAAATTAGTCGATTTATGAGATATATTATTTGACATAGAATATAATCAGATATATGCCACCAAATCGCATATTTGGGGTTTAATTTTCAAAATTTTAGCGGATGAGAGACCCCGGACCACCCGTCCGGGCTCTGCGGTCAGTATAAGAGGCCGCTCCGACACGGGAGCCCGGGCCGGTTCGCGGCCCCAATCCGCCCCTGGTCTCTATCAGTACTAAAAAATATCACTGAACACCTACACGTTACCGTAGACCAGTGATTCCCAACCAGTGTGCCGCGGCACACAGGTGTGTCGTGAGATCTTCCTATGTGTGCCGTTTAGTTTGAGCCACACTATGTGTCTATGACTAGTCTGTGGCTACAGTTGTATGCCGTCTATGATTTGCCATGTTTTTTATTTTGCAAAAAAATCAAATATTTTGTTTATATATTAAGTCGGGGGTGTCGCTGTTTTTTCATGTGTTTCAAGGTGTGCCGTTGGCACAAAAAGGTTGAGAACCACTGCCGCAGACCATACTAGATTAAAGACAGTGGAGTTGACTAACTTACGACATACATTAAGTATTGTTTAATGGTCGAGAGCGAGACATTAAGTAATATATTGTAACAACATGAGGGCCGTAGGCCCGAATGTTGTTACAATATATTACGCAATGTCTTAAGCTCGAGACCATTAAACAACTTAAAATACAGACACTCCGCACGTGCTTTTACAGTGAAATACGTCACTCGAGTCTAATATTTCAATAGTATAATTAATGTACGATTGGCAAGTTGCCCGTACGATTATTTAAAATAATGGTACGCCAACATCAAAGGGTGACGTCACATCTGTATTTTAAATAGTTTTATTGACAGGCGTATACCCAAGTAATTTCATCTCAAAGTCACCATGTCCGAATGGGCGAACATCAAGCCTCGGCTGTATGACAGTAAGTGATATGTACCTACGCCTATACAATTGCGATGCGGCACCGGTTTACTTATGCCCCCGTCAGACCGGGGTGGCGTCCTTACTGCTGCGACCGTACGGCGACCAGAAAAAGCACAAGGTCGCCGGCAAACGTGAACACAACGCGCGAAATTGTCCCCAAAAACTACAAACTTGAAAGAAAAGTCGTATTCTCATAGTTTTACAGTTCAGGTCACAGAACCTTGGCGTTTGCTTTGAACATGGCGGACTTCGTCATACAGCCGAGGCTAGATGTAGGGCACTGGAATCTGCTGGGGTTTGGCCGAGTGGGCGCGAGGTATGAATGGGGTCGGACTAACCCCGCTTTCCCCTCCTTATAAAAACATGGTAATGCACGGACTTTTTTTCTGTTTTTCTTTCGTGTTCTCTTATCTACTGGCAGCCAATTCTTTTTATAAATTGTTAGATATCCTCTCACAGTCACATATCCTCTCACGTCAACTTTAAGTCTTCGAAGGAATTATTAGTGAGCAGAAATTCTCCCATGTATCTGTTATCAGTCGGCACTTCAGCCATAGAGGTATGTCTCGTGTTTTTCTTTGGCGTTCGTCACTTCCGATTCAGGAATCCTGTATAACTCAGCTATCGTGGCAATGATCTCTGGGTTAAAATTATATTTGGAACGTTTTTAATTAGTTCTATCACATATGTGATAATGACTGGCACCAATATTGTCCTTTAATACCATTAACTATACCCATTCAACCATTTAAGATTTATAGGCTACGTTATCCAATATGTTACAAGCAAATACAAACTTAATAATGGCATGTTTGTAAATGTATATAACAGTATTAATTTAGTATTACTTGTATTATCGTTGCCATTGCTTATAGATGTTATTATTGTTATGGAAGTTAAGCAAATTATATTATATAATATTCAATATATCATATTTAATGAAATGGGATCAAACTTTTCTGCACCGACTGGGCTAATGAAGACAGGCACACGCCATACAGTGTTCTCTGGGGGAAATTTTGTCTGGACAGCCGCGCTAAGGTCTACTCTTATTTCGAATTCCAACCAAGGTGCACGCCAACGTGTACACATGACTTAATTTTTTGTCTCATCCGAAGGCGCCTGTCCTCCTTGTCAGCCCGCCCTCCTTGTCAGCCCGCCCTGCACCACTGGCAAGGGGGAAACCACCCTGGAAAATCTTGGGGAACTTTCTCGGACCAACACCGGGATCGAAACCCAGACCCTCTGGATGAGCTAACGCCTTACACACTGAGCCGCCGCATTTCCGACTGTAAATATATTAACTCTAATAGTAAGGGCAGGAGGGTGGCAACTGGCAAACACGCAGGAACCACACACAATATACACAGACATGGAAAGTAATAAACAACAAAGGCATATAATATCAATCAAGTGAATGGTCCTTGGGGGAAAGCATACAGTGGCAATGCGTTGTCAGTGGAAAAAAAAAACGAAAAAAACATTTTGCAATGACAAATTTTTATATTAGGACATTTATTATGCTGACTTTTATTAGGCGATACCACGGTTTTCATCGGCGTTTAATCAAAGATCACACAAGGTCCACGCGTTACTGATTTTTATTTTCCGAAAATCAACTTATTATTTGGGTGGACCGTTTTCCATCCATGGGAAAGAACTCCCTTTTTACCCCTTAGAGGGAATTGTCTCCCTTATATCGTAACGTGGCGAGATCGTACGAGACCTCCACGCTGTAAACAACATGGAAGAAGTTTGAAGTTTCCGGAAATTCTATTCATCCTTTATCATTTTGGCGTGTGATAAATTAGTATTTGTAGATCAATATGGGACTTTGTAAATGTCCGAAAAGGAAAGTAACCAATCTTTTCTGCTTTGAACATCGTGTAAATGTTTGTGAACATTGTTTAGTAGCAAATCATCCGAAGGTAGGCTAACTTATTCATCTATTCTATCTTTAATATCTTATCTTTTATCAGTTCATCTTCTTCTTTTAATTTATTTAGTCTGCTCACTCACTGAGTCACTCTACTATTCATTTTTTTTAAACTGATGAGTAAAACTGATTTATTGCATACAATAATTAACCACACTGATCAGCAGTGAATATTGGCTAGGCCGCTACAATCACTGATAAAAGGATGACATCAATGCGACTTAATAATGAGTCTCAAATATTAAAGATACATTATGGGAGATTCGATAACGAGTTGGCAGTTCTCACTATAATAGTTAAAAACTAGATAATGTAAAGACAATTTGCTGAAAATTTCATTCAAATTGATCCACTATGAACCGAGAACAAAGTGATTGAATTTCCGCCTAGCCTTGATCATCATTACTAAAGTCAGTACAATAAAGATAAACAGCATAGTCTCAATTGTCCATTTAATTGTTAAATCATGAAGGAAAGTTATGCAGTAAATCGACTCACAATTCACTTAAGATCGCAGGCTAGCGATGCCATCTAGAGTTGATTATGGTCAGGATACGTTTATTAATGTTTAATTAATAATTTAGATAACCTTTCAGGCCTAAAGAAAGACCTGCAGTAGACAGATTTAGCTCTTGCATAATGTATGTTTAACTTTTTTCCACCAACAAATTAAATTCTAAAACATTTTTTTTATGTATTAGGAAAAAAAAGAAAAGACGTTTGACGTATTTGTAGGTACAGTAGAATCTGTATGAGCAGCCACTCCTCTTCAGCGACATCTCCTTGTAAGCGGTCACGATAAATTCCAATCCCCCCCGTAGAAATTCTGTTGTTTCACCTCTTTATTCAACGGTCACTCCTCTAACGCGGCCAGCAGTCACTATTTTACTAATAAATTCAACAAAACATCGCCCATTCAACGGCCATTGTTGAATGAGACCATCTTGTCGTTCTTTGTAACACCCCCGCTAATCCCGTGAGTAGTAGTTAATTAACTGGACCCACACTGATCAGGTAAAAAGAAATGTAAAAATAACAATCAACCCGGGATTATCTGTTAATTAATCTTTTGTTTTATTAAACGACTTACCTGATCATATTTTTCACGCGTAACGACACATTATTTGATACTGATTGAATAAAAAATAAAAGTACCGAGTTTTGTCACGATCATCTAGTATCTCTTTTCCATTGCCACTTTATGGTTAAACAGACGTTTTAGTGCCTCCTATAATATTACATACAGAGTTACACCCCCTGTAAGTAGGTGATAAAATTAGCGATGTTTTTTGTTTATGTGCTTTTTTGATAAAATAAAATTAATTCATCGATTTTCTTCACAAAAATGGATAAATATTATCGAATGCATCACAATGGTAGACAGTAGTATCGAAGGTTGCTACAAAATGACAAGTTTACAGAAGTTATGTCCCGAGATTTGAGTAAAGAATTTTTGTTCGGCGCAAGATTTAGCGGCGGTCAAATTTACCGCTTCCAATGCATTCAAGCTTAATATTTAATTTATGTCAGCACAAAAAGCACCAAGATTTTATTAAGAGGCCACTCCTGTTAAGTTATGTCCGAAATTTGAGTAAAGAATTTTCGTTCGGCGCATGATTCAGCGACGGTCAAATTTACCGCTTCCAATGCATCCAAGCGTAGGATTTAGTTTATGTCGGCACAAAAAGCAACGAGATTTTATTAAGAGGCCACTCCCGTTAAGCGGTCAGTTGTGAAAATTCCCTTGGGTGGCTGCTTAATGCAGATTCTACTGTAAATATTATTTCCTATTTAGTGTAAATGGGTATTAAAATGAGTAAAAGGCAGCATTCTGCCCGAAGCAGTAACATCTTATGTAAACAATGCACGCGCCATTGAGCCAACGATTGACGCCGCTTGCTGTGACGCGCCATGTGTTGAATGTAAGTCATCTTTTACAGAGATATTATTAGAAGACTTTCATAATCCTCTGTGAGACAGATTGACAATTAACATGTATGTGTACGAGTCAACTATTAGTTGTAGGCAACATAACCAATACCAAAGGTTGTTTTGGGTTGGTTTTTTTCAAATTGAAATGAAATGAAATGAAATGGAGTTTAACGTTCTACTGTTCTGCTCCTAACCTGGGCTAATGAAGACGGGCATACGCCATACAGTGTGCTATGAGGGAAATTTTGCCCGGACAGCGGCACTACGTCCTACTCTTATATCGAATTCCAACTGCCAAGGGATCTTTTACGTGCACGCCAATGTGTACACGGGACCTCGGTTTTTCGTCCCATCCGAACGACTAGACAGCTTTCCTTGTCAGCTCCTCCGTCCTGCATCACTGACAAGGGAGAACCACGCAGGAAAATCTGAATGAACTTTCTCGGCTAATGCAGGGATCGAACACCCGACCTCCAGGCTAGCGAGCTAGCGTCTTACCCACTTAGCCATGTGATCCCCTTTTCAAATTGAAATAGACCCTAGTAGGCCCAATACTGTAATACTCGAGCTTGATAATGATATATTATAATTACTGACCGATCACGGCCAAGATTAGTTCATCAATGTTTTAATAATAGAATAATAAAGTAGCCCTCTATTGAGTGTTTCTACTGTTCTTAAAATAATGTTTTAACAGATTAACTTGATAAGCTTATTTACATTCAACGGTCGACTGGACTGGACATACCCGGGAGGTGGATATATCATCTGCTATATAGCCTGTGTCAGTGCAAATTCCATTCATTCATTTATTCATTCTTGACATTTCATATTGACCAGTTGAAATCAAGTTAGTAACATTAGTAAATAATTGATTGAAAGCATACCTTTTTAAATAGAAAATAAGTTTAATTAAGCTTATTTAACATTTTAGCTATTTCCAAAGAATTAACTACACATATTTGTTTATGTTTCACAAGCCATGCCATATGGCACCAGTGACCCGTATGTTGTCAACTTTGACTTCGCCCACTCAGTGATAATATGGGCAATTTTACCATCCTACTGTCAATTTTGATATTATTCCATCACATCAAACTGTAGTGTTTCCTTTTGAGAATTTGTTTATGTTTATAGTGACAAGGTTAAAAAATATGTTTAGTTTGTAGTTGAGTTTATCGATTTGAAAATAAAACATTAAAGTAAGCTTATGCAATATGCAAATAAGATATTGTTTGGCATGTTTAGACGATTCTGACCAATGATAAAATAGCTGTTCAGCACACATAACTATCCTCAGCCCTTTTTGTAAAAGTTCTTTTCAGGTAAAACACAGTATTTGTCCAGTTTTCAATCTTTTGATGTATACACAGGTTGGAAACAACTTCCAGTATTTACAGTCAATTTCTTACATGTATATTCAACATTTGTAATAATGACCTCTCCTAATGACCACCAAATTTCAAGTCAATATATATCTTTGTTGTTGAGTTACAGTTATAGCAATAAACATGTCCCAAAAATAGCCATTTTTTGTGTGTTATGCTGTCTCACTTCAATAAATTGTATTTTGAAACTCAAATTAATATATTTTTTGTGACTTTTTTTGGAAAGAATATAAATGCATGCTTATAGAACATTTCCTACATGTATAATAAATTTTGGTAGTTGAATTATACTAGGAGACAGTGTATTAAGGGAGTTATGACTAAATTACAAAAACATGCGTTTCTGTCAAATTTTCAGAATCACGGTGGACATGCACATGAAAAGCACTGAAAACTTACAATAAAAATGTGATCTTCAGTAGTAATTTAGTATTATACTTTTCAATGTGCAATTTTAAAATCTAAAATATTTTTTATTTATTTGAATTTGAAGTTGATTTTTTTCACTTTTTAAAAGTTACGGACACTACATTGTAGTGTCTTTAACCATACAGTGACGTGCCCATACTTAAAAGCTTCACAAAAGTATATTTGTAACAGCTGCTGAGGCGAAAAAAGTATTAATTTTAATGACCAAAATATTGAACTATTGATACTTAGAATTGCAAGGCAATTTATTTTTTTTACCCCGATGAGACACTTTTGTCACAAATACTGTGTTATAGCCATTTTGTAAAATCACAAGATTTTCTATAATAAAAATAAGTGTGTATGTGTGTTTATGTTTTTTTTTTAAAAGATAAATATAGAATTTAATCAGGGCACTAGAAATATTGGGGTCATATACAAGAAGGACATAAAACCACCAGTCTAAACAGTGGTCGTCTTCTGAATGGCAATAGTCTGCCAGTTGATGTCATCAAAATTATACTCAAACACTATGAAAATCACTATACTTAATTTTAATCACTATCCATATTATAACCAATGCCGTGTTGACGAGTCAACCAATGCCGTGTGGACGACTCAACCAACAGATTTTAATATTTGTGGACGACTTAACACTTAACTATACTTTTCGTGTGGACGAGTTTGCTTGTGGACAAGTTAACTGGCATTCCATACATGTATGTACAGTTAGCCTTTTTACATTCGAAAATTACTCTTGTCATTGAAACAAAAAAAAACAGGCCTTAAGAAAAACATTGACTAGGCATATCTAGGCTTACTGTATCATATAATCAGCAAGCACAACGCCAATAAAGACTAAAGTCTAACATAGTGCCTCATTTTATGAGCATGTCAAGCCCTTATATTTTAATAGTGACATTACAACCTCATAAGGAGTTGCTTATATGTTTAACTCTGTATTAAAGACCACATAAGATGGCCAAATTTTCTTTTTTGTACGTGTAGCCAATGATTACTACATCCATTTTACAGCAAGTTCACACCAATCTGATTAAAATGAATTCAGCTATTAACGTTTAAGTATCCGACAGCCAAAAACGGTTTTCAAATTTTCATTAACGACCTTAATCCGGTTGATTGGCTAGTGAGTCACAGGCACTACACATGAGATATACATTATCTATACAATATCTCACTGTGTGTACAATATATCACTGTATAAACACACCACCAGTTGACAAGTGTGTATTTGTCGGCCCAATTAACATTGGACTGGCATAATCATTAACTCGTAATTATGTAAGCTACCTCTCACTATATAAGTCAAAGCATTTTCTTAAGCCGACCTTTCTCGTCTTGCGTTGTTATAGATTAGACATTTGTGATTGGAATATTTTAAGGTGAATTTAAAATGCTGTAGATCCATTTAAAGTGCCATTGTTTAAATAGGCCCCGTGACAACTAAAGAAGACCTAAGCAATTAGCGCATTTACCGGTAATTTGGATAACCCCGTAATACTTGATATCCCAAACTATTCTCTATAAGTACACAAATACAAATGGTGCCAGTCAATTGTCCATATATTCATTATTAGCCATATAATAATAATAACCATCTCTATACACAAGGAACAACTTTTATCGCAACTCCATTTGAAATTCACAGCGAATATGGAATTTTCCGATGACCATGCATAGATCGCCCTCATTTCTCAGCCAATCAACGCTGGGAATCTTATTGCCATGTACGGTTCCATGCACTACGGGCCTAGTAACTGAGGTTAAACTTTGGCGCGAAATTGCATGGGATTCGTGGACATGAATATCAAATACACTTGATCATACGAGGAGTTCCTGATGCCGTTTGGTGAGTTATTAAACTGTCAATGCAATTGTAAAATACTTTTATTATAAAGAAGATTTCATATCAAGTCAATTAAATGTTGTTTAAACGTCAGTCAACAAATAATACGAAGCTACTTGATTACAAAAACACCAGTGAGCAATAAGTATTGGGTAAATAATAATTATAAACAACTGATGAGGAAAACTTAATTATTTTATACAATTAAAGATACATTATGGGAGATAAGATAAAAAGATGGTAGTTCTCGCTATAATAGTTAAAAAGTAGATAGTGTAAAGGTAATTTGCTGAAAATTTCAGTCAAATTGATCCACTATGAGCCGAGAAAGAAGCGGGTGAAATTTTTGCATATTCTCGGTCATCATTACTAAAATCATTAATATAAACAGCATAGTCTCGATTATCCACTTTTTTGATTTAATTATCACTGGCCGTTAGCGGCATATAGGAATCTAATCCAGCCAACATTGAAGGCTAGCCTTGACATCGAGAGTTTATTATGGTCTGGATAAGTTAATTAATGTCTAATTGATAATTTAGATAACATTTCAGGCCTAAAGAAAGACTTGTAATAAGCAGATTTTGCTCTTGCATAATGCATGTTTAATATGTGTGTGTACGATTCTACCATTTGTTCATTCGTGGGTACTACGCACACTTTTCACCTAGAGTGATGTCTTTGATCTGGCCGGCGTAAAAAAGATAATTACCTAATCAGCATTCTTCTTAATCCCACTAACAATCACTGCTAACACCAAGATTTAAATTAATTTATTACCCTCAAGTCTGTATAACTTTAGTCGGATTGATTAATTAATGACAGATATTAATGACACTTGTCATATTATTATCAATACACAAAGATAGTTAGATGATCCTTCTCAATCTGTCTGTTATTCCATTTAGATGGTTACCAACAAAATTTATTTGTACTGTTAATTCTAACGTATATTGAGATATTTTTTCATATTTCATTTTTACGGTCCATTTCAGAGTAATGAAGTCAAATCCGCCTTTTACATTTACAAATCGCTTTTCAATCATGTTTGACTTTTATGATACATTTTGCATAACCACATCTTTTTACCCCTGTACTCTTTTACTCGGGGGGAAATTAGAACCACAATACTCTTTTGACGAAAATGTATCTCAAATCGATTGGACTGCACAAGATGTAAGAGGGTACTAAAATTGCTGTCGTGAGAAACGAGAGCGACCGTACATTATGAAACAAATTCGAAATTGGATCTTAAAATAAAATGAATTACAAAACAAATTATTCCGTAGTCAATTGTTTTACAATGTATTTAATTAAGGAACTAAGGGGGATTAAGGAATCAGTCACACGTTAATGAGTACACACAATTCGGCTGTATATAGGTATTAAGGAATAAACATTCTGAATATGCATTCGGTCACTGTGACGTCACTGGCGCCTGAGGGGATTAAGAGTGTTTTCGATAATTGGCAAAGTCGTTTTTACGGGAGGTCCATTTTTACGACTTTGAGTGAAGATTACTGAATTAATTTCAATCAGATTGGTGCGAACTTGCCGTAAAGTTGATATAGTAACCATTGGCTACACATATCGAAAAGTTCCCAAGCCCATCTTATGTGCACTTTAACTAAACGTTAACCTTTATTCTCTCAGTCCCACAAAAGTGACAGTTGACTAAACATAAGGTTTTTTGAACAAAGGCATGTGCAAACTTTCAATACAATGAAAATATTGCCACCATGACTAATCAGCACTGCAGAAATTAGTGGTTAATCATGTCACAGTTTTGCTGTCAGAAACATGAATATATTCAGACTCACTTGATTAAATTTTGTGAATTTGGAACTGTCCAGATTCACAATTAGGAAACCGCAGTAAAACACACACATATCCAAATCCACTGTTTTCTAAATCTTGGAGGCTGTGGACAAAAATGGTCCACAATATAGTGGACAGAAATACAATGAAAAACTTGGATTGGCTTGTAGACTGGTGAGTAGGATTAATTAATCACAGACCATTGCCAGACAGCTGCATACAAAGGGAAATAATTTTACTTTATTTTGTTTTCAGTGTATTGTACAATCTTACCTACAATGGCTACAAGATAGTGACTATAACCCGATTTGCAAGTTATGTAACCAAGCATTAGGAGCTGAAAATGCAGAATGTGTACGACTGGTTTGCTATGGTAAGAGGAAAAAAGATTTGAAATACAAGTACTATTGCAAAGTCTACCCTTCCTTAAACTAATTTCAATTACATGTACACTGTAGATATACACCACCAAATATTTGTAATTTGATTTTCAGATATATTTCATTGGAATTGCATAGACAGATATGCTCGAAGTTTACCACCAAACACAGCACCAGCCGGTTATACTTGCCCAACATGCAACACCGGAATATTTCCACCAGCAAATATGGCTTCTCCCATAGCAGATGTGGTAAAAACATTCTTATCACGTGTCAACTGGGCCCGAGCTGGATTAGGGCTGCCATTGGTAAGCATCACGAAATCACATCATATGATACTTACATGTAGCTAATATAGTTCAAAGGGATATTACAAAGTTCATGGATGATCATGTATTAACCATGAATTTCAAGACCCTCTATTTTAATTGAATCTGGAAATGTTGAAAAAAATGCTTTATATGAAAATTGATATGCTGTTGCAAATTTTGCATTTGATATTAAATCTATTTTATATATTATAAGCTGGAAAATTGATTGCATACAGTTTTCTTCTTGTATGTTTTTAATGTGAATGTATATTGCTGTCCACAATTTCTTGTGAATACTCCTCAGGTCGGGGTTCTTATCAGGTTTGTTTCAAATTTGAAACCTATAGAGGTCACAATTTTTATCCGATTTTGTTGAAACTTGAAATGTAAGTTTATAACACAAAGATCTCAGTTCCTTTCGATATATGCGCACATCGAATTGTAATTTCCTGAATTATGGCCCTTGATTGTAGGAAAAATCACTTTCTTGTTAGCTTGTTCTCTATCCATCTCTCGAAAATGTGGGCGTATCCTGCCTGGCAGCCGCTGGTTTGATATGATGTCACAATTCCAAGATAACATCAATTAAACATTTTTGTTGTTTCTTTTTTCAGATTGAAGAAGCAGAAGCACCAGTTTCTAATACTCCTGTAGTCAAAACAGAACAAAGTCCCCCACTCACTTCAACACCTTTTCCAACGCCAAATCAGCAGACCCGCCCTAGTGCACAGGTGCCACCTTACAGTAGTACACCTACCAACCCCAACCCTCACAGTGTTATAAGTGTTGACGCTGGAGCTAGTTCCAGAGGCCTTGGAACAGGACAAAACAGTATGTACCGTAGCTATATCTTTCACATTTTTTAACACATAAGAATAAGTTTGTTTAGTTAGCTGTTTATGAGTGAGGCTTTCAGTATTTAGTTGAAGGTAGTCAATCTCTGTTACTTGTCAAGATCAGTGAAATATACAAATCTTTGTTACTTCAGATCCAAGGAAATTATTTGATACTACAACAGATGATGATATTTTTAATATGTCACATGACCATGATGAAGATAAATATAAAAGACGTCCAGCATTCCATTGGTTAGCAAAGTGGTTCAAGTATGTGAAGAAATTTTTTATGTGGATTGATCTAAAATGTTGTTTTGTACATGTATTTACTGTTTTGTTGTACATGCATGTATTTACTGTTTTGTTGTACATGCATGTATTTACTGTTATGTTGTGCGTGCATGTATTTACTGAATAGGGAGTCACGGTGGCTCACTTAGTATGGCGCTGGCTCACTAACCAAGGTGTCCTGGGTTTGATCCTGATGTTGGCTGGGAAAGTTCCTGATGGATTGTCCAGTGTTGCTTTCCCCTATTGGTTTAATATTCTAGTTGGACGAAAAACCAGTGGTCACTTGTACACATTGGCATGCGTGTAGTTGGATTTGTATGAAGAATAGGTGGAAACATACAAAGTGTTCCTCATATTCTGTCATCGTTAGCCTCATTGGAACAGAAAAATTAAATCGCATTTCATTTATAAAATGGAACCATGGGATTCTCAGGCGTTGTTCCTCTCGTGTACACATTGGCGTGCATGTAAAAGAACCCTTGGCAGTTGGAATTTGATTTAAGAATAGGCCATAGCAACGCTGTCCGGGCAAAATTAGCCTCATGCCACTGTATGCCCGTCTTCATTAGCTTAGAGCAAAACAGTAGAACGTTCATTTCATTTATAAAATATATATACAAGTAAAATATTTTGTTGTGTGTTTAGTATATATCTTGTTGAATTTGGATGTGTTGTTGAAATTTGTAATTGATTAACAAAAAAAAGGGAAGTAATTTAAGTACTACTGACAGTAACTGGTCTTCTTTTGCCTGGGCTCCAAGACTATTTCATCCCTAGAGAGATATAATATTTGTCATACTCTATATAACCAGAAACTTACATTTCTATTTTTTTAGGACCACAGATTCAAGAAAAAGAAAAGATCCAAATGCAGTTATGAAGAAATTTTTAGTGGTTCTTGGAATTGGAATTATTTCTTTCCTTACACTTATTATTATATTCTCTAAATTAGGACATGAAGTGGCAGAAAATGATCCCAACTTAGATCCAATGGCAAATCCCAATATCCGAGTTAATGAGAAGATTGCAGTTGATCACAATTAATTAATTCTTAGGTGTAAATTATTATAATGGTGTTGTTTGTTCATTGCAAGAAAGATAATAGTATGGGAAGAGAGCTATATTGTTTTTACCTTGCCTAACTAAAATCTAATTTATTTTTTGGGGACAAGTTTTGTGCATGTTGTCTTAGCTAGCCTTAGATAAGGCTATTTAAAGCGGCACTGGTACATTGTACTTTTAAAGAGAAAATTATTTTTTGTACTTTTTGTTGGCAACAGCAAAATGAAAGTTCCTCTTTAAAAATGTAATATGTTGATATATTTTGTAAATAGATTTGTATATATACATTTAGAATCAAAGGAATATTGGTCATTTGATTTGTCAAATTTGAAAATACTTACAAGCTGACCAAAAATCTTTTTACAGTAAGATCTGTGCATGTAAATACATGTAATGAGGTCAAATCTGGCTACTGTTTGCTTCTGCATTTATCTACGTGATGATCTGAAATAATTCATTATATTGGTTTATTTCTGATTATACATTTTTGAAAAAGTGAGTTAAGCTAATGGGTTTGTGGGTATATTTGTATTGTTAATATCAATAATGACCTAACAAGCAATTAATCTTATATTAACACCATTAAGGTTATGTATTTGTTTAGTACAAGTATTTCTCCAGTCTATTAAATGAAATTTCCAATATTCTGGCAGTTCAGCTGCTTTAATAAACTCCATTAAAACTATGCATTCATATAGTACTTGTATTGTTCAGCCCGTTAAGCGGTGTAAAGAAAAATCCTCAAAATTACAGTTTTCCCTACATGTAGGCATTTTATTTAACTTTACACCCCAGTCGATGTTCCCCAAACTGCCTAACCATTCGATCAAGAAATAACAGTCAAGCTAGCATATGATAAGCCGTCGGACAAGCCATGGGGTTGCCAGTTAGTAATACCCTGACTTTTTTGCCCAGTGCTTGCCCCGTGGGTGTATTTTGGGTAATCCAGTATTTTTCTAATAAGATTGGGCATCTATACATACTTTTATTGGAAATAACCACCCAATAAATACTTTTGTGACAATGTATCTTTAAGAGAACTCCTGTTGAAATTCAGAAAATTTTTACTGTGGATTTCAGAATTATTTCATTCTCTGTTTATGTTCAAATTTATGAAATCGTGTTATTGAAGACAATGGATTTCCGTAAAATTCAGTAGGGCGGTGTTCAGATTTGTTCAAATGAAGATGCACTTATAAGGGGCAAATTTAGGTAATCTTTAAATGTCTTCTTCGTATTGAGAATGGCTGAATAGTTTTCCTTAACTGGAATAAATTTAATTCTGAATCCAAATTTTCTTTTAATGAAATAAAGTGTACAAGTTAATAATAGGTGTTTCAATGATGTGATCTCTATTTTGTGGTTTATGCGTATTTTCGAAATGATGCTAAATAAAATTTTAATTGGATTAATGATTCCTTTATCACCACACTAATCCTGTATCATACATGTATATAATTATTACCCATACATCATGAAATATGCTTTTATAGACCCACATTGAAATGTCATATTACTGTTCGTCCCAGTTATAGAGTTATTTCCCTTGATCATGTCACAAAACCATGTAAAGGCACTAATGCAGTTATACAGTATAAAGATGTTGCTTTTTATTTACCTAAGGTTTCAGAATGCAACAACAGCTGGGATCACATAGCTGCTGAGGGTACATATTGCTGCATGAAAAATAATGGTGTATATAATTAATTAACTGTTTATAGGGTTATAATGTCAACTGGTGTTTTCATTTAATGTCTCGGATCAGTCATTATTATTTTCTTGATGGAAGTTGTTATTGGGAAATGATTTTATTATTCCATGATTATAGTAGTAAAATCTTTTAGACAAAAAAGAATATTAATAGTACACAACAAAAGAAATGAATTTGAATTGTTAGTATTGTATCTAGTACACAAAAATAGAGCAGAATTTGAATAACTGTTTGTTTTATTAGTCTTAAGTGTGGGTTCAGAATTAATGGATAAATTTTGATTTAGTAGTAAAGATATATCTGTATTTGTGATTATGTATATTAAGACTATATTGTTAATAAATTTACAGCAGTACATTCAACACATTGAAGTATTTATTTTTCCATTTCAAATGTTGCTCATTTTTATTTTGAATATTGACAAGAAATAATAGAAGTAATATATATAAAGGTTAATAGGAAAAATGTACTAATATACAAATCTTTTGTTTAATTAAAATTGTACATTCATTTTCATTTATTTATATTATGTAAATATGTATTATGTTAACATGTATTTATTTTAGTGAGATAAAAAAAAAAGTCTTAAAACATGGTTTATGTTATGCATTTTTATAAATAAAATCAAGATGTCTGTGTGTTCCCCCATCATGCTTCATCGCCGTGATCCACCCCCACATATGTGGTATCAAATTAACCAGCATGACGCTGTGAACGTTTAGGCCATGACTAATGAAGGTAAAGGCCACAGATCTTGTGCGCCGAGCGAGACGAGTATCCAGCTTGTATTTCTATAAAATGTTTCGATTAACTTTGCTTTGCATTATTGTGATCATTTCAATAATAGATAACAATATTTAAAAAAAACTTTCCGAAATGTTAGAATTTTGTGTTTTGAAGTTTTGAACATAATTAGGCCTAAGTGACCTAAAAATTGTCATACTGCTGTTGCTGACAGTTAAAAGTAATATACCATCAATTATCTAATACCATATCTAAATTAGCATCCAAAATTGTGAATATGAAACAATCACTGATAAGAATTGCCCTAAACCATGCATATGCTGCTGACATGCTAAAATGTGTCACCGATACCCATACCCAAACAACAAAACCTGAGTAAAAACCACAGTATTGGCAATAAAAATATTTAAATAAAATTTTCAGGAATCAATAAAGACCTGTAGGCGTATGTTTTGAAACAATTTAACAACAAATATTTTAATAATATATTGTGAATAGGAAATTCCACTGGATGGTTAAACATGTTTTAAAAATCCGCCAACATCTTTTTGATGACCTAATTTTAAATACATGTAAAATTGGCTAATATAGACTGGATGTAAAATTTTGTGTGAAAAAATTGTGAAATTGTACCGGTCCTACGCTGGTTCCTCCAGAGTAACCACGTATTTCTTCCACACTAACACAGGGGCTTTCGGAACAGAATTTCAGAAATGTTTTGAGCTGGGATTTGAAAAAGGTGTCCTTGGATTTTGAAAGTTTTAAAATTCTATAGGAAGTTGATTTCCAAAAATATAGACCCGCTAGTACTAGTAGGCCTACTGACATTAAACTGATTAGAAAGTGTATCACGCATTGCTGACAGTCATGATGATCATAATACGGTTTATTACATTTGGCGTGATAGCGAGTTATTTGACCTAGGACACGCAGAACAATACTATCGGCAATCCATTGATAAACAACGTAACCATGCATTCATTTGTAAACAATATGGCTGCCGGGGTCTTATTTTATTGTTCACGTCATAGTAAAAATACGTAAACCCATTATTATCGATTTCTGTATTATGACTATGAGCAGAGATTGGAATGGTCGGCCGTAAACAGGTTCAGGCATTCATTATACAGTTTTGTTTGAGGATCTATCTATTGGCTTAAACTGAGTTAAAGCAAAGGAGTACCGTACGAGCGCTGAATTACCGATAGGTAGGGAACAAGACACAGGGGAGAGGAGGTAAAATACAACTAACTCACACACATGGTGATGGAATTCATAAACCGGGGTACCGGTATGTCACTTTGTGGTGTTGGACAAGTTATATCGTATACCGGGTGAAACTGGAGTCCGCAAATGTTTCAACAATTTTATAGCCTATTAATATAGGCTATAATTTAAAGTACGGTAGCCCCTAAGCTCACCGTAGCCGTCTAGGCTACCGTACATGAACATCAATTAACTCACTAGTGGGACTTTTTACTTTAGGCCTACTGCAACAAAATTCCTAATAGAAATAGGAATATTTTGAGTACTAATAAGGTAGCCTACTGTTTCTTTAATAGTTTTCTATTTGATTTCAGGTTAGGCCTACTCAGTGTATTGACGTGAGAGATGTCTAGATTATACCATAAATTGTAAAACAAAAGTTATAGCCTACAGTGCTACAGCAGTCATGCAGCATCAATATTATCGTAGGGATACATCCCCCTCAAAGATTCCCAGGCCACGTGCCAAAGACGCGTCACAATATAAACCCACAAAACTAGATTTAATGAAGGAAGAGTATCATCGTAAGCTGATGAAAGAACGGGAACATAAAATCATAGAAATGTATGAAAACAATCAGAAAAAAGCTCTAGAAAGAGTATCACGCTTTGATCAAAGAGGGCAGAGAGGAAATTCTGTACGGAACTTTTTTGAAGAAGCAAGAGCTTTAGAAGCCAGTGGTAATATGAATGCAATTCAACAACATTATAACCGTTCTAATAAAGACACTAGGCGTTCTTCTGTGCCAAATGTTCCTAAAACTTACGGCAAGAGAAGTGCAGGAAAAGATAGAGAAAATCTACTTGCTCCCATCGATAGGAAACTGAATGGAGAAAATCCTTTCAGTTCAAAGCCTCAAAGAGCTCGCCAACCCATGTATAGTGATGGGGAGGTCAATCGTACAAGTGCAGTTAAATCTTACAGTGCTCCAGTCTCGAGTAAATCAAAACGCATTGATATCAATGACATGGATCCTACAAAAACACATAACCTGGAGGATGCAAGTTTTTATAGTTCTGGATCAAGTTCACCTCCAGAGCTAGCTCAATTGTCAACACTCAAACGCAAAAACTCTATAAACAAGAAAGATCCATTACCAGGAATTCCCAAAGAAAGTCAAGAAAAGTTGACAGATTTTCAAAAATGGCAACTAGAACAAGTTCGTGCCCGTGAGGAAAGGCTTCACCGACATCGCAGTCAAGGAAAGATAATGGGCTCTGAGAAATATGACTCAGATGAAGGCATTGATAGTGATAAAGATAATCAAATTAATGTAGAAGAAGAGATTCTCAGAAAACAGCAAGAATTAATGAATAAAATAGCTCAGCAACAAGCAGAATTGGATAGAATCAAAACCGAAAAAGATAAACAGGCAGAAATGGTAATATTATACTTATTATATTTTTGGGTTTGAGAGAACTTCTTCGATTTTACATTTTTGAAAATGTTCTTCAGTTTGATGTATCCTATTTTGATTAGGAATAGAACAATATATCTCTGTCTTTACCTTTTCTTTATATAAGCAGTGTCACAGATCTGAGGGGCTGCTGGTGCATGGACATGCAAAAAAACCCTAAGCAATTGGCAGTGATCTAGGATATTTATTTTCCTCTAAGACTAAGTAAAGGATGTTTCCCTTTAATTAGGTTGTTTGTCATTTAATAGTTTCAATGTATGTAGGCCTGTTTCTGTGTAGGTACCCATGGTGATCATATAAATAATTATGCATGGATAATCTCTCTTTTGTCAATTTGTATTCAACTTGAAACATGTTATTACACAAAAGAAGGAAAAAGGAAAATCTCATTGTTATACCTACATAATTATTGAAGCATTCATGAACCCATGCACTAAGAAGATGTATTGATGTTTATCAAATCAATATATGGAATATTGCTAACATCCACAATATGATGTGATATTGTTTGGTAACTATTTGAACTACATCATTGCGTAAATTTACCGGTAGACATTATTTACCTCCACAAAAATCAATCAAACATTATTCTATAAACATTATTTGAGTTCACTAAAATCTATCATATTCATAGCAATAATATTTTTCTGTTTTTAATATTAAGTACCTGCCATACATAATTGGACTACCCAGATTAAATTTTATATTCACAACAGCATTAACCATTTCTTATGGAATAATATATAAGTCCTTTTTTCACATCATGCCATGGATTACAAATTGCAATTTTTCGTAGGCTACTCTTGAAGGCATAAAAGCCTGATCTTATTCTTGAAAGTAAAAAATATGTACTATTTAATTGTAAATGAAAGTGGTGTAACTTCTTACTTTTCTGCACCACTCAGGCTAATGAACTCAAAAGAACTATTAAACATCAGTGCTGTCTCAAATAATGTCCAATACCTATGTTAAATAGCGAATTTTCATATCAAAGATCGCCATTACACTTTGATACTTTTCAAAGTATTTGGCACTATTTACGCTAGTTTCAATACTTTTTTGGAACAAATTGAATCTTTGCATAAAGACACAAATAAGTATCATTGTTTTGAGAAATAATGCAATAATTATTGCACAGTTACAACCCAAGTGATTAGCTTATATAGTTTTGTGCATGATATAACCAAATACATGTATAGACTAAGGTGCATGTAATTATAATAAATCCAAACATATTTCCACAAAAATGTCATACTGACTGTGTTATAGCCTGTGATAGCTATTTATGACAGATGACAGCAGAATGTTAGAAATTGTTGGTCGTACATGATCATCAGCCACAGTCTCTCAGTGAGTAAGATGCTGGCTCGCTAACCAGGAGGTCTCTGGTTCACTCCCTTTGTTGTTCGAGAAATTTCTCGTGATTTTCCAGCATTGTTTCCCCTTGTCAGTACTCATTGGTGAATGACGTAGGGCCTGGCAAGGAATAGTGTCAAGTCATTCAAATGGGCACATAAAAGAACTCTTGATAGTTGAAGTTGAAATAAGTGTTGCTCGTAGTGCTGCTGTCCAGACAAAATACCCCCCACAGCACATTATGGTGTATGCCTTGTCATCATTAGATCTAGTCAGTGCAGAAAAGTATTCAGTCAGAGTAACTATGCTAAAATGTTCTATTTCCTTCTTCCGTGTGGGTTTTGTGTAGAAATAAATTAAAAAATAAAAAAATGTCACTCAACATTAAAATATTCATTTTGGATTTTTTTATTTACTTACCTTATCAGGAACGAAGAGAAGAAGAAAAACGTCAACAGAAAGCAATAATAGAAAGAGAGAAACAGCAGAAAAAAGAAAGGGAAAGACAGAGGAAACAAGAAGAGAAAGACAGAAAAGAAGAAATGAAGAGGCAAATGCAAGAAGAAAGAAGAGCTGCTGAAGAAGAAGCGGAAAGGATGAGAGAAGAAGAAAATCAAAGAAAATCTGAGCAGCGCCAGGAATATGGGAATCATACCTATAGGCATGAAAATCAATCATCTAGTCAAAACCCCAGCCCACCTCCTTCTCATAATTATAGACCACATCCACCAGCTAATAGAAAACCTGCCACAAGACCTCAACCACGCAATCGTACACCTACAGAACCTGGTGAAGAAATAGAACATATTCCAGGGCCAGATGTGAATTTCTATATTCAAGCTGCTGCTCAAGATAATTCTGGAGGTCAGTCCATGCAATTGGGGGAATGTAGAATGTGTGGCAGACGGTTTGCTGTAGACAGATTGGCAAAACACGAAAATGCTTGCAAAACTGCCCAAAAGAAGCGCAAGAAATTTGATCCAACAAAGATGAGAACACAGGGAACTGAAATGGCTCCATATCAAAATTCTGCCAAGTCAAAGTCTAAACCTGCTGTAAGTATGAAGAACTTTATTTTTCTTTATTTCGTCAAGCGCTAAATATTGGAATTTAGCATCCTTTTGATAAATGTTGATGTAAGACTTACTGTGCTGATGAGCTGTTGATGTCAAAACACATATAAATCAATATATCTGTGCTATGGTTACCAGAATTAAATGCAACAATGGATTATTATCAAGAGATCTGAAGCAGATCTTCTAAAAAAAAGCTGACACAATTTTGAACCCCCCCCCCCCCAACTCATTTTAAGCTTGTTAACTAAAATAAACAATGGCTGTGTTGGTATTGGATTTATCATTAGATTAGTTTACTGCTTTGGTTTTCTGTTGTTCTTTAAAATGTTTGAGATGACGAAGAAGTAGGTGGTATAACAAAGTGTTTGATTAATTTATAATGACAATAGAGTTGTTGTGATTTAACCATCAATGGCTGAAAGAGAGGTGGAGATATTGATTTGAACATTGAATCGTGCTACACAGCCATTACCTATCACTTCTGTAAAATGTTTTAATTATCAGCAACTATCTTTCCCATCACGATTTCTATCTACACTAAATCCCTAATCAATGTGTTAATTACATTGAGTAGGGAGATGTCTGTTTATTACATAAACTCATAATCTGATTTAAAGATGCATTATATAAGAGCTGAATATGACTTTTTTTTCTGGCTTCAATTAAATGCTATATAGATTATTATTTAGACATTTATTCACGTGAAAAGCCCATAATCAACTCTCTAAATCGTCAGACGACTGAGATATTAGGTGAATTAGACAATGTCTGACATATCTTTGTTAATCGTTAAAACTGGTTTTTATTATAATTATAGTAGCAATGGTACTTGCCAATCAAGACTATTTATGCTATTTCTTGCCAAAATCTACCTTTGCTGAGAATAAAGTAATTTAGTTGAAATTTTCAATATATTCATTGAAAACACTTATTTGTATTTGGTCCATGGGCCTCTTAATTCAGTGCATATCCTTTGTTAAGCCATGTCTGCCACTCTACCCTGTGGTTGGTAATCTTCCAAGAATGTAGTTGATATCTGTAGCTTATTCCCTCTTATATTCTTTTAGCCAAAGAAACAGAATTGGAGAAAGCAACATGAAAGTTTTATCGAGTCAATTCGCTACGCTAAGAAGGTTACAGACATTGAAAGTAAAGGAGGAGATATTAGAGATTTAACCCCTCCGCCTCCCACAGAGAATCCAGATTATGTGGCATGTCCACACTGCTCCCGTACTTTTAACTCAACAGCAGCAGAAAGACACATTCCACGCTGTAAGGATATCAAGGGTAAGCCTGCTATATCAAAACGAAGATAATTGCAATCCCTTCAAATATTTTTATAAAAATTTTTCGTTTTAAAGCTTATGATCTAATTATTGCTATTTATATTTTACATGAAACGAAGCACCTCAATTTTGTATAAATGTCTTATTTGAATCTTGCGGACAAGCAAGTTAAAAAACCAGGGTATTAGGAAATATTTTTTTTTTGTCCATTCTAAAAACAAATCCAGGGGTTAATATCAAGTTCTCTACCTTAGGTGTTTTAGTCTAACAGTTGAGAACATTGACTGCCGGGCGGCCATATGTGACCTGTCACACCAAACTGGGTATTAAGCAGAAAATGTTAGTATTTGAGTTATAGTCTATGTGACAGCCATGAAAAATAAGCTTAGATATAACTATTGTGTATCTCTATTTTCCATTTGGAAATATCAATCTTTTTAGAAAAGCGTACAATTAGAGCCTGAAAGTGACTGGTAACATTCTCTTAAAAACAACATTTGCATTACTATTGATACTGTGACTTAAACAAGATTACAACATATTTCCTACATCAGGTTGTAAATTAAAAACAGATTTTTATACGCCCTTTTTCATGTGGACGTATATTGTCGTTGCCCCTGTCCGTCCGTCCACAATTTGTTTGTGGACACTCTACAGCCACTACCGGTCACAATTTTTATCCGATTTTGTCGAAACTTGAAATATAGGTCAATCTCTCATAGATCTCAGTTTCGTTTGATATTGGCATGTATCGGACCATAACTTCATGGATTATGGCCCCTGATTGTACAAAAAATCACGTTTTTATCTTGTGGACACTCTAGAGGTAACAATTTGGATCCGATTTTCATGAAACTTGGAATGCATGTTTATAACCCAAAGATCTTGGTTCCTTTCGATATTCGCGCATATCGGATCGTAACTTCCTGAATTATGGCCCCCTGATTGTACGAAAAATCACGTTTTTAGCTTGTGGTCCCTCTAGAGGTCACAGTTTTTATCCGATTTAAAATAACGTTTTAGTATATCCCGTTACACCCTAATAATGTTTGAGTTCGAATTTTGTGAAAATTAGACCAAAACTGCCGGACAAAATGGCTGCCCCTTGTACGCAAATAGTGTAAAATATAGTATATCAAGGTTGTGGACCCTCTAGAGGCCACAGTTTTTATCTGATTTGGATGAAACTTTAAATATATGTTTTTATCATAAAGATCTTGGTTCCTTTTGATAATCACACATATCCGAACGTAACTTCCTGGATTATGGCCCATGATTGGTCGAAAAATCAAATTTTTAGCTTGTGGATTCTCTAGAGGTTACAATTTTTTTTCCGATTTTAGACACCGTTTAGATATATCACCTTTCCACCATAATGAAGGTTGAATTGGAATTCCGGGAAAATTCAAATGAAACTGCCCGACAAAATGGCCGCTCTTTCTACCCAAATTGTGTATAAGTATATGTAATACAAAGGTTATGGACCCTGTAGAGGTCATAATTTTTATCCAATTTTGATGTTACTTAAAACATATCTTTATATTCCAAAAATCTCAGTCCCTTTTGATACTTGCGCATTTCAGACCATAACTTTCTGGATTATGGCACTTGATTGTACAAAAAAACATTTTTGTTTTTAGCTTGTTCTCTATCCAACTCTTGCAAAATGTGGGCGTATCCTGCCTGGCAGCTTCTGTTCTTGTTTCTTTTGAGAAATAATATACGTGACCAAATGCAAAATTTCAAAAGATCTTTAAATTTAATAAATTCTAAAAATACAAGATAATATGAATCCTACCTTAAATCTCATTTCATTTTACAAAATACTTGTATGCAAAACCCTTTTTGTCATGGCAACCATTTTCAATTATTTTAAAACATTATCATATTTCGATAAATGAATGATTTTATGTTATATGACAATGATATAATTTCCTTTAAATGTAATTTAATTTAACTTTAACATTTTGGATAGTTTTAGTTGTTAGGTGCGAGGGTTGGATTGAGCCAAATGGCGTGGCTTCGATTCCCCACTTGCATGTGACAAGGAGTAGAGTTGCCTGTCCAACCTGGTGGGTTTCCTCAGCACCTCTCTCTCTCTCCCTCTCTCTCTCCCTCTCTCTCTCCGTGGCAGAAATAAATAGGACTGGACAGTCACTCCAGTTATACTTCAATTTTAAGAATTTAGAAACGAAATGTATGGCAATAAAAATTGATAATGAATATCCAAAACATGGGTTTTATCTAATGTGTTAATAGCTATTTGTGACCATATGCTATTGTGACTTAATACTCACTTTGGTGTGGCGGGTCACATTATTGAAGTCCAGATGTGTATTTTCTGACATTGTTTGGCTGGGGGCATTATTCATAAATGATTGCTAAATTCCCAATAATAAATGGTCCCATACATATGGCTGTAAGTATGCCTAGAAATTATAAAAGGAAAGAGTGTATTGTTATTGTAAATATGTGTTGTTACTATTGTTGATAAATATGCTATTATGTGATAATCTATTTATAAATTATGAGTACTATAAATACAGCAATATTACTATAACTGTATTGGCTATAGGTTCTTGATTCAATAATTTTACATACATGTGTATATATTTATATATCTCACTACTTAATTTATTTCCCATGTTATTGAACTCCTGCTAGCTCAATACTAATATATTATTTATATTTTACTTACATATAAATGGTGAGTGAGAGAACTCTATCACAACAGATTGGAATGTGATATATAATTTATTATTGTCGATATATTGTTGTTAGAAGCGTTGCTATAGGTACTTTTCCTTAGATCACTCATCCATATACTAATTCTGGATGTTTCTTCAATTTAAATATTTTATTTTGATTGGTGCCTTGAAATATTTACTAATGATAATATGTGCTATTTTCTTTTTTGATTGGCCAAAATGAGGCCAATTGGCAGGCACAAATCAGATGAGGTCAAAATTAGGACAGTGCCTCAATGAATATCTTGATTTAAAAGCATCCACAAAATAAGATACTGAATGCATATTTGTGCACAGGAGATATTATTCTGTATTGTCTTCACTGAACCTAAATTTGAATGAGAACAGATACTGAATTCAATAGATACATATCTCATAAAGAAAATTGTGCCATTTAACTCCTGCACTTTAATAGTGAAGTTTATTTATAAAGTATCCAAATTTAAGAGGGAATTAATGTCTTGATGTGTCATTTAGCTCAAGAGAAATCTCTTTCAAACTACAATACTGTGAAAGTTTAATAGGAATATCAATCTAAAAAGGGTTATATTCCTTTCAGTATTTACAAAGTTATGATAAATAGAAATTTCACCAATCTTTTCTGCTGGAGCAGTGAAGAAATCTGATTATTCAGCTTTGGTATTTTATTTTCTTAATTAACTTTTAAATAATCAATCTGCAATTTGAGTACTGTACATAGCGTGTAATAAGCCATGACACATTTGATATTTTAGTGCAAATGACGCATCAAGACTTAAAAAGCAATAAAAGCCTTGAGTCTAAAATGGTCCATCTTAATCTGTATAATATTTGTTCTGTGTAGAAAAAGTAGACAAATTTCAGTGTGTCCCGCTACGAACAGTTTCTATTCCTATGTACACATTGGCATGCACGTAAAAGAACCCTTGGTAGCTTAAATTGGAAGATGAGAAGGCAGGAACACTGATGTCCGGGTAAAATTTCTCTAGCACACTGCATGGCGTATATGCTTGTCTTCATCAGCCCAGTTTGTGCAGAAAAGTCAGACAGTGTAACCCATTTCATTGTCAAAGTAGGACATGTAAGCAAAATTATCCTTTTAGATTAATTTCATTCTCAAAGAAAAACATGTCATTAAAAAATTATCCTTTAGATTAATTTCAGTTTCAAAGAAAGGCATTACATAAAAATGATTCTTTTAGATTAATTTCAGTGTCAAAGTAGGACATGTCATAAAAATTATCCTTTTATATTAATTTCAATCTCAAAGGAAGGCATGTCATAAAAATTATCCTTTTAGTATTGTAGATTAATTTCAGTATTCAAGTAGGACAGGTCATAAAATTATCCTTTTACTAACTTTTAGATTAATTTTAGTGTCCATGTAGGACAAATTCATAATTTATAGAACCTTGATGTAATCCTTGTTTATCATTTTTGCACATATTGATTAAAATTTGAACAGAGACCAGATGAAAACAGTGTGGCTAAAGGATCAAATTGATTGAGGGTAATAACTGAATCTGTGCAGATTATACTGTAAACCCTGTATATACTGATTTAATGAAGGCATGGGATGTTTGTATTGATAGAAATTGATTCTAGAAAGCTATAACTTCAATGTTGTTATTACAATTTTTCTATCACCTAGATAGCTCATTGACGAGGAGTAAATCGGTCAAAATTAATAGAAAAGTTTTAACAACCAAATATAGCTTTCTAAACTTTTTGTATAAATCCATACATCTACTCACATGTTTTTATTTAGATTTGTAAATATGTGGTGATAGTATTATTTGCATGGATTAAGTTACTACAATCAACTGATTTTATCTGGAAGTTACACCCATTCGGTCCTGGCTCTCAATCAATTTTAATATAACTAGGAATATCAACTCAGTACTGTAAGAGCTTTTGTCGGTCTATAAGTAGGGGACAATGTTCAGAGGTGAATGAGGCAAACAACAGTAAAATTCCAGAATGTTAGGCAACACAAATAAAATAAGTTGTTTCTCGGGCACCGCCCGCACGCAAAATTGGTTGCGCGTGCGGCCTATTTATTAGTCTTGATGAAAAATAAAAAATATGTAACGCCCGCCCGAACATCGATAAGCAAGTCATAAAAAGAATATGCCGCATGTATCTACATGCCCCATACGTGAATATCCAGTCAAATGTATTCAACTGATTCAGATGTAAACGCTCATTTACGGGTCTTTTTTATTTATATCGAAAGAACCTCCATTTTTGTATCACGTGAACTAGAATTTGATTCGTGTTAAACACCGAAAGTCATTGACAACAATTCAATGTATTTCAATCATTCGATCTTAATCGGCTCATTATTGCCGGCTTCAGTCGGTCCATGTTTGAAAAAATCCTACTTATAAAACAATGAATCGTAGAACAGGTTAATTATTATAACTTGTGGCTACGAATACGATACGATACGATGATAGTCACCATACCTTAGTCAGAATCTGGGTCATTAGCACATTTAACGGTAGTTTTGATAATCCGGAAAATAATAATTGGATTACACATTTGATGGTGTTACTGACGAGTACCGTTGTTAGTTAAATTTAAATAGTCATTCGATATAAACCCCAGATAGAACACCGAATATCCTGAGAAACACACCGAATAACCTGAGAAACAGTCATTTATTCCCGAATCCCGATGACACGTGACATGCATTGGTTGGAATTAGGTCAATCATTATAAACCAGCGATACTAGATTTAGATCGAAGTGTCGTTTACCGTGATGATTATTTTTGATACACATGCTGACAGAGGCTTACTCTTTAAAATATTGTCGTTATTATGGACGGTTATTAATAGTCGTACGGAATTTTATTTTAAACCAATTTCAATTATTTTTGTCACCATTACCGTTAGTAAGCTACATTACGTGAATTAAATATGGAAAATTATTTTCCTTTCAGTCAGTGTTCAGTGTTTGAGTAGACTTGATTTTTGGGTTTACGTTCTAAGTATGTACAATATATAACTGAAAGCAAAACCGTAGACAAGTAATGACTTTCTCATTAAAAAAAAAAAAATACAAGGCCGCCCTCCCGCCCCAACAATTTTCAACAATAGGCAAATTTTATTTTGCACCATCCTCTAGCCAGAAATGAGGTAAAAAAAAAAAAATAAACCGCCCTCCCCCCCTCCCTACAGTTTCAGCAGTCAGTTGCCCGAGAAACAAGACATTTATTTTGTGTAGCCTTAATTTTACTCTGACATGGATAATTCCATCATATTTCCTACTATGACTACAATTATTAGATAGCATTAAAATACACTTTTGCTCAAAAATATCTCATTTTTTATACTATAATTATAATTTGAAAAAATGCAAAATTAAAAATAAATAAAAAATCAGAAAGGACACATTGAAATTTGTCTTTTTGCACCAATTTTATTCATGAACCAATTCTTGTTCCCAGATAAGCCATTTGATTGGTTGAGTCTTTTGGGTGATAGTGATGAAACTTTTTCTGCTGAGGCTAAGTACAGATAGGCTAAGTTCAGATAAGCAGTTTGATAAGTATTTTGGGAATGAGAGGTGGGGAGGCATCAGCCGCATATGTTAGCTAGTTTGAAATACGGTGGACCAATTATGACGCTTTGAAATAAAGTCACATTATTTTTATAATTAAATAAATAACCGAGGTTAATATATATTCAATAGTTGTTTGTTAATTATATTGTATACCAATGTACTGTGATAATTTTGTGATATCAAATACTGTATATAATGTCATCCGTCCACTTATTTATAAAGCCATATTGTTACATGATGTAAAAGTGTAAATTATAGTTATATTGTTTAAATTGCAAGATAAACCCTCAACCAACCAGGAAACCAGCAAAGAGCTAAATAGGATAGTTAGTGGTATATTTACATGTATAATATTAACAATAATATGCACCAGCTTAGTCCCTAACTTATTGTATAAGGATTAACGAAACTGCTTGTATATATTGATCTCATAAAAATATTATTCACAGCAAAAGCAATTGAATATAATTGAAGTAAAAAGATGCAGAAAATGCATCATACTTTTTTTTTTAAAATTTTAATCAGTTTTCTTCTTTTGGATAATCTTAGATTGTTTTTTTATTTTTTTATTTCTGTTTTAAAACTACCTTACTGTAAAATTAATGCAATTTGAGACAAAATTGTTTCAAAATAAAATCCTATTAAACTGCCAAACTATTAGGGTTAAAGCTTCAGAGTTAAAATCCTGCTCAAGAAAAATCCGTCCATGGTGTAAATGAAAATGATTCCAGTTTATTTATATAATAGATTAAAATTCATATTTGCTCAAATTTTTTATCCTTTTTTGGGGGGAGGGGGGGTGTAAAAGTTTTTATATAATGATGAAAGCGGCTTAAATTTTGTGATACTTCCAACTTAATGCTCTCTAATGACTTCGCTGCTCGTAATTGTTTCGTTTTGTAATTTTCGTATATTATGTTAGCAATCACTAGATGGAAGAAATGGAGGAACTGATCACATCTATAGGCATAGCTATAGCTATATGTTTTGTGAGCCATTGCCCACAAATTCAAAAAATATAATCCCCTGCCCTTCCCCTCTGTCTTTATTATGGGTTTGTGTGAATATCCCTGTTATACATCTATTCTGTCTATTCTGATATTTTTATAAAATAATTATTTATCAGATCGCAAAATAGTTTTACATAATTCGATGTTGGAATTAAAGAAAACAGATGTAAATGTAATTATTTAAAACATGCTATTACTAAATGTAAATGTAATTATTGAAACCATGCTATTACTATTAAATACAGATGTAAATGTTATTATTTAAAACATGCTATTACTATTAAATACAGATGTAAATGTAATTATTGAAACCATACTATTACTATTAAA